ATAGTAGGTAATTATAGCCTTTAGTTTAAATATAGCCTTAACCTAGCCTTAGTCCTTTTAATAGGCTCTTACTAAGGTATTAAATATAACCACGATATCTCTACTTTAAAGGTGCCTTACCGCTATAGCGCTTATAGCTTTTAGGGCTATATTTACCGCTTTTACTATATCCTTTAGTTTACGGCTTAGGATTTCGGGCGGTGCCTTAATAGGGACTATAATAATCTCGCGTTTATAGTATAGTAGGACCTATTTTACCGCGGCTTTATATTAGGTCGGTCCCTTAGTCTCGGCTATAACTATAGCCTAGGTTTACTTTAGGCCCCCTAGGCCTAAAGCGATGCCTAGGTAGAGTTCTTCTTTAACTACCTTCTTAATTGCTTCTTAGATTATTATCTTAAAGCTCTCGTCCGCGCGGAGTACTACTAACAACGCGCTACTAGCGCGGCTCTTTGCCTTAAAGAGCCGTTCGACTACTACCTATACCCTACCAAACTATACGCTTAGGATAAAGCCTATAAGTTTATCGTATATTACTTTTTTTATATAGTCGCTTAGCGCCTAAGCTAATATTATATTACTACTTTAGGTTTATTAACTTACCCTATTAAGGTATATAAATTTAAGTAACGTCTCTTTACGCTACGCGCTTTAGTTAAGCCCGGTATATTAAGGGCCGCTACTACGTTTACCTACCCTTTAGCCTTAGTATAGTATTATTACTAAGGGTAATTAATACCGCTAAATTAATTCTTAGTATTAGTTAGTATTTTAGTTATAATATATACCCGCTATAAGTATATATTAGTTTTATAAGAAGTTTTTTTTAAACTATTTCTATAGGGCTAGCGTAATTAAGTTCTATAACTATATAAGCTTTATACTATCTTCTTATACTATAGTTCCCGCCGCTTATAAGAGTATCTTTTTATAGTTAAAGAGGAATTTACTAAAGGTCTACTTATCCCTTTACCTAAGGGTCTATAGCCTATCTTATACCTTCTCCTACTCCTATACGTTACTAAACGTATATATAATATATTAAAAGAAGTCCTATAGGTCGCGTTTACTTTTAAGGCCGCCCTTATCTTAGAATTTAAAGATCTACTATATCTAGGGCTCTAGTAGTATATAAAGGAGTAAATACTACGCTATATTATAATAGCTATTTAAGCCTTATTTCTTATTTATTATAAACTTTATTTATAACTAGCTAAGGAAGAAGTAAAAGGACTTAAGCTTACTATCTTAAGTTAGCTAAGGAAGTAGCTTTTATATTAATAGTACCGCTACTATAACTAGTATTATAGAGGTTATAGGGGTTAACGCTAGTCTTATAAATAGCTCCCTTAGTATAGCGAGAACCTTATTTTTCTTACTAGCTATTATACTTTTAATCGCTTCTAAGATAGCTATAATACTTTCTATCCGCTTAAGGGGTAGCGGGGTACTCCTTTAAAGAGGCGGTACCCTTTTTAAGGAGATATCTATTAAATCTATTAGTTAATAGCTTATACTATTATAAAGTAAGTAGAGGTATATATATAGGTACTATTTATAAAATAATATTAATAAGCTATATAGAGCTCTTTTATATATAGCTAGCCTATATATATATATATAGGATCTAGCCCTCTATATATAACTATATATCTTAGGCTATAGCTTAAGCCTATAACCTATAATAGTTAAAGACTCTTATAATAGCAGGGAAATTATAAGGAAATACTTATACCTACCTAGGGAAAATACTAGGAAATACCCTTAAATATACTATATTAATATTATATAATTATAATATTAAGATAATACTTAGTTAAAGCCTTAAGTAAGGTCTTATACTTACTATAGTATATATAAAAGATAGAAAACCTACTAGATCTTAGGTAAGTAAAGAAAAATTTAAATAGTTATTACTACTTTTACTTTAAAACTTATAAGACTAGTAGCTAGTCCGTATTTAATACGCGTAATAATATATAGTAGTTAGTCTATATAATATATTTAAGTATATATAGTAGCTAGTCTATTTAGTTACTTATTAGACCTAGACTAGATCTAAGTAAATAGTAAGGTTAAGTACCGGCCTTATATTAAGGGACTAGTATATAATACTTTTACTAACGAAACTTTAAAGAATACTATAAGGATAAGACTTTAATTTAATAAAAGTTATTTACTTTTTAGATATTAGCTTTTAATACTTAGTTAAGAAGTATAAGAGCTAATAAATAAAGTATAGTATTAATATAAGGAACGGTGTTCCTACTATAAATAAAGCAGCTATAATATACTCTCCCGATTATATAAGCTAATAAGTAGTATATTAATTATAGACAAAATCTCATCCTATAGAGCAAGAATCGCTCGTTATTTTATATGTTATTATGCATTAAACGGGTTGCTGGTTATCGTATAATCGGGAATCGAAGGAACAGAGCTAGCTTAGAATACTAGCTAAGACCTCTTAAGAATACCGGCACGACCAACCTCCTTTAAACACAAATATCAATAGAACCAAGACACTTCTAGATTCACTCGAGGTATCACGGAATTCCCTAGTCTCAGGGCTATACGGCAGCCTAAATCTGGTCCCGAAAGGTTCTTCCGTTCAGCTACAATTGTCTATATAAGACAGCATGTCCGCTAGTAGATAGGTAAAAAATTATTAACTTTAACACCTCTTCCACACACTAATACACTACCAATAAATTCCGTTGAAAATCCTACCTTATACTCCTTCTTCCCCTCTATCACGTAGTCTTACGTGATTCCTTGATTTCCTAAAATTCCGCTTTTGCTTATATACCTTAAGAATTAAATAATAAGTTATCGACCTTATAAAAGATAAAGGTTTTACTAAGAACCTAGTATAAGCTAGAGCTAGTATAAGTACTAAGGAATTACTTATAGGTTTTCTTTTTACTCTTAGCCTTTTATAAACCTAAGCGTTACCTCTATAGCTAAAAGATCTCTTCCTCTATCTAGGTTTTTAAGGAGGAGTACCTAGACGTCCTTATAGTAAATTATCTTAAAATTATTCTCTTTTAAGTTAAATTTATCTATATAGTCTACCTAAGTTACTTTATCTTTATAGCTAAAGTAATAGTCGTTAATAGCGTTTATATTAAGTTACTTATATATAAGTACTTTAAGATATATAGCTATATATACTTAAAGTAAAATTAAGAAGGCTAACTATATATATTAGCGCTTATTAAGAAAGACTAAAGTATTATAAACCTAATAATAATACTATATAAGATATATATTATTAACGTTTATAATAAGCTTCTTATTTAGTAGTATATTAAGCTTATAATAAATAGTTAAATACCTATTAATATACTATTAAGTAGTAAGCTAATTATATAAGATATAAACTTCTATAATTAAGATAAAACTTATATTATTAATCTCTTTATTCGCTTACTTACTAAAATTAACTTTAATAGACTTTTAGTATACTTAGAAAAGAATTCTTTTATAAGTATATATAGTACTTCTCTTATAAATCCTTCTATATAAGTTAAGTATCTACTTTAAAAATATTATAATATTTTCCTTTATCGATTCTATAAAATAATTAAGCGGATCGACTAATAAGTATATATAATATCTAGTCTTATTAGCTTATTACTTAAATATAATAAAAAGGTCGCTTACCTTATTTATTTCTATTTTACTTTATATATATTAACCTTCGTTATCTTAGCATACCGCTTTTTAATAGCCCTATATTTCTAAAGTCGCTCGCGCTTTAACTAATAATAGGCTAGTAAGTACTAAGCTTATAGTAAGCTTTTTAATACTACTATACTTTACTCTTATATATCTTAAAGCTTCTAGAAAATAGAGTAAAGGTTTATAGCCGAATAGTATATTGCCTATTAATTAATATATTCTAACGTTAAAATTAATATACTATAATTTAATTAGGGGGTCGGTGCGGGCCGGGGATAGTAAGGCACCTCGGAGCTATAGCTAAGGGGTAGAGACGAATAGCGCACGCCCCGCTACCGGCGCTTCGTAAAATATCCTCCGAAAAGGGCAGCCTATCCTCTAGAAGTAGAAGCACTTCCTTTAAAAACGGAAGCACATTTACGGTAAACCTATACTTTTTTCGTAAAGGGGGCACCCGCTCATATCTCCACCTCGCAGAACCACCACCTAAATATATATCCTAGGGGGCCTAAATCATACGCATAGGAGAGGGAATTTTTGAAGAATGGTCGCCAAGGAGCTTAGGGGTCTTGTTGGCCCGTTCATGCCGCCTTTGCGAGTGTAACGTGTGGCTTGCAGACGGTTGAGATATTCTCGCCCTTTCCGCCGGCACGTTTCCTCCGGCTCGGACCACTTGCTTCCCCGTCCCTCGCTTCCGTAAAGGAGCTGAGGAGCAAGCAGGTTTCTTGCAGGGCTTATGACGAATAAAGACGCCGATACCAGCGGTACATCAGCTCTCTAGAAAATGCACTACGGGGAAGCCTCCGCAGATCCGGCTTACACGTATCTACACCCCTTGATCGCGGCCTCTGCAAATATGATACGCTTAGCAACGCGTGTATCCTTGGTAACTACGTACTGTGGAGCCCGAGACCCGCCTGCTCCTTACGGCAGTCCAAGGGCTTTCTGCAGCAAGAAAGGGGGGTGAGGCGTGTCTCTACACTAGTAATGGGGGGGGGAGGGGGAGGTTAGTAGTTACCCTGGCCGACTGTGCTAAACTACTTTGACGGCTGACCAAGCCGGGCAAGGAAGGACCGTCCAGGATCGGACACCTCGTAAAGAAGATGAGCAAGGCACTCTACACATCTCTTCGGGCTATCCTGCCAGTGTGGAGAACTACACCAACGAATGTTCTGCACCGGGAGGCAGGGATACCGCCGGTCCCTCTGCTGCTCGAGGCGCGCCGGACTGCATTTGCTGCGCGTCTCAAATCCCTGGACGAAGCTCATCCGCTCGTGAAGCGCACGTCGAGGCCAAAAGCCCCTATACTGAATGAAATGATCAAGCTGAAGTACCAAAAGCAGCCAAACCCTTCCGGACTAGCTGCGGCGCTCCGACGAATTGCTACCAAGCTGCCCAAGGCCTGCCTTGCTGCAGCGCGGATTTGTCGAAGAGCAGACTGCGCCTCTGCAGAGTGCATCGAAAATGAGACGGCGAAGAAATTTCGCGATTGGCTCCAGGCACTATCGCCCCGAACTCTGGTCGTCTATTCCGACGGGTCCCGTTCTACCGAAGGCCACGCCGGATATGGCTATGTTGTTCATCGGGACGGATCCACCGTCTTGCGCGACAAGGGCCGTCTCGGGCCCGCCGAGATTTTCGACGCTGAGGCGAAAGGTGCGTTGAGGGTTGAAGGCTGCGGTGAGCCTTCCAGAAACTGACCGCATCTTTGTCTGCCTCGACAACCTCGCGACCGCAACATGCTTACGGGGCACGCCGAGCGACTCCTCGCAAGAGGTCTTCCTTGAGTTTCAATCTTGGCGCGAAAATACGGAGCTGTGGAGGTCCATTGATCCCCGGCCATGCTGACATCCCAGGCAACGAGGAGGCTGATGCTCTGGCAAAGGCGGGAGCATCACCGCCAGAACCCGCTGATAACGTCCCGACGCTAGCGCACCTGCGAAAGATTGCCCGACAGCAGCCGGAAGAGGCTTTCAAGGCCTGGTGGGAAGCCTCTGCGCCGGAGCGATACAGAGACCTGAGGCTTAAAGCCACAACCAGCTGCCCGTCAGAATTGGCGCTCTCGGCCCCTGCTTCGTAACTTGCTTGCAGCAAGAACCCACCATGGGGATTTTGCTGACTACCACGAAAGGTTTGGTCACGACAATGCGCGACTGACGTGCTCGTGCGGAAGACGAAAGAGCCAGCACACATCTTTTACTGCAGAAAGGTTGCGCCACGGCATCGTATGCGGCTTGCACCTTGGCCGGCTGCAGCCATCAACCGCGCAATCGGCAAGGACTTTGACAAATTCGTCAGGCTGGCGAAAGCGAGCTCCTTCTTCGGAGGGATCTGCCCACGCCACTAGACGGTCATCATTCTCCTCTCTCACCCTACCTTTCCTCTCAATCCTTTCTGTTACCTGCTCCGATCTCGGGCGGCGTCAAGGTCTCGCGACCATGCGATCGCCGAGGTCATCAAGGGCTGCAAGGCCCCAGAAGCAAATTGGCTGATCTGACCACGGGACAGCTTTCTTCATGCCTGGACGTCCCGCTGACGGGCAACAGGTTTGTCATGAGCGCCGTTGAGCCGATGAAATGCTGGATAGTGGGTGAAGTGTACGATATGTAGCATGTAGACACCTGCTAGCTCAGCACGTCCTGTGCTCCCCTGCGGAGACCTGAGCGACCAAAAGTTGCTGGACGGAAAATACACTAAACTAAACTAAACTAAATTGACGGCTGACCAGCTTCGGCGCCACCTGACGGACAAGGAAGTCAGGCTGGGGCAACAAGGGAAAAAGGAGAGGAGCCTCGGAGTCACCGGGCCGTCGTCAAGTACAGCATTGCTCCTGCGGAATCCTTGTTCTCTACGCTCCCCGGCCCAAGATGGTGATGCCCACCGACGTGCTTGGTGTGTAAAGGCGTCGTCAGGCAGTAGAGGTGGTAGCCGTCGAGGTACTGGGCACCATACGGCAGGGTCTCGGTTTCACCACGGGCTCTGGAGGCCGGGTAGCGTTTCCACGGCCAATACGAGCGCGAAGGATGGTGATAGCACCGGTCGACACGCCTTTGATAAATTTCTTCCACATGGTGCTTTTCAAACTAGGTTTTATGGATCGAAAGCAGGACATCCTTTTTGCTGTTCTATTTTAATGTCGTCGCAACACCGCAGACTTTTGCTCTGATTGTCTGCGATATTTCAACCCGACGGCCACCACGAAGCTGCCAGGCTTGGCGTTGCCCATTTGAGCCGCCCGGACGAATTGGAGCGGGCCCCTCGAACAGGTCCGAGCGTAGAATTTCATGCGAGGAGCCTTTTAAGCCCATGGAGTACTCGTAGGTGTGGTATAGTGGTACTTGGTCGATACCGGTGCACCCTGTGCAACACTCGTTGGCACATGACGATACTGTGAGGTATTTGCCCGGCATTGCTTGGCCCTCGGACGTTGCTCCGAGCTGGCCCATGTACCTGGGCTGATTGGACGAAAGATTTCAATGGTATTAACCAGTGCGCCCGAAAAAAATTAACACGGGCGTGAATTTGCCTCTCTTAGGTTCTTAATGGCGCCCATGATGCTGCTGCTTGAGCTCTTATACCGGAAACCGTCCACCAACGGCCGGACCGACTCTTCCCTACCACCTCTTCTTAGAACCAAGGCTGATCGAGAAGCTAGTACAAGTCTTTCGGGGCTTTCACCAATACATCAGGCGGTGATGGATTCCCATCAGAAGAGAAAGCTGGTGCCCATCGCGCCGGCTCCAGAAGAAGGCGGCGTCCATGTTCCGGACCGCGACGCCCGGCATGACGCGGCCGCCGGCCCTCCGTCGACCAAGACGAAACGGACCACAACGCTGGTGGCTTGCGACGGGTGCAGGCGGAGAAGGGTAAAGGTGTGAAGAGACTTCATTCTCATCAGCCGCCAGTGAAGTTGAAAATTAAGGCCCAAGTTATCTATCCACCCACTTTCATTAACTGTACACCCAAAAAGTGGATTAACTGTGGCTGACGGCCGAAGAGGGCCGATACCGCCAATTTGTATGCACACATTCTCTACGATAAGTAGAGCCAGGTAGTAACAGTTCTCCTTCAACGATAAGGCACCCAAAATTGAAGCTATTCGTACTGCGCTTTCTATGCTGATGAGACTATTCTTTGGTGTTTACAACAGGCCTCCTTCTTCGAGTGCACTACGTGCCTGATCCGCTTCATCTAACTGTGATTCCAATTGATCCCATACATCCTCAAGGGCGGCATCGTCCGTGAGGCCAGCGACGAAGATGCAGTCTTGGGTCTCCCGCCGTACCGGCTGATCGTCATCATCAGAGACTGGCGTTTGACGCCCGGCTTGTTGATACGCCCGTTGCATCCGTGTGCCTGCCTCGTACGTATCGCCGTTTTCCTCGATGTGCCGCAGCCCTCGTTCCGTTGAAGTCATCGCGGCCGTTACCGTACCCGTCATCGCCGCTGGTGCCGTTGAGGAGGAGGCAGTCGTATAGCCTCAGCCCGCTCATGCCGTTCAGCGATCTCGTGATGTGACGGATCCCGCCGCGTTGATCTTGACCGCCGTGACTCTTCGAGGTTGAGTGAGCCCTGGGGCGGCCCCAGCCCTGATAACTTGTGGCTCGTATGGTGCCCGAGTAGGGCTTGTGCCCTGAGCGCTTGTATCGATCGGAATATACCAAAATGGGTCGAAGTCGTCGAGTGTAAGGGAGGTATTGGTGTTGATAGACTCGAAGATTCGATGGCAGCACGGTAGCCCTCGACTAGTAGCCCAATTACAAGGACATTGACCTGGCGGCGGTTTGGCCCGTTGACTTCGGGGGTCTAGAGGGATCTTGCGATGCTCATCTATTAGTAGCTTTAACGCATATGACGATACTCGCTCGCGGATCGGCATATACGGCGCCTGTAGGGAGAACGTTGATATCTTGTGGAGGTTTCGATTCTCTATCGCTGTGATCTGAGCAGCCTGATGGCCCCAGAAGCGTTCGAATCGTTGGAAAACGGTCGTCAAATCGCCCGTACAGGACCAAAGGAACTTCTTCATATGAGAGTGAAGTCCCTCGACGATCGAGGTCGTTGTACGCCCGAAGTGGCGATATTGATTAACGAAACAAGATACAAACTTCTCCTTCCAAGGCGTTAGCCACGTATTGCAACAGTATTGTATAGCTGCAAGCGGGTGGCGGCCTGGTGTCTCAAATTGGCGTAAACGTTCGTTGAAGCTATTCACATCTTGTGACTTGACGATCTCGTTCCACTCTTGTAGAAACGCTTGGAATGCCGGGGCCCGTACGACTCGATTGCCGATTTTTGATGCCTTAGGGAAAATTGCTTGCATTTCGCAACGACATTCTGGTTAATATGCCACGTGCAGAGAAGGTTAGTACTGTTTTGAAGCTCGCGAAAGCTATCTAACGCCTTAAGCAACGCAGTATCTCGGTCCGTGACAGTGACCCTTGAAATGGGATCGACCTTCTCGCAAAGGACTAGCAGCAACGAGATAGCCCAATAGTAATGGGACTCGGTCTCGCCGTTCAAGAAGATAGAGGCAATAGAGAACGTTTTGTTATCTCGAGTGGCCGCGCAGATATTCAATAACGGCATATTGAATCGGTTCGTCTTGTAGGTACAGTCGAGGACGAGGACATCGTGATGCTGACGCCATCGATGGAAGGTAGCACGAGGCGCGAGAAATAGCCCAGTTAGCCGGCCCTGGGGATCACGACTATCTCGATGAAAGAAGTCGGACTTATCTAGCCGGCCGTAGAGAAACTGAAGAGGCGTACGGCCAGCTAGTTCTTCCTGACGGTGCCTAGCCAAGGCGTTACTCACGTCTTGAGCCGTGATACCGGCTAAACGAGGATCGTCGTGAACCAGGTCACGAAGCTCGCCAGCAATATCGGTCGGCCGGGTATTGTTATTAAACTTCCGGATAATGTCGTCGCGATACTTCTGGATAACAAGCGCCCGGTACTTCGGAAAGACCATCGGGTCATCAACAAGGCGATGATTGTGAACATCGTGAAGATAAGAGATAGTCCAGTAACCGCGTTTTTCCTTCAACGAGAGGCGAAATTCACAGTCTGTTTTCTGGGTTGCTGTATTGAGGCGACGACGAGAGATATGAGCAGCTTTATCCTTCCGATTTTCGTAGGGGCCGGCCTTGATACAACGAACAAGTGCAGACTTGCGTTGGCCAGCGTTATCCCGCTTCGATGTTCGAATGTGTAGGGCGTAGCCTCAGCCTCAGCAACGGTATCGGCGGCTTCCATCGCGGCCTGGAAGGTCGGGAATAGTGTCTTCGTAAGCGACCCATGATTCGGGCTCGTAAGGGCAGAAACGCGGTGCGAATAGCTTCAGTTTTGATGGTATTGCTGATAGTTACGGTTACAGGATGTTGTTACGCAAGCATCACGAACTGGCCAGCTGGCCGGCCGGGAATGGGCGCACCAAAATTAGCGGCATCGGCACTGCGCCTGACCCAGCCACAGTTGATCCACTTTTTGGTGTACAGTTAATAAAAGGAGGTGTATAGATAATTGGGCCCAAAATTAAATACCCCAGGGGGGGCCGAAGCGTGCCAATGCTCCCTCCCATCCGGCTGACGCAACCATTGTCACTCCGATATCATCAAATAGTGTGACGGACAACGGCCTGGGTGTGGGCAATGCGTCCGCAAAGGCGAAGAATGCGTCTACGGGGCGGCCGAGGGCGAGACGGTCCTGCTCTCCCTCAAGAAGAAGCACGGCGCCCTCGAGGGCGAGAACGGCAAGTACAAGGAGCTTCTCACCCTGCTTCGCACCAAGCCCGACGACGAGGCCCACGAGATCCTCCGCCGCATCAGGAGTGCCGACGAGCCGCTGCTGGTGCTCGTGGAGATTAGGCACGCCGAGCTGCTCCTCGCCGAGCCGTCGCCGACCAGCGAGAGGGCCTCCCACGACGACAGGCTGCTGCGACTGGACCAGGAGGCCCACGACAGCAGCGTCATCAAGGTTCCCGCGAAGCCGTGGACCGTCGTGGCCGACGATGGCCTCGTGTCCGAGCTCATCACGGAGTACTTTACCTGGGACCACGCGTATCTGCTGCCGTCTGTCGACCGAGACGTCTTCCTCCAGGAGATGAGGGGCCGCGATCCCTCGACGGCACGGTGGTGTTCTCCTCTTCTCGTCAATGCCATTTGCGCTCATAAATCCGTTAGATACCCCCTTGAACTTGTGGGAAAACACGGTGAAGCACCAGACACATTGGCTGACCCTGGGCACGCCGTCGTCTCCAGCAAGTCGTCGAACGAGCACGGCTCTTTGGCGCCATGACACGACAAGACATGACTGAGCGCTTCCTCTATGAGGCCAAAAGCCTTCTCTACTGTGAACAGGGCCGCGCCTCCATCCCCACAGCCCAGGCTCTCATGCTCATGTTCCTCACGACCACCTGCCTCGGGAGGGACCGAGCCGGCCGCATATACCGCCACCACGCCATCGACATGATTCAGCGGCTGAAGATTGAGGCCAAGTACACTGCGCTACTCGAGGATTCGCATGACGATCCGAGGGAGAGAAGGCTGCTCGCCAAGGCGCTCTGGGGGCTGTTTGTATTTGAGTCGTCAGTTTCCTCTCTTTTCCCTTTCTCTTCTCTCCCAATCGTCGCGCGCGGCAGGCAGGGGGAGTGGCGACTTACACACGGCGTCCTCTATAGCCGCTCCTCCTTCTTCTACTTTGAGCCCTCGCAGATTCCGCCTCCGCGAATCCCCCAGCCTTTCACCGAGGGCGAGTCTTCCCAGCATCGGCCGTGCGGCAACATCGACGTCCTGGGGCGGCCGTTTGAGGAGTCGCCCTGTCTGGTGCCTCACGTCCCGGGCATCAACGCCGCGGCGTGCTCACTGTCGGAGCTGTTTTATGAAATCATGACACACAACGTCAGCGATGACACGGCGTGGGGGGGCGAGACCGATTTGCGGATCCAGAAAAGGCTGTACTCGAGGCTGAAGCGGATGACGGAGGCGTGGCCCAGGAGATTCTATGTCGAGAACAACGTTTCTCCCGGCACGTGCTTTCTCAGGTGCGCAGCAAGCCCTCTCTCTTTTCCCTTTTCTTTTCCCTGGCCCTCTCGGTGGCTGAGTGAGTGAGTGAGTGAGTGAGTGTGTGTGTGTGTGTGTGTGTATGTGTGACTGATAGTTCTAGAATGCACGAAAATGAGGTGGGCTTCGGCATCGTCCAGGTGACGAGACATGAGGCCCTCTTCGAAACCCCAGCCAGCCAACCCGGCACCACCATTGGAGATCTGTGCCTTCACCACTGCTCATCCGTCTCCAAAACCATCGAGGCCTACCTCGCCCGGTGGCCTTTTGACTCGCTACTGTGGCGCCACCTCTACCTATCCATGCAGCCTCTGGTCCTCATGTTCGACAACCCCATCGCCGTCGACATCTTCACCAAGAACTGCATGATGATGCGCTACGGCTGCCGCACGTTCCGCGTGTGTGGCCACCTGATTCAGGCCACACAAGCCTTTGCCTGGGCCATCAACCAGCCCATCCCGGACAGCGCCCTCCCCTACCTCGAGGGCTGGACCAGGGAGGAGGCCAATGGCGAGGATCTGCCTGTCAGCTTCGCGCTGCCGCAGCAGGACGACGTTAAGGACTTGCTGGCAGCGAACTTGGCCGGGACCGACAACGAAGAGGATCAGCTCGGCGCTTTGCTCAAGAGATGGGCACTCGAGTAGGTCACCGCAAGGGGAGGAAGGGGGTTTGCTCAAAAGATAGGCGCTCAAGTATGTTGCGTAAAGGGGGTAAAGGGGGCAAACGGGGGTTCTCTTGACAAGGGCCACGGACTCCATCAGAAACCGGAACAGAGTCGAGTCTTCTCTATTGTTGTAAAATTGTAAAATAGTCCGGACACCCTTCAGAGCGCGACAAGACTGGCCAAATGTGCCCTTTGTCGCAAAGCCATGGAAGGCGAGCCACCTCTTGATGCGTGTATCGTGGCCCAGCCACATAACTTCGGCCGGTGCAAGCAATCCTCTTCCCCAGCCGCTCGGACAGTACGCACCGTTCGAGCACTCTCCACACCCTCGGTGAGGGACAAAGTAAACGAGCCTCGGAACTCCCTGTCCCGGTATATCCATGACTAAAAGAAAATCTAGATCCGCCATATCCCCGAGAAGACAAAAAAAGAAACTCGCACAGAACCGGCGCTGATACAAAGAGAGGGGGGGACGCTTGCCAGTTGAGACTCGGGCCTCAGTGATCGCCGGGCGACAGGTCCGCGTCCTCGTCGCTATCGGTCAGGTCGACGGCAAGCTTTCGCGCCTCGTGCTCGGCCATTTCGCGGTATGTGCTCCAGCTCAGGCCAACAAAGGCCACGATGATCATGGACCCGCCGATGATGGCCGCCCAGCTCAGGGGCTGGCCCGTCAGAAACCAATCAGCGAGGGCGACGATGAAGATGGTGAGCAATGCGGCCACCGACGACAGCACCGGCGATGTGAGCGAGATGAGGACGAGAAAGGAGCCGCTAAAGGTGGCGTTGGCCAGCACGGCAACGAGGACGAGCCAGCCCGTGGATGCGTCGGGCAGCTCAAACTTCTCAATGTTGAGTATGTGCAGGATCGGGAGCGGGATCCAGAGCACGGTGAGGGTGAAGAGGCCGATGCAGGCGCCGAACGTGTTGGCAAAGATAGTGCCCCGGCCGGGAGAGACGCCCTCAGGCGGGCAGGCGTAGCGCTTGTAGAGCACTTCGTAGAGGCCGTAGAGCACCGAGCCGACGCCAATGACCAGGTTGCCGACGAAGCGGCTGCCCGCGCCGGGCTGCTTGTTGCCAGGGCCCGCCTCGGTGTCGCCGCCGCCGCCGCCCGTGTCGCCGTAGGCCACCACCAGGACGCCGATGATGGCAATGAAGACGGCGACGGACTTGTCGAGACGCAGGGGCTCGCGCAGGATGGGGACGGAGAAGAGGTACGCGAAGAAGGCGGAGCAGTTGTAGATGGCCGTCAGGTCCGAGGGCGTGGTGAGGCTGACGGCCACGTACCAGCTCAGGCCGGCAATGGTCAGGGCCGAGGTGATGAAGGCGGTGGTGCGGATCAGGTACAGCATGGGCCGGGCGCGACGCTGGGCCGAGGGCGAGAAGACGTCAAGCGTCTGCAGCTCAATCATGGCGATGGTCGACGACAGCAGCTGCTTGTGGCGCCTCCAGAAGACGGGCCAGGGCTCCTTGAGTTTCTGCATGCGCAGGACCAGGAGCATGGCGGGATAGAGGACGATCCAGGAGCCGTGGGTAAAGTACATCATGCAGTAGGCCTTGTCCCAGCCGAGGTCGTGCTGGATGTGGGCGCTCAGCTCCGTCTGGATGGCAAAGGTGACGAGGCTGATGGCGAGGAAGACGGCCGCGTACGAGTACTTTTTGCGCGCCGACGCCGCCGCCGCCGCCGCGAGCGGGGCCCGGCTGTGCATCGTCGACTGTCTGCTGAAGGTCGGCGGATGCAGCGGGTCGTGCGGGTCGTCGCCAGGCTCCAAGTCGAGGCTTGTTGCGCGCTCGTCATCATCGTCGTCGCCGTCTCGAGACCGTAGGAGGCCGCGCTGGGCGTCGCCGTTGCCCATATCCTCGGCCTTGTAGAGCAGAGGCGTACCGGAGCGACCGTTGCGATGCAGGCCCGGCCGCTCGGCGGCGAGCTCGGCGGCTAAGACTGCTGCGTCGCCGCCTTCTGCCCGGCCCCCTTTTCCCCCGCTGCCGGGATCCATCGTGAATCCGTCAGGATCGGAAGCGTCGCTCAGATGGCTGGCCTCGGGGCCTCGGCCGCCAGCAGGATTTGGTATGGCGCGGACGTCGGGCTGCTCGAGATTGCATGTGGTTGCCGTAGGGCTTCTAGTTCTCTGAGGGGACGATAGAAAGGCTTCCGTCGTTGGTGGTGCTTGTTCTGTGTCGTCTCGGAGGTGCTCAGACGTTGGCCGAGGCATGCAGGTTGCCGGGGACGAGGGCAGCCAAATAGGTCTTGCTGCGTGTGACCGCGGCGCAATTGACGGATGGGCACATGAGCAGACAAAGGCCTGCCCTGTTTCCTTTCACCTGGCTCTCGCTCTTGCAGAGTCCCGCGTGGCTGCGGGTGTAACGGCGAGGAGTTGTGTCTTTTGCGTTGGTCGGAGAGAGTGACAGGGGTCGGAACTTTACCTTGCCCACGACCTGGTATCCGAGCGCAGAGTGCAGGTAACTTACTCACTGTAGTGTTGCGGCGGCGGCACCGCCGACTGGCGGGCTGCAGCCGCTCACTGGACCGCTCACTGGGCCGCTCACTGGACCGCCCCTGAAAGCGCTGAACTCTCCCCAAGCCGCCGCGGCCCTGCGACCTGGAACCCGCCCGCGACCCACTCCAGAGGCTGAGATGCGGCGGCGGGACCGCCTCTGATTCGCCGCGCTGCTGCCCTCGGTCACGGATAAGCAGGGGTGGAGCAGAGGGGGGCGCCCTCGTGACCTTTCATCTCATACAAATCTCGTCCTACATTGGCACTGGACTAGTAAACTCTTGACGTCGCCATTCACGGCTCGTCGTCTGGACGCGGCACGCTTTCCCCACGGCAGTCATTCGGTCGGTCACAGACTCTGGCGCCGAGTCATGCCGCACCCTCACACACGCAGGCCACGACGTCGACGACGACAAAGAGGCACAATGACTGGCGACGCTGCCACAAGAGACAAGCAGTATTGTACTCCGTACACACAGTGTGACCTCGGTCCGGCTCCCCGGCCGTCGACAAACAGCCCCTTCGGCTTCACTTGGCGCCGCTACCTGCAAACAGCGCCTCTCGCGTGTCGTACCCGTACTCCAGCTCTCCGTGCCAGTAGTTGGCGGAGTCGGCTTTGGAGATAGCCCACGCCTCGTCCAGCGCCTGCACCACGTCGTCGGGCAGCGGCCCCTTTTCCAGGTTGGTGAGGTTGTCCTCGAGCTGCTCGACGCTCGACACGCCAATCAGGATGCCGTCGGTGCCGTTCTTGATCTGCAGCTTGGAGTGGTGCACCATCCATCGCAGCGCCGTCTCAATCATGCTCAGCCCGTGCTTGTCCACGGCCGCCTCGATGACCTGCATCGACCGAAACGTGCTCTCGCGAAAGTACCGCTGCCGGTACAGCGCCCCCGTCGACGTCGTGTCCGAGAAGCGCCCGCTCTCCGGCACCATGTCCTTGGACCGCATCTTGCCGGAGAAGAGGCCGCCGGCGATGGGGTTGTAGACGACAATGTCCAGCCCATACCGCCGACAGGCCACGACCAGCTCGGGCTCCATGTTGCGCGTGATGACGTTGTACATGCCTTGGTAGACGGTTGGCCGCACCCAGCCCTTGTTCTTGCACGTCATGACCACCTCGGCAACCTCAAACGCCGCAAAGTTGCTGAGCCCGAGGCGCACAAACTTGCCCGCCTTGTGCAGCTTGTCCAAGGCCTCGAGCGTCTCGTGGAACGGCGTGGCCCGGTCCGGCCGATGCAGATACAGGAGCTGCCGAAAGGGCCATCAAGTCAGCCCTACATGATGCCACGCACGTCTTGTCCACATATCCGACATGCAGTGCGGTGCTTGATGGGGCTCGCTTACATCCACACAGTCGGCGCCCAGCTCCTTCAGGCTCGTCTCGACCGACTCGACTACCTTGTCTGCCGTGTTGTCGCCCGGGTTCGCCGGGTACCGCACTTTGGTCGCCAGCGTAAGCCCTCTCTCCTTCCATCTGGCCTGCCGGGTAAAGGCCTCTTGCTCGCCGGCCACGTAGACGCGCGCCGTGTCGACCTCGTTGTATCCCCTCGCCTGGAAGACGTCGAGGGCCCTGTTGAAGGTGTCGATGTCCGTGATGCGGGCGCCGCTCTCCGCCTTGGGCCCAAAGGTCATGAGACCCAAGATGATGCGGCTGGTGGGAGACTGGGCGATGAGAGGCATCTTGGACTTGTTGATTTGCCTTGACCGTTCGTACTCGTCTAGAGTCGTCGAGATGGGTGGCTTGCTTGTCTTGGTCTTGGCTGCACTCAGACGAGTCGGGAAAGTGTATTCAGTTGGCGGCCAGCAGTCCAGCAAGAAGCTCCATGTATTAACTATAGCAGCCGAGTCGACGAAGCAGCGGGGGAAACTAGCTTTATCTCCGCTTTTGTCGACGAACGGCCGCGGCGTTTTATCTCCGAGCTCCTAAACTCTGCGATGGTTGATGCCGCGACGCTGTTCTCCCATTGACCGCGGTACCCCCCACTCGAGGGGTACTTGGATCAAGTGTGTACTGCATGCCTTGGGTGCAGGTACCCGGCCAGTAGCCCGTACTTTGGAGACGAGCCAGCCAGTCTTCTCGGGATCACGTTTTGGCGCCCTCTGAGGAAAAGTCTCGGTTCCTAGGAGATCGTCACCAACGACGTCAGCAATGGGACAATGCGCCTTGCTTCAGTCACAGATCTCGTCGGTACAGATGCCAAGCTGATCGCTCCCGTCGTCGTCGCCGCCCCAGTCAGCGGCTGCCCAGGCCCTCGATATGCCGCAAAGCACCTCGTCGAGCTTCCACGACCAGTCGGCAGAAGCCAAGACCTGGACTCGCACCGAGCCATGTCCAAATAAAAGGCACGCTGTCATCAGCGTAAGCGCGTGCATATTTTAGGGCACGCCACCTCTACGACAGGGCAAGGGGCGTCCCGGCGTCCTCTGGAAACGGAAGATGCTTACCTTTGAGCCTCGATCCTCACTCCGCGGCGTGTCGGAGGTCGTTCGAGAGCCTCCATATCTCCGTTTCTACACACTCCAGCCATTGGTCTTGCTGCCCCTCAGCTTCCGGATTGGCTGGCCGGGGTTTACTTTTTCTCCGAGCCGTAGAAAGGTGTCTGGATCTCGCGAGCCATGGACGACAACAACTGTCCTCGCATACCCGGCTTCACCCACAACGGCGACTGCAACCTCATATGCAAGTCCTCGGACTGGAAAGACATCCTCGTCTTCTTCCTCGGCAACTACGGCGCCCATGCCGCCACCGTCATTGGCCGCCCCGGCCAGAGCAGCTTAACACGGGCTTTTAGCCTTGTCCTCGCTCTCTTCTTCCCCGGCGCCGGTGTCTTGACGGGTATCACCGCTATAGCCAGCCTTGCCCTCTTTGCTCCGACGGAGCTCACCAGGGCTGCGCGTGCGGGGGCGCTCTGCATAGTCGTCAAGGCTGACAGGCACCCGGGCGCGACGCACGATGTGGAGGCTTCGCATCAGCAGGTTTCGTCTTCGGAGCACGACGAAACTGTCCGTAGCAGCCAGGAAGGCTGCACTCAACCGCAGCTGGAAACCGGTCAAGACGGGCGACCCGCCTCAGACTCGGTCCAGGTAGAGGAGCGTGGTGAATCGCGAGAAGAGCATCGCCATGTCAATGAGACTGCGGAGCCGATCTCGCAACCTCAACCGCATCATGTAGAACAGAGCCTCCCAGGTATGACAAGAGATCAACAGTCAGTTGTCAAGGCTCAAGGCACCCTCGATGGTCGAGCTGATGAAAGTGGGTTAACCCTTTGTCAAAATTCCAGCGCCGTCAAACGGCTTGTCTACTGACCCAAGCGCTTGCCAGCTCTCCCATCATCCATCGCAGTTTCTCAGGTCCATGGAGTCGCTCGCCTACCTGCGGGCTATCGGCTTCTGGTATTGCCCGGGTGGACCTCCTTTGAGCACGACGATGACGGCGGCGACGACAAGCAAAGCACGTCTCCAGCGCCCGAGTCTTTTTCAGGCCGAGTTCAGGATTACATGTTCTCATCGTTCAAGGCCCAAAGCAGACTGACCAGCACGGTTCCCTGCAGCTACAACGCCATCAAGGCCCTGATATCCATAGGACAGCTGCTTTTCTCCGTTCTCACTCTCTACGAAACGCGTGGCAACCAGATCGCCGTCTTTGGCTACGCGGCATTTGGCCTCACCGCTGCGCCGTACTTTTGGATGTCCCTGGTCAATCTGCTCGGCAACTTGATGTGTCCCCAGTACCCAAATATATTCATCGTCAATTCGCCCACACTAGATCAGCTCCGGACAGAAGCCGAGGGCAAAGGGCTTGCCCACAGGTACCCTTTCGACGGCACGGTCGGCCGGATAAGCAAGGAGACTGAGGCGCGCGTGCTCGACGTCAACGGCCATCTCCTCAGGTACACGACGGCCCTCGAAGTCTTTTTCAACAGGATGGATCCCGAAAAGAGCCCCGAGACCTGGACGCTCGTCTGCCACGCGGTTGTGGCATATATGGTGGCCGCCGTACCCATCGCCATAGTAGGAGGGCTATCGCGGTTCGATCCGGGACAGAGCGCTGCCTATCAGCGAGTCTGGACCATGATCTGGCTCTGCTTCGGGCCCATGGTGGGAATTGGATACGGCATGTGGGTGCTGCCGCTCTTTGAATCCTGGCCCGTACTGTGGAGGACGATGATGATTCGCAAGGAGGACGAGTTGAGCGAGGAGGCACTCGTGCTTGGGCACGAAAAGAAGACGACGATCCATGGCAACCAGGAGGAAGAAAAGACAAAGGGCCCGGGAGACGCTCGACCACCCAACGGCACGGTTGAGACGCGCTCGGGGGATGCCCCGAGGGTTGTCATCTGGACTCAGCTCGCCAGATTTGCGCTTGTCGCGATATTCGTGTCCGTCTACATGGCACCGGCTGTCGGCGGCTTCGTCGTGGTCGGGCAGATGTTGATGCAGTACGGAACCTGTAACAAGATCAACTGACGTCTGGGGGCGTTGAGCTGCTGGCATTTGACAACGTCGTGTTATTCGCCTTTGCTCTTTGTATCCCGTGATTGAAAGCCTTGGATCCTTCGCTTTTACTGTCAGTGAAAGGGTTGATTGACTTTCTGTCGCATTATATTTCGTACATTAAATACAGAAGAGCAACTGACGAGTAGGAAACAGCAATGGCCGAGACTGCTGAAGGGACAGACTGTTCGATTGAAGCAAGCCTTGGTTGTAGTAGAAACGAGACCGAGTGCGCTCTTGGGCAAGAGTTTTACTATTTGTACTCACACTTTATTGTAAAAGATACGTGTGCAAATGGAGATGTGTGTAAGTGCAAATAGTTCTACGGAGTACGCCTAGGCAATTGCGCAAGGTGGAGCGCTATGCGGTGGGGCGGAGGAGCTCCGGATAAACTCACGCGACGCTTGTCCATCTACCTTGAGCTCGAGCTCTGCCAGGCCGAGATGCCGTCCATCGTCAAACAGCCCGTCGCAGCACACGAGCGGAACCGGCTCTGAAGATGCTACTGTACGCCTCGCCTGTCCCCTCGAGATCGAACCCCAGATCGAACCCCACCATCTAATGTGTCCCCAAGGCGTCTCACACCATAAAAACGCCTCCACCAGCCATGAGGGCAACCTTGGCCCATCATGGTCGACGGCTGCTCGCTCACCACGCGCGTGCGCCGTCCTGCGCCGCATACGCGATTCCAGCTCGCCGCCGCCCGCTAATACGTCCGACAGCCCGAGGGGGCTTTCAAAGGACCTTTTTCAAAGCCCTCTTCGAGAAGCCGCCGCGCCAAGTCAGACAGCCAGAGTACGAGCCCGGATGGATGCAAATCATGGTCTGGAGGAGTCGCATGCTCGACAAAGTCCGGCCGCCACGGCGCAAGGACCTTATGATTGCTTGGGAGAAGCTGATGCAGTCGAAACTCAAGCGCAGAGTCCCGCTCAACAGCACCCAGGCGCTTCAATGCCGACGCCTACTCGAATACCTCGCTGAAACCTCGAGCTCCAGCGGCCTACCAACCAAGAGCCTCCCACTTACTCATATTGCCATGGCCCGTCAAGTCATGCTCGAAATCGAGCCTCACGAGAGGAGCCAGAACCACCTAGATCTGGCCAGAGCTTTGCATTCTGTGTCCATCTCGGGCCAGTACAGGAGCTGTTCCGCTGCGCCGGAGCGTCAATGGCGCTACTTGGTCCGGTCATTGAGTCTCTACGGCGCATCTCAAGAAGCCGTGCAGATGCTGTACTCTAAATGGGACGATGCCGCCTACGCAGCCTGCTTCGACACACAGACCGGGCTCGTCGAGGCCGTTGCACGCGGACTCGCCCGGGAGGGCAAAGAGAAGGACCTGTTGGCGCTCGTGAAGTATGCCAAAGGACACGGCGTGCCTTATGACTGCGGGGTGCAGGCCGTCATGGTCCCTTTCTATGCCGCGCGCGATCGAGTGCCCGAGACGAAGCATTGGCTCGCGGAATCAACGGGCCAGTCCCTCTTCCGGGCCGAAGTATACCGGTCGATAGCGTCTTTTGCCATGCGGAATGGCTTGCAAAGCTGGGCAACGCAGCACTTGCTCAGGTTGGGAGAGTCGCGGCCGCCAAAAAGGTACTGGGACGTCTTGCTTCAGGCCGTTATCTTGGTCGGCAAGGGGCTTGGCGAAGTCAACGAGCTCATGTCGCACATGGTGAGCCGTGACGGAGCGCTGTCGCCCGACGGAGACACGCTCAACGGCCTGCTCAGAGTCGCAGTGGAGATGCGAGATCCGACGCTGGCCTCGGACATTCTAGCTCTGGGCGCCGAAGAGGGACTTGCGCCGGACGGGGAGACGCATCTCATCCTGCTACAAATGTGCCTCGCAATGGGCAACCTGGTGGGCGCCCAAGACGCATACCAGCAGGTCAAGCACTCGGAAGTCTGGAGGAGCGAGTCCAGGCCGGAGCTGCTTGACGAGTACGAGCAATTGCTCAACGAATACCTCGCCCTGCTGTCACGCCAGGCACCGCCCGACTTCCCGCTCATCGTCACGCTCATCGAGGCTGTCGAAGAGGACCGAATACTCTTGCAGCCCGAGACGGTTGCCGCGCTCTGCCTGCGATTCCTCGAGAACGACCAGCACTTTGATGTCATGGACATCTTGTCGGCCCACTCCTTCTTGTTCAGCGAGGCGCAGCGCGAAGTGGTGCAAAACGCCTTCATCACCTTCTGCCTCGACCGCAACACCAGCACGCGCCGGGCTTGGGACGCGTACCAGCTCCTCAACCAGTTCTTCCAAGACACGAGCTTCGAGCGCCGGACAAGGCTCATGGAGGCCTTCTTCGACCGGAGACGCCCAGACATGGCGTCGATGGTGTTTGGCCACATGCGCCAACATCGAAACCAATCCTTCCATCCCCAGCTGGACACGTACGTCCGGTGTCTGGAAGGGCTCGCCCAGCACCCTGACCGCAAGGGACTGGGCCTCGTGCACAACATGTTCAAGATGGACACGACGGTCCAGCCGACGACGAAGCTTTACACGGCCATGATGCTGGCATACGCGGCCTGTGACCAGCCCCTGGCGGCGCTGGACTTTTGGACCGAGATCACGCGGTCGCGGGAGGGACCGTCGTATGCCAGTCTGGAAGCCGTCTTCTGGACGCTGGAGAGGAAGCCCGGCGGATGCAAAAAGGCTCGCGAGATATGGGAAAGAATAGAAAAGGTGGACTTGGAGGTGCCACCAGCCGTCTACAACGCATACGTCGGGGCCATTGCCGGCAGCGGCGAACTCAATGACACGCAACAGGCCATTATGAATATGGAGTCTGTTCTCGGCTCAGAGCCAGACAAGATGACGTGAGTGGCTCTGGAGGCCCACGGTATTAAGTTGTTGCTAAAATGTGTCTAGATTGGCGATTGCACACAACGCCCTGCCCGGGCAGAAACTGCAAGAAGAGTTTCGAGAGTGGGCGAAAGACCAGTATCACGAGGCTTGGACGGAATTGAACAAGGTCGGCCGGCGGCTGAATGAGTATTCGCTGTGCCAGTTCAAGATCAAACGGGTCATCAAGGCCTGACGCGCACGAGATGGGGAATCTGTAACTTTGTATCTACATATACATGGGGCATGATGCATATAGCGACTTGAAGACGGGCTCGACGACAACCTTTTCACCTATCCACGTTACCGACGGGGAAGAAATTGAGCCTCATCATCTCGGGATGGTCGTGGATGCTGGGGTAAATGCCCATGCCCTGGACGCGGCGGATCATCTTTGCAATCTTGCGCTGGTTGACGGGGCGAAGGCCCGTGGCGGACGAGTGGATGACTTGGCCCGAGGACGTGGTGAAGTCTTGGATGAGGGAGAAGTTCTGCACGCGACGCCGTCAGCTTGGGTAGATTTGGGTGGGTGCAGAGAATCGCGAGGGAATGCTCACCTTGTACATGTCGAGCGGACGGATGCCGAGGGTGTCGACGACATCGTTGTTCCGCTGCGACCTCCGGCGCCACTTGGCCATCTCGACGGGGCTGAGGTCGTGGGGGGAGTAGACGTCCCCGGGCTCGAAGCGGCGGGGCATCTGCCGCAGATAGTCCTGCGAGTCCTTGTTCTTGTGCATAAACTCGAGCTGCGACTGCTTGCTGCGGCCGGCAATCTCGGCGCGCTTCTTGTAGCGGTCGATGAGGCGGCCGGCGGCGTTTCCGGCCCTGAGGCGGTCCTGGCTCCCCTGGTGGGCGCCGCCACGCCTGCCGTCGATGGACAGGAGATTGCTGGTCGACGAGGTTGGCGGCGGTCTCGACGGGGCCGAGGAGGAGGCTGCTGGTTGGTTCGGCATGTCGAGGGCTGCGCGGGCCGTGGAGGAGAAGAAGAGGGCGCGCGTGGGGGGGGGCAGCGACGGCTGCGAGGGCGCGCGGAGGAGTGGGAGCCGTGGCGGCATGGCGGGTGGGAGGGAGGCGATGCTTTTTGCCGTGGTGGGAGTCGTGATGAAGGCGTGTAGATAAATCCTGAAGCTTCAAAGTACATGTGGACATGGAGCGGAATCTGGACGAGGTACGGAGTACGTACTGGGAGGTCCCTGGCGATTAAAGGCGGGTCCCCGGTTTCCGTACGCGGAGCCCGTTCCGCGCTCTCGGATCGAGCCCCACGTAGATTTTTCCAAAGCCTCAACTTTCCTCCCTCCACCGACCCGAGTGACGGAGCCAAAGACGAGTCGCATTCAGCAGAAGCAAGTCTCGATACTCTTTCTTGCAGCCTCGCCTCGCGCGCAACACACACGGCCGGCCCATCATGGTGCGCAAACTCAAGTATCACGAGCAAAAGCTCCTCCGCAAGACCGACTTCATCACCTACAAGCAAGACAACAACCACCGCGACAAGGCCGTCGTGCGGCGCTACATGATCCAGAAGCCCGAGGACTACCACAAGTACAACCGCATCTGCGGGGTGAGTCGCCGCCTTGCCTCTGCGCGTGCTGGCCGCAACCATGCGACAGATGCTGACCATGGAGCTGCCCTGCCTCCAGTCGCTGCGACAGCTAGCCAACCGCCTGTCCCTGCTGCCGCCGGAAAGCGCAACGCGCCGCAAGCACGAGGAGCTGCTGCTCAACAAGCTCTACGACATGGGCGTGCTGTCGACCAAGTCGAAGCTGTCGGCCGTCGAGCACGGCGTCACCGTCAGCGCCTTTGCGCGGCGCCGGCTGCCCGTGGTCATGACGCGGCTCAAGATGGCCGAGACGGTGCAGGCGGCCACCAAGATGATTGAGCAGGGCCAGGTGCGCGTCGGCATCGAGACCGTCACCGACCCGGCCTACCTGGTGACGCGCTCGACCGAGGACTTTGTGACGTGGGTGGTGGGCAGCAAGATCAAGCGCAACATTATGAAGTATCGCGACCAGCTCGACGACTTTGAACTGCTGTAATGACGGCCGGGGACGATACAGATAGATGTGCATGGATGGGGAAGGGGGACGGCGAAGGCATGGGCAACATGGGCATTTAACCGGCGTTTTGAGGTTTGCGGGTCTGGGTTTTGTGTCTTGGCGATACCAGTGTCCAAGTTGGAAGCTGCAATTGGAGTCTAGGATGGCGCGCAACGAGCTGCGAGACGGGGAATCCTTTGCAAAGACGAGGCTCAGTCTTGAGACATACATGGAGCGTATGGGCTCTGCCAGCAACATGAAGCAAGCGACCAAGCTAGACACTCTCTCCGTGAAGCAGACGACTCGTGCCGGCATAAAAAGGGGGCCACCTAGCTCCTGACTAATTCGCCCACAACCTTGCCGACTATATAATATCGCTCGCGGCCGGCATTCCTCTCCGCCCCCCGCCCCCTCCGCTCTCCCCGATATCTGGGGTTCTCTCTGCTAGTCTAGTCTACATACAGAGTCATATCTTGACGGACTAACACACGCAACCTTGCCGACCAAGGCGTCACCTCGGTCGCCTTTCTTCACATAGACCACCCGGTCTCTCGCTGTACGACGCAGGCGGTTCTTTGTGCAACCCCCTCAAGATTCCCCAGGCGTGGTGACACTCAAGGCTCGCCCCTCCTGCCACTTACACAGCCACCGAGACGTCCCTCATCTCACTCCATCGCCATCGTCGCCGGCCGAGGAGAAGAGCGCAGACGGACCACGACCATGGCCCTGCTCACCACCCTCCAGGACCTCGTCGTCCACCTCGTCGAGCCCTGGCTCTTCATGGCCATCTCGCTCCGGCACGTGCCCCAGACAGTCAGGGCCGTCGTCGCATCCGGCCAGCTCGCCACCTTGCTCTCGCCCTCGGCCTTTTCCGACGCCCTGTTCGGCCAGTTCTGGGCCACCGTCGGCCCGGACGTCAAGCAGGCCAGCGAGGCGCACGTCGTCCCCCTGCTCGAGGGCCGCGTCTCCGCCGGCCGCGTCCACCGCGACGTCGTCGCCGTGCCCGTCCACGGCACCGTCGTCGAGATTGGCGCCGGCAGCGGCATGTGGGCCGACGTCTTTGCCCGCATCCGCGCCGGCTCCGCGCCGCCGCCGTCGTCGGCCCCCGGCCATGCCGACGACGGCCGCGGCGACGGTCCGCGTGAGCGCAAGAAGGAGCCCGCCGCCCGTATCACCAAGATCTACGGCGTCGAGCCAAACCCCCAGTCTGCCGCCGCCCTGGCCCGCCGCGTCCAGCAAGTCGGCCTGGCCGACATCTACCAGGTCGTCCCCGTCGGCATCGAGTCCGTCAGCGACCCCTCGGCCTGGGCCGGCCAGATCCCCCCGGGCTCCGTCGACTGCATCGTCGGCGTCCTGTGCCTCTGCAGCATCCCCGACCCGGAAGACAACATCCGCCGCCTGCACAAGCTGCTCAAGCCGGGCGGCCGCTGGTACGTCTACGAGCACGTCAAGGCCACTCGCGGGGGTCTGCTGTTGAGGCTCTACCAACGTGAGGCCCCCTTCACCTCGGAACCACGAACTGTTGCCTGACCACTGACCTCCCTCTAGGCCTCGTCAATATCCCCTGGTCATTCTTCCTGGGCTCGTGCCGCATCTGTCGTTCCACCGACAAAACTCTCAGGGCCGCCGGCTCATGGCAAGAGGTGGACCTTGCGCAGCCGCCGAGCGAAGCCCCGTATTGCGTCTTGCCCCATGTTCTCGGAACTCTGACAAAGTAGCTGCCCGCCGTCACCATAGCAAGCAGATTAGGGGGGTCAGCAAAGGCAAAGTCACGCATCTCTCCATTCAGGGGTATCACATAAGCAAGAACCTAATTCTCTCAAAGCTCGTCGTCGTCATCGTCGTCATCGACGAGGAAGATCGACGTCCTCTTCGTCGTGCCTTCAAGCATGACCTTGGCCTTGTCGTCATCCATGTCCGGGCGGGCACTCGGCTGCACGCTTGGCATCTCGCTCTTGACTTCCTCCGCCTTCATGCCTCTGTAGTTGGTGTCCTCGAGCTTCGCGCCCTCGCTCTTGACTTCCTTCGCCTTCACAATTCTAGCTTTGGTATCCTCGCTCTTCACTTCCTCCAACTTCACACCTCTAACCTTGGCGTCCTCGAGCTGAATACCCTCGCCCTTGACCTTTTCGGCCTTCACCATTCCGGCCTTGGTGTCCTCGAGCTTAATGTCCTTGTCCTCAACATGCTCGTGTTCCGAGTCCTCCGCCTTCTTCACTTGAGGCGAGGCGTGCAGCTCCCCGTCCTCATCCGCAGCCGCCAGAGCCTCCTCTCGTTTCTTGTAAAAGGTGTCCAGGCATCTCCTCCGCGTCTCCTGTGGCCAGCTTTCCACAACTAGGGCAAACTCTGTTGCACTGGCAAACCCCAATGTCCGTGCCATTTCACAGAATTGCCGTAGACATATGTCTTCCGGAGGCCTGTATAGCCGGTGCGGGGCCTGCCCATTGTCCTCGTCTTCCGAGTCGGCGAATAGTGCGCTCTGTCCTTCCATGTCGGCGTCGGCGTACGATGCCATTGCGGCCCGCCGAGAGAGCTGTTCCTCCACTTTGGACGAGCCAATGACTTCCGAGTTGTCATGGGTGTACTCGACCCCGACCGAGGTAAGGATGGCTTGGATAGCATCCGTCTTCGGCGTCGTCACCCTCTGAGACTCGAGCATCTTCTCCTGGTCCTCGGCGGTAAGCAGGGTCGCCAGACGGTTAAGCCCACCGTCCTCATCAGCTTCCTCTTTTTTCGCGACCCCGAGCTGTTCGTCCTCTTGGGCTGCCTTTTCCATGTCCACGTCCGCCAGATGCACTCCCGCCTTGGCCTCGGCAACGTTTGTCTTGTTGACAATGTCTCGAAGCAAGCCAATGTCCTTGTGGTACGTAAAGATGTTGGAGAGGCCGAATATCTCTCCCTTTCTCTCCGCGTTCTGCTGAACACCGCGAAAGTATCTGCGCTCGGACGAAGCAGTGTACCCAATGTTTGCCTGCTGCTGCTTGTAAATCTGCCGCGCGTAGACAACCTCCTCCACCGTGCCGAGGGAGATGAGGCGAAAGACTTCGACGTCGCGAGTCTGGCCGATGCGATACGCACGATCTTGCGCCTGGAGGTCGTATGACGGATTCCAGTGGGGATCGACAATGACGACCTTGTTCGCAGAGGTGATGTTGAGACCCACGCCGCCCGCCTTGGTCGAGATGAGAAACACAAACTGCCTCGGGTCCGAGTTGAAGGTGTCAACCGTCTCCTGCCGTTGCTCGTAAGACAAGGAGCCGTCCAGGTAGCTGACATTGTAGCTTGTGTTGGTGAAGAGATGCTGCAAGATGCGCAGCAAACGCACGCTGTGGGAGAAGACGAGAACCTTGTCTCCGCCGTTGCGCCAGAACTTGAGCAGCTTCCTGAGAATCTTCCACTTGCCGCAGAACTCGGGGTCGACCAGGTTCCTAATCTGGTCCCGCTGCTCGTACAGCTTTTTCCAAGTGTCGGGCATGCAGGTCTGGAGCGTTCTCAGCTCCGACTTGTGCTTGGGCTCCAGGTCCGTCGTCGATGGCACGAGCAGCGTCAGGTGGTTCGCCAGTTTCTGCAGCACGATGATGCTTGGAAACACAATCCGCTGCCACGAGGTCCCGTCCGGGAGATGTGTCGCGCAGCACCAGCCCTTCTTATTCCCGTGTGGGCAGGTGTCCGAGATGGTCCGCAGGAGCAAGAGTCCTGCGCTGTCGAGGAAATTTTCGTATGCTTCTCGTTGCAGGTCCGTGAGGGGGCAAAAGACGACTCTGTCCGTCTTCTTGGGCAGCTGGTCGGCTATCAGCGTCTTCATGCGCCGGAGAAAGTAACGGGGGAGGAGGTTCTGGACGAGCTTCTTGGCCGTCTGTCGGGCGAGGCTGAGCTGCGCAAAGGTGGCCTCGTGCGACTGGCCGACTGTCAATGGCTTGGCAATGCTCTGCGTCCACTCTGCCCGGGTGCCAAAGTGTCCGGGATTGGTCCAGTCGAGCAAAGTCCAGAGCTCCTCGTACTTGTTCTGAATGGCCGTGCCGGTGAGTCCGATGCGACATAGTGCGTTGATCTCCGCCATGGCCTTTGTCGTCTCCGAGTATCTGTCCTTGAGCCTGTGGCACTCGTCGGCGACTACGACGTCCCACTGGACCATGTTGATGGAGCTGCGATTGTTCTTGTACGTGTCGTAAGTGGTGATCATGATCTCGAGCAGGCCAGACCGAGCAGTGCCCAACACATCGTCCTTGTTGGTTCCGTGGAAGACATCGATGTGCCACCATCCCCAACGGTTCATTTCGTTCTTCCAGTTCATGATGAGAGACCCAGGACAGACGATGAGCACCCGCGGATACCAGCGGCCGCCGCAGAAGCGAACCTCTCGCATGCGCTTGGCATCGCGCTCGTCACCTTTCTTGCCAAAGGCAACGGTCAAAAAGGCGGCGACCTGAACCGTCTTGCCCAGGCCCATGTCATCACCGAGGATTCCGCCCTCCTGGTACACAAACTTTCGATGGAGAAACTTGACGCCAGCCACCTGATAGTCGCGAAGATACTGGGCAATGGAGGCAGGGATCAGACCCGCGGACTGGGGAAGCTCTATGTCTTCGTACGGTCTCGAGGGCTTGATGCCGCTGAATGCACTGAACTCGGGCCGCTCCTTTACTTCCCCTAGCGTCCCCGGCTCGTCAAAGATAATGTCGGTGTAGTCCGGGGGCAGCATGAGGGCGGCCTCGTGGTGCAGCTTCTTGTCGGCATCAAAGGCCCGCCTCCTCTCCTGCAAGTAGTCTGGGATTCCGCCGAGATCCAGTTCATCGTCGTTGCCCTTGACCTCGTCGCCGTGGACTTTCGATGTCTTCTTGGACTTGCGCTTCGCCTTCTTTTTCTTGGGCTTCGCCGGCCCGCCGTCCGACTCGTCGGTCCATTGCACCTTTTCCTCTAGCTGCTCTTGGACCTTTCTCTTCCTCGGGTCACTTTTTCCGCCGCCACCGAGAGCGTGTTCAGTCTCTGAGAGTGTGTCTTGGTCGTCAAGCACCTCGATGACAGGTATATCGTCGCTCGAGACCATGGCGGGGAAGGCTGAGATGACGCAGAACGCGGCGCATTGGTCCAAGGGAGAAGCGCGCATGAGGCGCGGTCGGATAAAGTGGCACGCGACGGGGAGAGCGTGATCACGTGACCACCTACTGAGCAGGGCACGAGCGCGGATTTCCTCTTTCAGACTCTTCAACATCGAGATGTCGTCAGGGTCGCACAGCATGGATTATCCTCCCAAACACTTTCTCTTGCTCCAAAATGCGCCATGACAATCCACCACGCGAACCCATTCCTCCGGCCTCGTCATATCAGACGAGGAATCTGAACCCGCGCTCCACAGCCTCGCCAGGCGCTGCGTTGATCGCCCCTTTGACCGTCTCTCCTCTATCGAGCTTTCTGTTCAATCTCAACAGCAAAACCTTGAGCACAAATGCCGCTGCGATTGCCATGGCCGCCAGCATGCTGTTGTGGATAAACGCCCCGATGTACCGCGGCTTTGCCGATGCTGGATACAGGAAGCTGGTGTATATCGAGGAGCCGTTGCCAACCGCATTGATGACGGCCAAGGCCGCCGCCCGCTTCGCAGGTGGTCGCGGCATCGTGTTGCTGACCCAGGCCACCGCCGTGGTGAAGCCGCTGTAAAGCCCTGGGATCTGGAGCGAAGCCCGTCAGGTTTTGCCGACTCGTTCCCGCGCACGGAGCTTACCATGAGCATCATGCTCACATAGCGAGCTGCCGTGTTTGTCGTGGCAGCAGCGACGATGAAGGCGGCGATGCCCACGCCAAGTGGCAGCGTGATGTGGTAGAACCGCTCCCCGGTCTTGTCGGCGTGCCACGCATTCGCGAGCGTCGTGATGAGACCGAGCACGTACGGCGGCACCGTCAGCAGCAGGGTTGGCACCGGTCCGTAGTGGAGGGTGGCCACAACCGTGGGGAAAAAGTTGGTGACCGAGTTGGCCGAGATTTGGCCAAAGAGGAGGACGAGCTCGACACGTCGGTCAGTTCGGGACAAAGACCAGAAAGAAACAAGACAAGAGTGTACGGATGGCGTACCAGAATCCACGTCTTCACATCCTCCAGGGCCAGCTTGAAGCCGTGCCACAAAGTCTGGTCCTCGGCATTGATCCAGTCGTCTTGCCCAATGTCTTCCTCAAGCCGCCACGCCGCCAAGGCCGCCTCCTGCTCGTTCAGCCACCCCGTTGTTCGTGGAAAGTCGGGCAGGACGAAGAAGGCGGCAAACGCAACGGCCACGGTGGCGACGCCCTCGACCAGGAAGAGCCAACGCCACGCGCGAAGGCCACTGGTGCCGTCCATGTTGTTCGTGATGCCGGCAGCGATGAGCCCGGAGAAGGCACCGCCCAGCAAGGCCCCGACAAAAAGGTACGCTGTGCGAAGACTAAGTTCGCTCCGTGTGTACCAGCAACTCAAATAGTAGAGGCATCCCGGCTGTCTGTGTGTCAGCACCCCAGGCCCTCTTTCGCGCCGAGGGCGCGGGTGTCACCAACAAAGTATGCCGCCTCGACGAAGCCAAGGAAGAAGCGCCCTACGAGCAGACCTCCATACGAGTGACATCCTGCCGTGGCCCCTGAAATGACACCCCAAACAATCATCTGGCGCGACGGGTAAGCAGAGGCCGGGGCTTTTGCACTTGCGGGCTACCATACGCAAGCTGGAAGGTATTTTCCGGGCTTGCCCGTCTTGTTGAGGATCAAGTTGGACGGAACCTGCATCAGAATGTATCCCACAAACAGGATGCTGACTGCGGTCTGGCTTGTCTTAGTCTACATGAAGCATCCTCGAAGCATATTCGGGCACAAGGCATGGAGGCCTTACCTCGAACTGGCTCCCATTCTGATCCAGCTTCAGATCCTCCTCAAGGCCGGCGAGCCTCGCCAGCGCGATATTGGTACTGTTGTTGATTCAATGGGAGTCCTCGTCGTCCCCACCCGAATGTAACGCACCGGTCGATGTAATTCAGGATATACATCATCAAGATCATAGGAAGCAGTCGAAAGTCAATCTTTCGTATCAGCTTCTTCTCCAGAGCGCTGCGCTGCTGCGCGCCCATGCTGCGGATCATCTCGGGAGGCTGAAGCACCCGAGATGGCTTCTTCATGCCCCTGCTGTCCAGAGGCTGGATATCGTCGAGGTCTACAAGGCCATTGTCTTTGGTCGCGGCCATTTTGTACTGGTTGCCGTCGAAGCGTCGCAGGGCTTATGAGTCGGCTGAGGTAGCAACCAAGCTGGATAGAGCGACGGCGAGATGCCACACTTTGACAGGAGAGCAAGGGACATCTAAGATGAGCTGTGATAGATGACGACGTGCCATACCGTACGTCGTACAACTCGAGCTCATCTGCCCCCTTTTCCCCGCACTCGCCAAGGTCTGCTGTCAGCCGCCCTCGAGATCCTCGAGTTACACAACCTCCGGTGTGATGCCTTTTCTGCTCTGCTGCATAACAGCCAAGGCGTACTGTACGTTGCACTCGCCTTTTTTTGGCTGACTGATCTGCGGACGCTGAACCCGAAGTCGACGTACTGGGTAACTGTGCCCCGATGTTGCAGTTCACCGAAACTCATCCCTGTCCCACAATGCAGAATGGACGCCAACATGGAAGCAGTCAATGCGATTTGCGATGGCTACGGGTCGACTCGACAACAAGAGCCATGGCCTTTTCACCGGAAAGCGGTCGAGGAGACCGGCGAATGTCCAGTATGTGGTTTAGAGTGCGATGTGTTAGTGCGCGTGCCATGGATGAATAGTCCTCGCCATTTTGCATTGATGGGCCAGTCACAACCAAGCCTTGTCAGGATTTACATAGAGCCATGTACTCTGGGGTTTAGAGCATCGTCGTCTACTGTACGTTGCGTCTCGTGTATACGCCTTGTATTGGTCCAAGTTGCACGAGGCAGAAGGGGAACACGTACATCTGCCGGATCTCTTACATTGGGCTAGGCTATAACGTATGAATAGGGGTAGGTGTGATGCGTCCTTCTCTTTGCTTCATCGTCACCCATAAAATCCCGGGGATGCGAGTTCCTGGTGCCCTACTGACTGGCCTTTGGGTTTCTTTCTGGGTACTCTCCTTGTCTTATTCCTTCATTTGATCAAGTTGAAAACATGATGACCTGATATGGACGATCGTCCAATGCGATTCAATATCGAGACAAGGGGAACAACAGACCCAATGAGATAGCGCCTCGGTGATTCCTCAACAAGTGCCCCGAATGTATGTATACAGTATGCTTCAAGAAATGAACGCCGCCAGCGCCAGGGCTACAAGCCATGCGAACTCGCTCTCTCTACTCGAACTTGACTCTTCCGCCCAAGCCGGCCGAGTATGTAACTCGGTATCCTTTTGATTTGGGTCTTCTCGTAGACCTCGAATGTGTTTTGTTCGTGTCGTTTGTGGCATCGGTTGATCGCCCGTGCGGTATTCCCTGTGTGACAACTGGGCGTCACGACTCGCTCAAACATGCCCGTCAACGAGAGACTTGGCAGCAAACGGCCAGCCCAGCATGACGGCAAAGGCCGGGAAGAATCTACACCACAGAAGCCCCAAGTTAGTCCTCGGTACCATTTTCATCTCGTCTTGCTCCCCGTTTTAGATGAAACAAGAGGAAAAAGAAGCCGGATAAAGAAAGGGTTGAACTTGAGCAACGTACACGAGGGCCTGGCTGCCGACGCGCTTGACCTCGCGGGCCCAGTCCGGCCGCGCCGCCCTTTGCGAGATGGGCAGGCGCTGGAAGGGATGGGCCTCGAAGGAGCGGGCGGCGGTGCGGGCGGAGGCGAGCACGGAGAAGGGTCTCCGGACGGCAGTGCGGGCGGCAGGGATCATCGTTGACGTGTGAGTGTGTGGTGTGAGTGTGTGGTGTGAGTGTGTACGCAGTATGAATGATGTGCGTGTGGTGTATCAAGTGTTGACCTCAGAAGATGCGTGATGGATCTGCAAGTATGGATGGATGGATGGATGCTATGCACTCATACACAAAGGGGGAAATCCAGAGCCGCCGCCCCTTTTTGTATCTGATCCCCCGGAGCCGCAACCACGAGACGAAAAGCCAAACCCTCGCATGGCGCGTATAGTCGTCAAGCTTTCCCACAGCCCCAGCTCATCATGCCCTCCCCTCCGCAAAAGATGTGCCCACGCAAGATGAGCAAGTGGGCAGATGTCGCCGGGAGCGGGCCCCGGGGTCACACCACCCGCCCCGGTCAGGCCCGGGAGGCTGACTGCCTCGCGGCTCTGAAAGTGAAAGTGCTTAAAAAAAAGGATGGGAAAGTTTCCGCACATCATCCAATGGCGGAGCCTCGAATTCTGCCCTCGGCCACAATTACACATAGCGTTTGGGGGCCTTCCGGTGCACCGGGTGGGCGGTGGTGCCACCTCGGAGCCCAGTCCGGGCGGGGCTTCCCGGGCGTGTGTGTGTGTGGCTAAGAGGCACTAACAAACCCTGCTTCTCCCGAATTATCGACTGAGCATCAAGCCATGGCCACGGACCGATTGAGAAATTTGCAGGACCAGGTATTTCGTGGGAGAAGAAATTGGTGTCGGCGCCAATGAAACAGCAGACGATGAAGGTTCTCTAGTGAATTGCGACGGGCAATATTCCACGTGTTTTTGTCCCGTCTTTCTCCATTGTCGTCTCTCTCCGTCTTCCAACCAATTCGGGAGTAAACAAGGCCAGAGACTTCTTCATCTCTGCAACGCCTACGTCTAACTCATACACGAGGCCCAAGATGGCATTCGTGACGACATGACGGCACCCGTACTCATGCAAGCAAGCACCAAGACGCAATACGGGCCTCGACAACATGCCGTCAGTCTGTCATTTCTCACCACCGTCTCCTGTCAAGCGCCCGCATGCAGTATGTGCTGCAAAGACAGCGTCTACAAGCGCTAACTAAGCATGGACGGATGCCAGGCAAGTCTCGAGTACGGATGCGAGTACGGATGCAAGGTATCCGTACTCAAAACGCATGGCAGCCGTCGGACGATTTCCGAGCCAACAAGACGCTGCTGCACCGCCTCACTGCGTCAGCACGGCCATCTACTGCAAACGACTTGGCGCCAAACACCCTGCCAGCCAGTCACGGCGCCAATAGTCGAGACGAGACAAACATCGGTGAGGAATTCATCTTGGATTAAGGGGTATCCGCAAAAACTAGGCATCTAACAAAGAGGTCCAGACGTGTCCGGGTCTTCAGCCCCCGGCCGTTGTTGCTGCATCACAAGCCAATGGCCATCCCCCAACCACCATTAAAGAGCAAGCAAGAGAACAGAAATAGGATGACGGCAGGAGAGGCATGCATCGTCGTCGCCAAGATAGGCCAAACAGTCGGTCTCGCCCACGTTTTTCGGCCGAGCGCCCCGACACACAATCTTACGTCATTGCCAACGCCCTAGACACAGAGCCCGTGGGCCGTGAGCTTTCATCTCATGACGCAGGCGAGCTCGAGTCGCGCAAGGCCAAACGAAGTCCGAATAATGCCTCTACCTCGTCACGATGATGTAGATGGCGTGGATGATACCAGGAATGTAGCCTAGACAGGGGTGAGTTAGACAATGCATGCATGGCCTGGCAGCTGAGTGGGACAAGCGGCAGGTTGGTAGGCAGACTTACCCAGAATGGTCAGGGCGACATTAATGAGCAGGTCGACGCCGCAGCCCGTCTCGAGGAAGACACCCAGAGGCGGGAGGAGGACGGCGAAGATGAACTTGCAAATGTCGCTGTCGATGCGATTAGCTGACTGGGCCACGTCTCGAGAGAGGCCACAACGGCGGCTTCACATGCTCGATACGGCGAGACGTGGACAGGAGAAGAGGCGGGAGAGATGCTTACCTTCCGGTGAGAGGCATGGTGGTGGCTGGGCTTTCGAGGGCAACAAGGGGTTACAGAAGAGAGTCGTCGTCGTTGGTACCGTCCGACTTGGGTTGCGGTCGCAGGATCAGGAGAACCGCGAGTTCGGCTTTGTCGCAGTCGGCGCGTATAAGATGCGAGACTTGGGACTGCAAGTGGTGTTTGCTGGTTTTCAACCGAGAGTGTGAGGAGAGTTGGAGAGTGGGAGGAGCGGGAGAGGAGAGAAGCGGGGGAAAAGGCCAGTTGGTGCAGCCGAGGGGCTGGTTTATAAATACAGCCAGGAGGGGAAAGCTAGCAGCCAGTGGGTGACTGCTGTACCTTGACTCTGACCTTGACTCTGCGCAGCACTGCGCGTTGCTCGCAGGGCACCCCTCGCCTGCCCCCTCGCGCGGCAGCCCGTGCTGTACAGGTAGGTAACTTAAGTTACTGTACATTGCCGAGCCGTCCACCCGTTTGTCGTCATCATTGGCGCCAGGGCCCTGTTTTTGGTCATGGTCCCCACGGGCGGCAAAAAGCTGACCATGTTTGGGGCCCCAAGTACCTACCGTCGACTTGTTCCATTTGTTTACCAGTCCGTCCTCGCTCGGTCTCATGCTCATGAAGATGCCCTCTTCACCACCGTTGGCAATGCACATGCGCAAAGCTTGGGCCGCTGCCCGCCGAATGCGGAGGGGAAAGGCCCGACAAAGCTCGGCAAACTGCTCACGAGCAACGGCATGCCTACATACAGTACGGTACTACCTAACATACCTACCTCAACCTATCTACGTACGGTACCTACCGTCGTACAGTAGTAGTACCTAGCGTACGGAGTAATTCAGGACGAACCACTCCCGGTCCATCCAGTGCCTCATTTCCCAGCCACCCGACCTGCACCGCACTGCACTGCCCAAGCCCAGTCAGGCCCAGGCCCAAGAGCTTGCAGGGGAGCAGCTGCGTCATCATCAACTGCGCCGCCCATTGTGCCATGTGTGTTCCCCCAGACCGGGGGGCAATGGCCCGTTGCCCTTGTCCGCCACCGTTCTCTTGTCTGCTCGGAACCGCCCCGGGGGAACATGGATGTATCGAGCTACAGCCGGTGCAAGTACTCGGACTGTACTCCGTACATGACGACAGCCTCTGGACGGGCACAAGACGTGCATGGCCACCACAGCAAGACTGTCGAGTTGCCTCTCGGCTGGTCCCCCTTCCTCTAGCCGCGCACCCATTTTTTCCCCTCCACATCTTTAGCATCGTCGCCAACAACAGCAACAACAAAAAAACATCGGCACAATGTGGGCGACAAAGAGCCAAGGCATTGCGGCCATCTACGTCATTGGCCCATCCGTCATGAAGCTGTAGTCTGAGGTGGGTACATGCCATGGCCGCCGGTCTGGTACCCCCTACCTCTGTGCCCTGGAAGCAGCGCTTGGCATCGCCACAGACTGGCGTGGCTGTGGGGCCCGATCATTCGTCGCGGGTATCCGATACTCTCCCCGCTCGATGCTAAGGTACCTGCTCCATACAATAGCACATGAGATACAGCGGCCCCCACCTCTCCCGCTTCCATCGCCGGTTCTCCAGCCAAGGTGAGCATGCGCCAAATGCCCTGCGCCACACTTGACCTCATCACAAACCTGCCATGTACCGGTACCGACGTCAGCACCCCTCCAGCGGGCGGTTATGACGCACCAGCGGTATCGCCCGCAAGTCATGCACTGCACGGCCGGTCCTTTTCAGACACACCATTGGAAAGGCTTCGATTGTTGACTGCTTGACTGCCTGCCTCTCCCGGTCAGGCACCATCGAGTGGCAACAGAGCTCGGTTCTCCGGCTAGATGGCATGGAGCCTCGCATCTACGATCCATCTGCGCCCCGGTTTGCCTCGCCAAGTCTTTGGGAGCAGAATCTCACCTGATGCGGTAAGTCTCGGCACAGCAGGACCCGCAGCCCAACTTCAAGATGAGAAGCCAAGGCCATGAACATGCTATTACCTAAACAGTAAGTTACTTCGTACAATACAATAATTATGGTAAACCCTGGAGCGCTTCTGCCTACAAACTTACTCCTCGGCTCACCTCGTTCAAACTCCTTGCTTCCAGATCCCTCACAACCCCGAAATAACATCAATGGCAACACTTCTTCTTCTTTTTGCAGCTGCTGTAAGGGTCCTCTTGGCCCTAGAAGGGCAGAAGCAGTGGTCGCGCTACTAGACCACCCCCCTACCCCCCCCCCCACTGCCACAGAGGCCGACAGTATGCATGTGACAAAAGGGAACGAAATTAATAACTAAGCAGCAGCTTTGTCAATTGGCCACACATATAAAGGAACGGTTTGGACTGCGACCAAACAACCAACCAGGGGGCCCGAGCCCCGTGACAGCTGCTTTTGACCATTTGAAATCAACCCGAAAGCCCAATGGCCGCCTCCATCTGCCCAACGCACGACAGGTTGTTGCCCTCGGCGGCCAACACCAAACATGCCGTCACGATATTCACCCGCAAGGATGACGCACAAGGTAGAAACTGCTCAAACCGTTCAGTCAGCAACAGCTCCTCTCTCGGCATCGCGACACCATCCTTGTGTTGACGCGTGTCGATGCCAGTACAGGCAGCACAGCTCTCAGCTAGCATGCAGACCTAAGCATTCATTCAAAGATCCATCGTAGCCCTGCATACATGGCCGCCTCCATGTGGCTCTGTACCTTCTCCATCAACGACACGTACAGCCTCGCCTGCTCAGTCTTCCTCTCAGGCCCTTCCCCTCAAGCTCCTCCCGTACAGCAAAGCTCCCGAAGCCCAGCCGCCCAGGAGCGAGCCCCCGTACAGGCCGACGACAATCGTCACCGGCCACCTCTGCCACTCGCGGTCCCAGTCGAGCGGGATCGGCACCGCGCCCAGCCACGCGCCCACCACGGCGCCCGCGAGGCCCCCAAACGTCTCGTCCAGCGGCGCCGACGCCCCCGATACGGCAACCAGCGCCTCGCCGTTGACCCCGCGCGCGTAGAAGACGGGGAACAGGCCCAACAGCGCAAAGTGCGCCGAGCAGAGAATCGTGTGCGGCACGTGGTCGAGCAGCGGCGCGCCGAAGAGCACGAATAGGGCGTAGACGGCGGGTGTCGCAATCGACGTGAGCACCAGCGATAGCAAGGCCGTCTGGTAGGGCAAGTTGCCCACGGTCAGCAAGCAATTCCCCGCGATAGTCCCGCCATGTCGGCATAGGGAAAGGGGGGGCTTCTTTACTGAAATCGGATCGGGGCCCGTCATGTCATTCTTCTTCCTTTCTCCCGGACGGGGCTTCCTCGCCGCCTTCGCAAGCTGCGAGCCCGCACCAGGAAGACACAGGACCGCGTACACTGCCTGAATAACAGCGACGACCGGCAGCGCAGACCACAGCGTAGACACGGGGTCTGAGACGAGGGCGTCGAATCGCGCGGCGAGCAGGCCGAGGAGAAGCGCTGGTCGTGCAAAGGACAAGCCCTTGGCCAAGGGAGTGTCGAGCACGGGGATCGGATGGACGGCCGCCGGTGCCTTGGCCTTGGCTTCGGTTGTCGGGGCCAAGGGGCCCTTGGTGACCGCCGACGGCGACATGGACACGGGGTCTACCAGCGGCATTCGTCGCCGTGTGCGATTGACTCCTGTCGTACTGAGGAGGTGAACATGTAGACGCCGTTCCAAGTACACGGTAGTTCGTACTTGATGATTCGCGAGATACAGAAGTATCACGTGATGATAACGGCAGGCAGGCCCTGGTCCGCCGGTGGCTATAGGGTAGGCTGTCCTCTTAGAGTCGCGACCCGATGACGATGCAGATGGAAGACGACAAATGTCCTCCAGTGTTTCTGGGCTCGCCTCAATATACACACAGCAATTAGGGGTGGCAAGCGGCCAACAGCAGTGCGGAGTGGCGCATTTTCACGCGAGCTTTCACCGCACTATTCTTAAGCCTGTCTGGGATGTCTAAACTACAATACCTCGTAACCAGAAACCCTCAACTCCAGCCGTAGTCCCCAGCAATGAAGCCCTGCTTGATCCAACACAAGAGAAACATGCAAAACCCCTTGCTCAAACATTATTGATAGAAAGTTTCTTGACCCAGCCAGACAGTGGCTCCTAAAGCAGCTCTCCCTCGCCCTGCTCTGCCGACTCATCCGACCCCTCCTCCCAGTCCACATCGACCGCCAGCTCCTCGGCCCGCCGCTGCAGCTCGGCCAATCCCGAGAGCTCGGCAACATAGTCCCTCTCCTGCAGGGCTCTCTTGACGAAGTCCCAGCCGTCCTTGCGGTAGGCATCCAGGATTTTGGGGCTGCAAGCGCTGCAGCAGTCGTACGAGTGGCCGCGAATGACCAAATTTTGAAAGGTTGAGACGTAGCCACGAATCTGGTGCGGCACGAGGCCCAAGGGGTGATCGGGAGGGTCTCTGTCGGGAGTCGATCCAGATGTTGGTTGGGGTGCGGGCGCATGATGGCCGAGGGGGTGCTGCAAGAGGCTTGTGAGGAGCTCGACCAAAAGCGCCGAGGCAATCGCCGCGACTCCGGGCCTCGTCACCGTACATTGCTGGTCCAGGGTCTGGTCCCTCATTGACTGCTTTCCAATTAGAATTAGCGGGCCAGAGGGAACGGGGCAGGGTTCTCACATCAGCCGGGGCGACAACGTCGTTGCAAAAGTAGCAGCCAAGCGCCGCTCCAACCTGTTCCTCATCTTCTCCCTGCTTCCTCTCTGCTCCGTGTCGCATGACAACGTATGAGTCAAAGCCCAGTGCAGCATTCATGACAATCTTGCCCATGGCCTTTCCCAGGACCGTGGGCAGCCACCGGGACTCGCGCGTGTCCATGAGGAGGAAGATGACGTCGTGGTCATGGATCAGTCTCTCCAGCTTCTCAAGATCCGCCTTGGCCTTTGTTTCGTCTGTAAACGGATGTCCTAGCATGGGGACAGACAGGGAATGGCCCTCGCTATCCACGCCCGGGTAGATCCTCTTGAGCATGGCAGCAGCGCGCGCTGCCTTGGGCTTGCCGCCGTCGACGCAGTCTTCAAACTCGAATAGAGGTTGGCGCACGGGGTTCGAGTACGAGACACGGCCGTAGTCGACAAAGGTTATCTTCCTGATGCCCCAACCCAGCAGGTTTCTCGAGACATAGCCTCCCAGAGTGCCGGCCCCGAGAAGAAGACATCTGGAGTTCTTGATGCGATCAAGGTCAAGGTCAGGGGCCAGCCGCCACTTCATGAGCTTGAGGTTCAAATCGACCGAGGAGTCAGCAAGCCTGGATGGATCCATGTATTCGCCCAAGTTTGCCAGTTGTGCCTGAAGCTTTCCGTTTCTCGACCTCTCCCAGCCCGTGACTTTGGGCATCTCGGTGAGCTCCATGTTGGCTACAGCGTCCATCTCGACGGTCAATATGACGGTGCGGCCTTCATGTCTCCTGGCCCACGCGTCTCTGTAACACAGAATCTGAACCTTGCGCAGGCGGAAACGCTGTCGAATGAGCACCAATAGATTCCGCAGTGGCCACCCGGGGCCTTCGGGATAGGTTGAGGGGTCAGCAAACGCCACGTATCGATCCTCCTCCGGTACATGGTCGAAGAAGCCATCCTCAAAGCGTCGCAGCGAAGCCACTTCCCACCGGAAGCCCATCTTGTGGGTGATATTACCCTCTTCGGTGAGGGCGTCTTCACCTCGCACCTTTTTGACAAGGAAGAATCCATGCTCGCGGTTGTCGACGCTGTAGCGCCAGGTGCCGACCTGGTCAACGAGCGAGGTGCTCTCGTCTGCGGTGACGCACTGAATGGGTCCCGACCGCTTCCATGCGGGGTCCGAGTGAAGGGCGGGAAATGCAAACCAATATGTGAATTTGTATTTCTTGAGATCAGCAAACGAAAGGATGACGAATGAGGAGAGTAATGAGGGCACCGAGTATATGGTTCCGTCGTTTATGGCGTCCCAAACCTGCCTCTGTGAGAAACGCGTCTCGGGCATGGCGCGGCATGCGACTTACCTGCCGACCTGCTGTCTGGAGCATGGCCGACTTGTCGAGGTTCTTGAAGCCCTCGAGGGTATTTACGTTTTTGATGATGCCTTCGGCCCTGGCTGTTCCGAGAGGCGAACTTTATTTGTGCATTTAGCTTCACAGCGTCGGCGCGCGGAGATGAGACTCACCTTTGGCTTGTCAGAGCGTTGCCCAGGATCTGCATCTTGCAGCTCGACTCGGGCTGTTCCATACGGGGTTCATAGAGCCCCAGGACGTTGCGGGCAGAGTCGTCGAGCTTGTCATAGTCGAGCTTGGAGGCAAACAGGGCCGAGTAAAAGGGCAGCTCGATCTCCGAGGTGAAGGTGGCAAACTGAAGGGGAGCGGCCATGATGACGTCGCACAGGTGAAGCCGGCTTGCGTTTCCCCCGTGGGACGAGACGAGGGACGGATTCTGGTGATGAAACAGTTGGAGCAGAAGGCTTCAAGTCGCGGTCCAGCGACGTAAAAAAGGGCAGGGAGACAGAGGCAGCCGTCGCATGACAGAAAAGGGCGTCACGGGATCACTCAGACGAGGTTGAGGTGGATGAAGTCGACGCTGCTGACTGACTGGGGGGGCTTTCCAAGGTTCCCTGGCTGCCCCGCCACCGTCCGCGGGGTCGCTTTAGGCCTGTAACTGAGCTGCTGGACAGCGCCATCGCTGCCTAATTGATCAGTGGGCGGATGCTAAGCATTTCGACCGCAGGCGAAGGTTTGACTCCGCGGCAAGATACATACATCATGCGTTAGAATAGAGCCAGGAAGGAGTTCGAGTTTATTCGTTGCGCAAAAGAGAATCACCCAAAATCGAGCCAGCACCAGGGAGAGCGGAATGAAACTGCTAGACTATGTATATGCAAGTAACAACTGTTCCATCATCAAAAGCTTATCCGGTATGGTGTAGTGGCTAACATCGCTCGCTCTCACCGAGCAGCCCTGGGTTCGATTCCCAGTACCGGAGCTAACACTTTCTTTTTGCTGTTGGCAATTCTTCACTTATGACATTAGCAACGCCCCTCCCTTGAACAAGCTAGCATCTTTTGGGGGCTTGTTGACTTTTTGCCCCTATACATTTTGTGTTTCTACCGAGTTAAAACGATACTCCGGTGGGTCACGTCCTGGTTGCAGAGACAACGGCTGCCCGGACAAAGACCACTCTCGGTAGAACAAAAGACATCAAAGAACCAGCGTCTCAGTCATGCGTACAAGGTCTTTGTCCGTAGCGCCACGCTTGTCAATCGTTGAAGAAGAATAGAGACTTTCATGATTTAGTCAGTCGACCCGTTATGGTATCACGCGGGTATCGAGTTGGCGCGCGCGTAAAAAAAACCACCCCCCACATGACACACACCACGCGCGCCAATACTACCAAAATGTGTATTTTGGTATTTTGCCCTCGTCAAACATCCAGCGAGGCCTTTTGACAAGGTAGCGTTGCGAATAAACTCGGGGGCACAAGATGCTCATTGGAATCTGCGGAGGTATGAGAGAAACGGGATGCTCGTCCTTGATGCGCGCACCCCCGTCCCCTTTGTCTCAACGCTCATGTGCTCCGGGCTCACACCAAGGCGCCAGGCATCTGCTCCGGCAAGAAGACAGTGGCTCAGTACCTCGTCGAGCACCACGGCTTCAAGCGGCTCCATCTCACGGGACCCGGCCAGGGGTCGTCCCGCTCTACGTCGGAGCTCGGGAACCCGGGCCCTTCGTCTCCTTCGCCGCCTCCCGCCGCCTTGGCCGGCGCCCTGACTACCGGCAGCGATGGCTTGCAGTCGGTCTCGGACTCATCACTGCCCCTGCGCCCGCAGCAGGAGCTGTCTGGGGGCAGAAGCGGCAACGGCAGCAGTCTCTGCTTTGCGACGGCCGAGGCGCTGCTCGAGTTTGTTACGACGCGCTGGCAGGCCCGCTTCGTGACGACCGACATCCCCACCGAGGCCGCTCTCGACGTCCTGCTGCGCCGCCCCTTTTTCCTGCTGCTGTCCGTCGACGCGCCGCTGACAGTCCGGTGGCGGCGCTTCCAGCTCCGCTGCGGTGACTCATCGGCGGCCATCAGCCTCGAGGACTTTGTCGCGCGCAGCGACGCCCACCTGTACGACCCAGACGGCGGCCTACAGCCGCTCATCTCGCGCGCGTCAGTACGGCTCCTCAACACGTCGTCGTCGCTGGCCCACCTCTACGCCACGCTTGGTAAGCTCGACATTCCCAACCCGGATCGCCTGCGCCCGGGCTGGGACACGTACTTTATGGCGCTGGCGTCGCTGGCCGCCCAGCGGTCCAACTGCATGAAGCGGCGGGTTGGGTGCGTCCTTGTCGGCCGGGAGCGGCGCGTCATCAGCACGGGCTACAACGGCACGCCGCGGGGCATCCGCAACTGCACCGACGGCGGCTGTCCGCGCTGCAACGCCGGCCACGGCTCGGGAGTCGGGCTGGCCACCTGCCTCTGCATCCACGCCGAGGAGAACGCGCTGCTCGAGGCCGGGCGCGAGCGCATCAGGGACGGCGCCGTTCTGTACTGCGACACATGCCCGTGCCTGACGTGCAGCATCAAGATTTGCCAGGTGGGCATCAGCGAGGTCGTCTATGCCCATGGCTACAGCATGGACAAGGAGACGGCCGCCGTCTTTAGCCAGGCGGGCGTCAAGCTGCGGCAGTTTGTGCCGGTGAGTGGCTGTCGTCTTTTACCTTTTCCCTCTTCACGTCCTTGATGTCATTCTCGTGATTGGCTCTCGTATGCTAACTCGGCGTCTGCAGCCGCCCAATGGTCTGATTCATCTGGAAAAGATGGAGCTATATTGACATTGCCGCCCGTAGCGTTGCATCAAAGCGGCAACATCTTCGGCGGCACACCCTGCTGACACCTTTTTTTCCGCAAGGGCCGGTGTAAATTACGACGTCTTCTCGGGTATCGATCGGGGGAGCATCATGCATGTGTTTTCCATTCTGTGTACTGTACGGAGTACGTATAAGCGTAGAGGCGGCAGCTAGTTTCGGTTCTAGTGCAACGTTTGTTTTGTGTGCTTTTTGGAGCGCGGGATTCTGTGCTTTCCGAATACGTACCGAACACTCTGCAAACTGGCAGAGACAACCCAACCGACTCGCCCATCAGGTCCGAGCGAGCGAGGCGCTGGTCCAGCCAATGTCATGTTATGCAGCAGTCGCTTCCAACTTAGACATGCAGTCGTATGTTTGCTTTGTCCGTCACCCGTTGGCCAGCCGGATGAGGTCCAGGGTAGCTATCGTCGAAGCTCAACAATTTTTGCATCAACTCTACCATGTCCAGGTCGCCACGTTTAACAGGTAGCCATTACGGGGCGGCTTGTAGAGACAGACGTGGGTTTCGTGAAACGGAGCGTCTGGTTGGGCCTCATCATCCACGGCCACGTTTGATTCAGGGACACGAGGAGCCAAAGATCCATGCGCCATGCGATGGCGAGGTGGTGCGCATGGGCTTCCACTGCCCGAGCCAGAAACCACACGCAGGCTTCCTTATGCACCCCTTGCCTTATACGGCATATTCCAACCACCCTCTCCCCAGTGTTGGGCGGTTGGCTCTGTCTCTCTGCGCAACCATTTCCGTGGAGCCATCAACCGCGGGTTGCTCATCCATCATGCACTCGTGTGTACTGGGGTACGTATGCACAAGCAAGTACGTAGCTCGAGGTCAATGCTTCTTGTTGTTCTGCATCCTATTTTCCTTTGGCTGACCCCGTGCATCAAAATACGGGGCAGGCATCCCAGGAAGCTCTGGCCACGGGCCCGATGCATGTCACAGAGAGCCATCAGTCAGATGGACAGATACATACCCCGGAATCTCACCCACGGAGCCACCCACCAGGCTACGATAACTTTGATTACGATGCCGAGCAATCGGGAGGGCCTGCCATGAGCAGGCGTGCCCGCTTTGCTCCGGGGTCGGGCCCACGGCCGGTCTGTCGCCCACCGCTCACCGAGAAGCGAAATGAACTGGCAGCATGAGCCGGCGATGTAACCGCATGGCGACAAACGTAACGCGGGCCTAATCTCTAGCCTGCAATGCAGTGGGGAGAATGACCGATGAAGCTGACGACGAGCCTTTTGTTTGTTTTGATCAGCAAGGCCTTGCCACCCCATAGGCCCATAGGGGTGTCACTTCCGAGGAGACGGGGCTCATGGACGGGAGGGAAAAAATAGGGGGCTCTTCATGCATCCATGGCGCGGCCATCGGGAGTGGCCTGTCAAAGAGCGCCGAGGCGACTGCTCGGCTCAGGATCCGCGACACGACCTTTTCTTCCACTGTTGCCCAATCCAACAGATCTCCAGGTCCACCTGTGCCGTGTGCCTGTCTCGAGGTGGCGAACAAGCGGGCCATAGAACCAGCAAGAACCTAAGCGCCTCGCGATCGACAGCAGCCACGACCACGGGTAGGTTGGCGGCGCGGGAACCTCTCGGCTGCCGCACGCGCCCTTGCGCCAGCCGCCCGGACTTCCAGGCGTTTGGGTCCAGGGGAGGAACCGGGAGGGCGATTTCGGCGGGAGGTGGTCCCTGAACCCTGGGAGCGCGTTAGTGGAGACAGGGTCGGGATGTGTCAACAGAGGCCTCTTTCTGGCGCTGGTAAAAGCTCGGTCTCAGGGTATTCGATGGGGACGCCGTCGACGGAGACTTGGAGGGTGCGGGAGAGCTAGAGCGGCAATCGTCGCCACTGTTGTTGTCGAAGTGTTGTGGTCCGGATATCAGGGGCCGTGACACAACGGGGGCCACGGCCAAACCAGCCAGGGGCGAGATATGTAATGTTTCTGACCTCGTAATGCAAATTTCATTGGGGGGGAGGGGAAACATGTCATGCTTTGCAGCCTACAGTACAACAAGTCTATTCGGACAGGGGGGACCAGATGGGGAGGGGGGAGAGGGGGCGAGGGGGAGAGGGGGGGGAGAGGCGGAGGAGCAGGAGGAGCGAGCGGGCGCGAGGACGCCTTTGCCCAACAAGGCGCGAAACGCGTCCCCAACGCGTCGCGCTAGCTGCATCAGGCAACGCTGTAAACAAATGCGTCACCCACTGCAGGTACGTACCTGTCTCCAGCGCACCTACTCCGTACCCGCTCACGGTTGGCGGGCGCGACTGGCGGCCAACTTGCCCCCGGCTTTGACGAGAGCCAAGTTTACGCCTTCCGCCAGCCAGGCGGCACCACCACCATCACAACCACAATTTCTCACCACCTTTTTTTTTCATGCTGGCTTTTCCCATCGCCACTTGCATACCAGACGTCCCGTTGTCTTTTCTTGCCACGCTCTCGCCCCTGGGACCGACTCGTCATCACGGGCGACCTCTGATCGTTCGCGCTATGTGTTGAGGGCGCGCTGCGCAACGAGCGAGGTGCGTCGAGCGACACGTCTGAGTGCGCACTCTGTTCGCCGTCGCCACCAGTCGGCCCCTGAACAGCAGCAGCCGCAGTCAAGGCGTGACCGCTGTGGGGAAAAGTCTAAACTGGTGCCCAAACACAAAGAGATGCCATAGCACCTCTCCTGCTTCATCCAGCATTCACTCATACCTACACCCTCGTCGGCCTCGCCTGCTCGCGCGCCGTTCTGCTCGTCAGACCAACCAGCTTCGAAAACCGGGTCTTTGGAATCCCTCCGCCTGCTGTCGGTGGTCTAGCGTCCCTTGCTCTGACTCTCTGTTCTGGCATTCCCCAGTCATGGGCCAACGCTTTCCTGCAGCGATATAGGCTCTGGTTCAGGACCCATCCCCTTCCTGCGCGCACGACAGCCTCGCAGCGTGCGCAGACGTCGACTCTCCGCCCCGTTTGCCGAGCCTTGCCCTCTTCACCTATGAGCAAGCGCCGACCTCTTTGTTGTTGTTCGCTCGACCCTTGACAAAGACGAGACTCATAAAGAAGAGCATCTTGTATATATCACGGCTGCTGCGCCAACATTCCTCACCAACCCACCCTAATCCCCCCCCGCGATAAACCCAGACAGCCGACTATTGCATTCCATTCCACTCTCGTCCTTCGACTCGCCATGTCATTTTCTAACAGTGGCGGAGGCACACTGGCTTTGCCGTCACCTACGCACGCCCACCATATGGACGTGACGTCGGCCGTCCGCAGCCTGCGCCGCTCCATCTCGAGATCCCCTTCCAAGCTGCTGTCTCGTACCAGTTCCCAGAGCTCCGACGGCTCCCGCCAGGCCTCGCCGCAGTCGCCCTGTCGACGCTTTGGCTCTACACCTTCGCGACCTCCGCTGTCACCATCCCATCCGCAGACGGCCCCTCCGGCAGTCACCTCGACCCACGCCGCTGCCTCTTACCCGTCATCCGCCTTTACACCCCTCCGCCCCAGCGTCAGACTCTCGCTGCGATCCGCCAAGTCTGCCAAGGCGCCCTCGCCATCGTCGCGCCCCCTTGCGCGCGCCCGCGTCTCGCCCCGGAGCCCTCTGAAGCGCGCCTTGAGCGACACGCCCGACTCGGGCAACTCTGAACCCGCCTCGTCATCTTCCCCGGCCGCGAAGAGCTCCCCGGGGCAGGAAAACCGCAACAGATCTTCGCTAGGGTCGACGCCACGCAAGCACAGCGAAAAGCAAACGCGACATAGCGTGCATCTTGATGTGTCTGGGGGTGCATCGCAACTCTCATTCTTGAAAGCGCTGGACGCCTACACTGACCCCTACATGGTTTCGACGACTGGCGCACTCAAGCGCAGTGATGCGACCATGAACCTAGACCACCCAAACCAGGGCAGCCCGGTTGCCAAGCGGCGCAGCTTGCATGGCATCTCGAGCCTCGGCCAGACGGAGGACTTGAATATCTTTGAAAATAATCTCAGCGCGCCGCAGAGTTTCGACATTCACGAGGACTCGCATTCCGAGTATGAGTTGACTGGGGCCTCCGAAGGCGGCAGCGGCGATGCGCCAGATGTGGCCGCGCAGCGCGACCCTCTGGCGTCGCCGACGCCCGCGTCGAACGTGGCGAGCCGGTCGTCCTCTCTCCGCAGGTCTACCTTGCAGCAGCGATATGGTGACAAGGGGTCGCTGGGAAGAAGGACGGGCGAACGGCAACTTGCGCAGATGACCGCGGAAACCTCCACCCCAGGCCGAATCCGTCCTCGTCTCTCGACGGACCATTTCCTGCCTCCCCAAATCGCCCGAGACAGCCCTTTCTCCTCGGGCGCTCCTCTGCCGAATGCATCCATACATCCTATCGACGGCAAAAGTCACCAGCCTCACCCGCTCTCCAAGACTTTGACCACTTCCTCGTCAGGCAACAGTCTGGATGAGGAGGAGACGTCCGTGTGCGCGCCGGCTGTAAAGGTCGCAGACAAGCCCAAGCCGCACCCGTTTTCTCGATCGCTCCCCCTCAACGCCACCAGGCCGACTGCTCGCTCCATGAACGAGCATATCAAGGCAGTCGCCACGCCGAGTCAACCTCATCAGCTCTGGGTTGGCGCCTTCAACTCGACGGGCCTCATCTCCAAAGTCAACCGGAACCCCGAAGAGGAGGCGGAGAAGAAGATTGCGCCTCCCGACACGCCCTGCAAGAAACACACAAACCCCTTTGCCACCTTTCCACCACCCGCGGGAAGCGCAATGAAAAGAAAGAGCAATAATCGAAATTCCTTTGCCGGCATCCCTTCAACCCCCTTCAACCGTCCCGCCAGCCGCGGTGCCGACGCGTTTGGCGTTTCCGCCAAAGGGCTCTCCATCTTCCAGCGGCGAGGCTCGGCGGCGTTCAACCTGCACCGGGAAAGCGACTTGAGCCTGGAAGTCGAGGACCGCATGCTCTTTGGCGAAGCCGGCGAGCTTACCAGCCTGCTGGACGGGGATGTGCCGCCCACCCCCACCAAGAATACGCTCACTCCGAGCTTGAGCAACCTTAGCGAGCAGTCGCTCGAAAGCCCGAGCGCGAACCGCACCTTCACTCTGCCTCTCTCGGCTGCCAAGTCCGCTCCTTCGCGAGAATCAACGTGTAAGTCGAACCCGGAGGCGTCGAGAGGGCCCAGACATGGGGACGACGAGGCGCCAACCTGCGCCGCTGCTCTCGATCGCCAGCCGTCCCCCACCCCATGCGTCGCAAGGCGATCGTCCTTTGGCCGCTCGCGGGCCGTCAGGGGGATTAGCGCCCCGTCGCCTCTTGCCCCCGAGCCTTTACACTTGTCTGTGCTGCGGTCGGAAAACGCATTCACTAATCTTGCATCCGTCGATGCAGCGAGCCCTGTCGATGGTCGGAGGACGCCCCAGACCCCACAGGAGAGCCTGCTGCCGCTAGACACGAGCCGCTTGTCCATATCGCAAGGACCCGATGGTCTGGGCGAGAATACCATGCCGCCTCCAGTCACCCCGACAGCTGGTCGCGATTTCCGGTCATCCATGAGCATCTTTGTCACGCCCGTCAATGGTCGCGTGGGCAGCGTCGACATTGACGCCAGTCTATACTCGAGGTTTGACAAAGTCGAGCAGGTCGGCAAGGGCGAGTTTTCGACAGTGTATCGCGTCAGCAAGCAGGAGCACGCCAACGTGTTCGCCGCGGGAAGCGCTACGCCGAGCGACGACGCTACCCGCAGCCCTGCCCAAGGTCAGGTCTTCGCCGTCAAGAAGAGCAAGAACTCGTACCACGGCCCCAAGGACCGGGAAGTCAAGCTCCGCGAGGTCCAGATCCTGCAAGCCCTGACGCATGCCGAGCATGTGGTGCAATATGTCGACAGCTGGGAACACAATTTTCATTTGTATATACAGACCGAGTTCTGCGAGGAAGGGACTCTGGACAAGTTTTTGGGCAATGTCGGACGAGGCGGGAGGTTGGATGACTTCCGCATCTTCAAGATCTTACAGGATCTCTGTTTGGTAAGTCGACCCGGCGGCCGCGAACTACGACGGCCTCGCCACAGGGCGAAAGGATGCTGACAAACGAGGCATAGGGCTTGAAGGAGATTCACGACGCCGGATTCATGCATCTAGATATGAAGCCTGCAAACATCCTCATCAACTTTGAAGGGGCGCTGAAGATTGGAGACTTTGGACTGGCGCAGCCCTGCTCGTCGGCCGAAGGGGTCGATGTCGAGGGCGACCGCGAATACATGGCGCCGGAGATGCTCAGGGGAAAGGCCGGCCCGGCCGCCGACGTCTTCTCGCTCGGCCTCATGACGTTGGAGGCTGCGGCCAACGTGGTGCTCCCGGACAACGGGCCGACATGGATTGCCCTCAGGTCCGGTGACCTCTCCGAGGTGCCGAGCCTCACGTGGACGCCGTCGATTGAGGTGCAGCGGGATGCTACGGGCAATCCGTCGGCTCATAGCGACGACTTCGGAGGCGACCATGTCGATGACAATGCCGGCAGCCTGTTTGGGTCATTCAAGCGATCGGAACTGCCGCAGCCCCCGGATTTTATGGTCGAGGCCTTTCACCCGAGCTCGCTCGACTCGGTAGTGAGGTGGATGACGGCCGAGTTGCCTGCCGACCGGCCCCTGGTCGACCAAGTGCTCGATCTTGAGGGGTTGCGCTGGGTGGCAGATCACCGCAACGCTCCGGCAACTGTCTACGAGGGCAACTGGGGCCCGGCCGACCCCTTTCCCGTTTCGATTGCCGTGGACAGCGACACGGAGATGACGGATGTGTGAGAGCGTTGTTGAGCAGAGAGCTGGAGTCGGTTTCCTTTGTCTTTGTGTGTTGCCAGAAGCGCAGCGAGCCGAGCTATGCAGGCGTTTATCTCGGTTGGTTTCTGTTCTATACTGGAGTACGCACGCGTGGATACATACAAAGAGTCGAGGAGGCAGGTCAAGCACAGGGCATCGGCCGCCGACCTGGGCTCTTTTTCTTTGACAAAAACAGCAAGACGAGGGCACGGCATGCAAACGGCAGAGCTTTTCTTTGTCTCATTTCGGAGAGGCACGCGTGCCTCTCCCCATAGCGCGGGTTTGGAGGAGGCGCTTCGGATGATATTCCTAGCATGGGCTGACCACGTCGTTGACAAACATATATCCGTGTTACGGGAAACTCTGCCGTCACAGACGGCTTTCGGATGCATGGCGTCGATCTGAAGAAAACAACAGAGGAGGACTGCGTCTCATGAAAGGAGATTGCGTGTATGGATTATCGGGCGAGGGGGACAGAAGGGGCCCCGAGATATATGACTAGAGCGGCCCTGGCCGGACGACCAAGAGTCGAGAGGAAAATAAGAAGCGGCATAGACCGAGGCGGCAGAGCAAGGACTTGACGCCCATGAGTGTCCAGATCATGTACATATAGAACATGTGTGGGGAGGCGGACAGCATTGATAGTGGAAGCTGCATGCGGGCGGATCTTGCAGGCGGCGCCAGGGCATGGATCGAGGCACCTTGGTCTCATGCTCATGAATGTTACGACGAAATGCAAGGAACAAGTTATAAAGACTGTCAATACCCGCTGTCATTTGCCTTGGCGTTTGTGAAATGAGACAGGCGTCGACTGAAGAGAAGAAAGGGAGGGGGAGCGGGGTAAACTCGAGTCACACGGATGCTTGACGCATGAGGGGCCGGCCGAGTCGACAACATTGATAAAGACGCCTCGGGGTCTCGAGACTGCCCACGTCAGACAAGCAACATCGGCCAAAGCATGACAGGCATTACGCTCCAGGAAGGGCAGGCGGAGCTGCCGACGACGCGCAGCACGCCGTCGTACTGGCACCGCGAGCCGTCTCGGCGGCTGCTGGGCCACCGGACGACGGCGCGGGTGCCGGCGGAGGCGGACGTGGTTGTCGTGGGCAGCGGCATCACGGGGGCGTTTGCGGCGCGGAGGCTGGCCGAGGCCGGGAGGGCCGTGTTGATGCTGGAGGCGAGGGAGGCGTGCTGGGGGGCCACGGGGCGGGTATTACTCTCTCTCTCTCTTTTTCTCTCTCCTTTTCTCTCTTGTTCCACCCATCTATTATTATTATTCCTTCTGCTGACAAGAGGCAAACCAGAACGGCGGCCACTGCCAGCCCGGAGTGTGGACCAACAAGCCGGACGTGGCACGCTTCGAGCTGGCAACGTTCCACCAGCTCGCATCGCTCATCGCCGACAACGACATTGCGTGCGACTGGCAGGTCGTCGGAGGCGTGCACGCGCTCTCGTCGCCGGCCGAGCTGGACGTGGCGCGGCGGCAGTTGCGGCGGCTGCAGAAGCACGGCGACCTCCGGGACAAGGCGGTGCTGGTCGAGAGGGCTGCGGCGCTGGCCAAGCTGCGCATCCCCGAGGCCGTGGGCGCCGTCTACCAGCCCGTGGCGGCAAAGTGCTGGCCGTATAAGCTGGTGGCTTGGGTGTTGGAGACGTTGTTGGGCGAGCATGGGGCTGGGGGGCGGTTTAATCTGCAGACGAGCACGCCGGTCCTGCATCTACAGCGACCCTCTTCTTCTTCTTCTTCTTCTTCGTCGTCCTCGTGGATCCTTCACACGCCCCGCGGCCAGGTTGCGGCCCGGCACGTGGTGCTCGCCACAAACGCCTACACGTCGCACCTGGTGCCGCGCATGACGGGCCTCATTGTGCCGGTCCGGGGCCAGGTGTGTGCGCTGGAGCCGCCGCGGGGAGCCGTCCTGTTGCCGCATAACTACACCTGGGTGGCGGGGGGCACCGACGACTACCTGATTCAGCGAGACGGCGACGACAAGGCGCTGATTCTCGGAGGTGAGCGTTCGACGGTCGCGGGCGGACAAGAGGGCATCTCCCGCGACGACGAGGTCGACCCCGTCGTCGGCCTGAACCTGCGCCGCGCCCTGGGCTCGGCACTGAAGCTGCGGCCGGGCTCAGCGGAGGAGGCGCCGGAGCTCGAGGCCACGCACGAATGGACGGGCATCATGGGCTACTCGCGCGACCGTCATCCCTGGGTTGGAGCGGTGCCGGCGGGGCTACTCGGCATCGACGACGCGGCCGACAAGGAAGAGGCCGCCGGCGGGCTGTGGATCAGCGCCGGGTACACGGGCCACGGGATGCCGGTGGCGGCGCGGTGCGGCGTGGCCGTGGCCGACATGATCCTCGGGGGGCGCGGGGGAGTAGCGGTGCCGGATGAGTTTGTCGTGAGCGTGCAGAGGGCTGCGAGGGCGAGGTTGATGGAGCTGCCGAGGACGATGATGGATGGGCTTGAGCTGCTCGAGGAGTGACTGCTGCGTTTGCTGTGTCTCTGTCATTGCTGTGATCCGAGCAATTTTCACTCCTTTTCTCTCCTCGACCTGCATCTAGGCGTCCTTGGAGAAATGATGCCATCGTGACCAGTGATGATGATTAATACCTCTAGATAAAGTACACCTCGACACTATCCGAAGATCCGCCGCTGCCGCCAATCAACGTCACCCTTTTTGCAAGCAGCAAGCTCCATCTTGTTATCAGCGACCCAACGTCCAGCTCCGTCTCTTCCTCCATCTCCAGCCGAAAGCTCGAAGCTCGACCTCGACCACGCCTCCATTGGCCGTCCCCCCCAGTCTCCAACAATGGCGAGCAAGCTCTTCCCGTCACTGCTCCGCTGCGGCATGCGGCGCTCTGCCTCGCGCGTCGCCTCCCGCCCACAGACGCAGATGCGCTCCCTGTCCGTCTCTGCTCGCCGGCCAAGCGACGCGCTGCAAGTGGTAAGGCTGCCTACACTTCTGTCGCTGTGTCACGCTTGCATCAGCACGATCTTGGCCGAGCTCAATGGCTCTCGAGATGACCTGTTGCCTGCACTTCTGCATCCCCTGTTCCATCAGGACGCGGCAGCTACAATTGCTTGTCTGACTGATGATGCTCTGTGCAGCACCGAAACTCGGCAGAAAACAACCCCGACATCCCCTTCAAGTTCAACGAGCAGAACGAAAATGTCATTGCCGAGATCCTCAAGCGCTACCCGCCGCAGTACAAAAAGGCCGCCGTCATGCCCCTGCTGGACCTTGGCCAGCGCCAGCACGGCTTCACCAGCATCAGCGTCATGAACGAGGTCGCCCGCCTGCTCGAGATGCCGCCGATGCGCGTCTACGAGGTCGCCACTTTCTACACCATGTACAACCGCACCCCGGTCGGCAAGTTCTTCATCCAGGCATGCACGACGGTATGCTTCCCTTCTTCCTTGCCTACACGCCCCGAGGAATTCGCCAGCTTCGCGCGGCTTCTCGGGTCTGAGCAGTAGGCTGACGTGCGCACCGCCTCATAGACCCCCTGCCAATTAGGCGGCTGCGGCTCCGACGTCATCGTCAAGGCCATCAAGGCACACCTCGGCATTACCCAGGGCGAGACGACGCCCGACGGCCTCTTCACCTTTATCGAGGTCGAGTGCCTCGGGGCCTGTGTCAACGCGCCCATGATCCAGATCAACGACGACTACTACGAAGACCTGACCCCCGAGTCCGTCACCGAGCTCCTCAAGGCCCTCAAGGACAGCACCTCTCCCTCCTCCCCCTCCGCCAAGATTCCCGGCCCCGGACCCCTGAGCGGCAGGCAGACGTGCGAGAACAGCAAGGGCCAGACGAATTTATTGCAGGAGCCCTGGGGCGCCGAGAAGACGAGGGCAGACCTGTAACATCATTTCCCCATCCATTCCATGTTGTCGGTGCTGGTGACTTTGTTGGGCAAGAGAGAAAATAGGAAGAGGGAGGAATGGTACTCTGTACGAGCATGGCATTTAGAGGCACTTGCTTGGGGGGTTGGCCAGAGGGCTACATGACTGTATATAACGAAACTGGCGCGCTGCGTGAAAAACACATGATACACCGTGGCAGAGGTTGACTTTACGACTTGATTCTTTCCGATTCAAACGGGCGCCATGCGCTCATGGGAGATGCAGAATCCCACGTGGGGAGATGTAACAAAGAAAGAAGAGAAATAAAACAATCAAGATGTCGTATCGTATCGTCAAATGGCCGTTACGGCTGTCTTCATTCCTTTCCAAGAAGCATCCTCCTCGTTCCCCTTTCCAAGGGAGATTAGAAGATGATCATCAGTCGCCCAGCCGCAGGATCCAGCCATCGCCGATGCGCTGGTTGTCCTGGCCCACCCCACCCCAGATGACGATGCCGCTCTCCTCGACATCGCCCATGGGCGCACTCGCCAGCCAGCCCCTCGGCGCGGGCCTGCCTTGCTCGTCGTCGTCGTCGTACTCGTCGTCGTCCAGGGGCCTGGCCTCGACGCGGGTCCACCTCCCCTCGCCCGTCTTCCTGCCCACGGCCTGCAGGACGGCGTCAGTCAGGCTGGCGGGCGTCATGCCGAGCGGGGGCACCTGGAAGGTCCAGACGTCGTCGAGGAAGGCGGCGGCGGCGGCGTGGCCGTCGGCGCTGGGGCTGCCCTCGCCCATGGCCAGGACCAGGTACTCGCGCCCGCCGCCGCCGATGCTGAGGGCGTGCAGGGAGGCGACGCTGCGCGCGGCGGGCCACTGCTGCGAGCACTCGACGGGGATGTCGGTCGACGAGGCGTCGGGGTTGTCGGCCAGGATGGTCTGCCAGCCGGCGGCGCGGGCGGCGATGGACACCTCGGCCTTGGCGGTGCTGTCGTCAAACGTCTCGAGCTCGAGGGGTAGGAAGTCGAGCTGGCCGCCGAGCGAGCTGGCGCCGTCGAAGCCGCCGAAGCGGAAGAGGCGACTCTTGCTGATACACATGCCAGTGCCGCTGCGGGGCGGGCCCGGGGCGGCGGGGAGCTCGGTCCAGGTGCGCGAGGCGACGTCAAAGGCCCATAGGTCGCTGGTGCGCTCCCCGTCGGCGAGACAGCCCGCGTGGACCAGGAAGGTGCCGTAGCCCTCAGAGTCGTAGTCGACGGCCTCCTCGGCGACGCTGCCGACGACGGGGTCTTGGGGGATGCCGGTGCGAGCCGAGTCCCCGACGGCCCACTGGCGCCACGTCTGCGGCTTGCGGGGCGCCGAGGGGTGGCCGAGGTCGCGCGGGTGCTCTGTCGCGGCGGCGCAGTGGTAGCTGCGGGCTGCCGGGTGAGGGACGGCGGCGGCACCCGGTGTGACGGCGGGGACGGGGTCGAGATGGGTCCAGGTGCGGGAGCGCGTGTCGAAGACCCAGACGCGGCCGGCCTCGTCGAGGGGCGTCATGTCCGGGCCGCCGCGGCCGCCGAAGAGGAAGATACGCGAGCCGATGACGGCGGTGGCGTGACCGACGCGAGGGGCCGGGACGTCGCCGGGGTTGGACACGGACGGTTGCTGGTCCTCGGCCGTGGCGGGTTCCTTGCCCTTGTTGGCCGGCGGGTTCTCCCCGAGCGGGACATCTTGCAGATCCCTCTGGCCCGGCGTCTCCTCCTCATTCTGCTGCTGCTCCCCGGCATCATAGCGCTCCTCAAACGCTGGGCGCTCATCGCCCTTTGCTGCGACAGCCTTGACCTTGTAGTAGTCGGCGCCGGCGCTGCTGTACGGCAAACTAATGACCAGCATATCGTTGTCGACGGGCTCGCGGGGGCTAAGCTCGCCGCCAAAGATGTAGGCGGCGCCGGCGACGACGTCGAGCGAGTGCGAGGAGCGCGGCAACAGCGGCAGGCCGTCGACGCGCTGCCACGTTGCCCTGATGGCGCCGTGTTGTTTCCGTGACGACGAGGGCCTGCCGAGGCGCGGCATCGAGGGGAGGCTCTGGTGGACGTGGGCGAAGAGGCCTGTTGACCGGCGCCGGAGCTGGGTCCAGGACTCCATGACGTGGGGTTTTCTTTTTGTTTGGTCGCTGCGGCAGGTTGTGGTGTTTTGGGAGATGGGCTTGCGTGAGGCATAAAAGCAGGAAAGCGATGTGGGATACGAGCAGGTTTGGGGTCCGAAGATGACGTAACGGCGTAGCAAGTAGAATTCGTGTATCCATGGCACCACAACATCGTGACACGAGAAGAAGGCGCGGTTTGGATACTGGTCATGGACAGCACTGCTCTGCTGCAGGGACTCGTCGTCAGAGACATGCAAGGAGTCGTAGCGCTAATCGCGGCCGTGAAGCGAGAGACAGAGGGCCCACAGCACCCGATTGGCGACCTGGTTCAGCGTGTCTTGCTGCTTTTCTTTACAGCAACAAGTACAAACTCTATCTACCCTAACAATGGAAGAGGTATAATTAGTCCATGTATAACTAGCCTAAAGCCCCGATGCTGTTATGGAGCCTATCAAGGTAGTAGGCAGGCAGGTATAGGGTAAGTAGCACGACAAGGGTTGCGCCCGCCTCTGCCCTGGAAATACAGCCTTGATCCATCAACTGCGATTGGGTCGTTCATCGACCGTTCAGATACAGGTGGCAGGCCCTGGGGGCTAGTAGATGGCGGCATGCAAAGGGTCTAGAAGCCTCGTTTCCGCGCTAGGTTCATCATGGCCAGGAAAACCGCGGAGTTGATGATGAAGCCATTCCCACTGTTGGTATATATTCGAGCACGTCAACGCGCGTCAAGAAGAAATTCCCCCCAAAAAACATCGAATGGGAAAAAGTAAATCATCTATATTTTCCAGTTTCTCTTGAAACTTCCCGTGCCATTGGTCGCGTTGGATAGTGCCGCGCGTGACGCAACCGACGCTTTCTTCCATCCTCGCAACCTCGCGCCAACTGAATTTCCCTTCATACACCACCGCCCCTCACCATTGCTTCACCCCCGCGGCCTCTCCCGTGCCACCCCGTGGGCATTTCTATTTGCCCCCTTTTCTCCTTGACCGTCTTTCTTCTCATCATTGTGCCTCCCTTCCTGCCGCCAAAGGCGGGGAGACACCGCCCACCCCCGCTGCTCGGATCGCCACTCCATCCCCCCCCCTCCCCGGCCTGAGGGCTAGCCAGCCATGGCATCGTCCGGCGCCCAAGCCTCAGCGGCAGCAGGTGCAGCTTCGTCATCATCACCGTCGTCGTCGGGGGGCGGCCTTGTGCCGGCGCAGCTCGGCTTCCTGGCCATCTTCAACCCCTCGCTCGGCACCACCGACGACACCATCGACGACCAGATCGTCTACTACGCCTCCGTCACCACCCAGGCCTCGCCGCACAAGCGAAGGCGCACCCGCGGCCGTCCCACTGATGCCATCTCCCAGGACGAGCGCCATGAGCGTCTGCGCCAGATCGGCCTCGCCCAGGGCATGGCCAACTTTAGCCGCGGCTTTGCCGAGGGCGCCGCCGTCGACGCCATCGACACCGAGACGTCGCGCGTCGTCATGCACGAGCTCGAGCCCGGGTGGTGGATTCTGGCCGTGAGGCTCTCGGATCCCCTCTGTCGTCGCTGTATTGACCAGTTGTGCTAGAGCATCGACCTGACAAAGGTGCCGCTGCCCCCGCGGCTGCCCACAAAGGCTGGCCAGAGTCGCGAGGACAAGTTTGAGTGTACGACGCGCGAGATGAAGCCCACCTCGCTGCTGCTCAGGGACCTGCTGCGCGCGCATGAAATCTTCCTCATGCACCACGACTCGTCCCTGAGCGCCTTGTTCGTCCACAGCCGCCGCTCAAAGTTTGTTGCCCTCCTGAACCGCTACTGGGACCTCTTCCTCTCCACCTGGAGCGTCATGCTGCACGGCAACCCGGCCAGGGACATCTTTGGCGGCATCAACGTCGCCGCCTCGGGCGAGCTTGGCGTAGGCGTTGGGGAGGAGGACCGCGGCAGCGGCGAGCGCGACGTCTTGGAGGGCCTGGTCGGGAGGATAGAGGGCCTCGTCGACCTTGTCGTCTCCAAGTTTGGCAGCGATGAGGACCCCGCTAGCCCGCAACTGACTGCCGCAGGCAAGACACCGGACAAGAAGCACGAGGAGCACGAGCCCTGGCTAGGCACTGGCCGCGAGCCGGCAGCCGTCGACGGCGCCATCTTCCTGGGCACAGGCGCCTTATCCAGGAAGTCTCTACGGGACGTGACGCACTGGATGGAGGACCTGTACACCTGGGGAGAGCATGCGTACGGTCTCATCGAGAGCCCGACGTCGATTCGCCACGCCAAGGCGAGAAAGGCCGCCAAGTCTGCCGAACAAGACCCCAAGCCCGCGACCGCGGCGGAAGCGGCCCCCAGCTCCTCGGGGGGCGCCAAACCCACGGCCTCGCAGCTGAAGCCCGAATCAGAAGGCGGTGCGGGCGATGACAGTGAAAGTCACATCAACAAGGGTGGTGCGGGCCAGGCAAAGACCAAGGACGTCGACGACGGCAAGCTGGATAAGATGCTCAGCTACATGAAGCTCGGGTACGGCTCCTACTGGACCTTGCCCGGCAGCTCCGGCGACTCATCGCCCTCCACCCAACCCCGCATCCCCGAAGCCGGAGCCGAAGCAGTGCGGGAGCGGAGCCCCGAGACGCCCCGTGAGCCCCCGGCAGCTTCCGGTGCGGGTCCGCGGGGCCCCACGGCATCGCACGAGGCGTCCGGGCACTTTCTTATCGGGCTCCGGGGCGAGATTGAGGAAAGCCAGGAGGCGGATGCGGGCCTGAGCCAGACATCGGCCAGCGGCGAGTCAGACGCGGAGAACAACTCGCGCACCGTGGTGCGTACGCTGCACGTCGAGCTCGAGAGCGGCGCGACGGGCCAGCGACCCGAGGCGACGGTGGTCAAGGACTTTGCGCACCCGGCCAGCGTGCACACACAGTCGCAGGTCATGGGCAACATGTTGCCGGGCTACAACTTGCACGACCTCAACAAGGCGCACAAGCTGCGCGTCGTCGTCTACGTCAACCGGCCCTTTGTCTTCGTCTTTCTCTTCCGCCTGCGCACCGACTCGCTGGCCTGGGACGCGCTATACCGCTCGCTGCACTACCAGCTCGCCCCGCTCAAGAGGCCGCTGCTCGCCTCGACGAGCTACCGCCCGGACCGCCCGGGCCTCGAGCGCGCCTCGTCGAGCATCTACAACCTCGTCTGGGACCCGTCGTCGCTCACGGTACACTCCATCATTCCCTGCATCCAGGACCTCACGGTGGCGGCGGCGGCTGGTGACTCGTGGTCCCGCGCCGACGCCGTCAGCACGCATCTCCACCTGCTCAATATCCATGCCGCGACGCGCTCCCTCGCCGGCGACGTCGAGCGCACGCAGAAGACCAGCCGCGGGTGGTGGATCGTCTGGACGCGTCTGCTCGACCGCTGCCATCACGATTCCCCGCGGGCCGGCAGCACCGGGGGGGAGAAGGACGAGGACGAGGAGGTCGAGGGGGGCGGCGCATTGCGGGCCTCGACGTCGTCGCTCTCGCTCGGCTCGGCCTCGGACCGACACACTGCGGCGGGCGGCGGCGGCGACGACAACGACGCGCGCGCCCTGGCCAAGGAGATTTTCCTGGTGCGACGGGCCAGCGACCACGCCGGGCTGCTCGGGGGGGCGGGCGGCGGCGGGGAGAGCAGGCTGGCGCAGGGCATCGGCGTCGACACGCGGCGATACGTCGAGGAGCTGCTGAGCCTGCTGTGAAGGGACAGAATACAGTAGACGTAGAAAAAGAAAGGGGGGAAGCGAAGGGCGTCGGGCCAAGGAAGAAGAAGCGCATTCTGGGCCTCCTTTCTTCCTTCCATTATACCGCCTTTTCGTCTCGTCTCTTGTCTCAACCTCAATGCACAGTCCGCCACAGCACGGAGTCGCTTTTGCTTCGCGGCGGCCCGCCATTACCCGCCCCCTTTTTTCCGCAGGTGATGTTTTTTCTCACTCTCTTGTTTGCCCAGCAGAGCATATCGCAGCCCCGTCACCCCCACCTTCGGAGGCTGTGTCCTTGTCCCGATAGAAAGGAGGCCTCCTCTCGCATACCGCAAACATCGGGCGCAGCGGTCTGACTCGCCTCGTCGGCCCGCCGGCGCTGCGCCGCCCCCCTACCTACCGTGCTACAGTACGCGCCCCCGACGCACAGGGCCGTCTTAGTGTCGACAAGGCGTCAGCACAGCAAACAAATCATCACGAGGCGAGGCGAGGGAGTTTCGGTTAGATGACTTGTCCCCCCCCCCCTGCGAGGAAGAAAAAACATCCAAATAGAGGGGGCTGGCTGGCTGGCCGACCGCTACTTGGTGGAAAAAGAAAAAATATGGGTTTGCGACAGAGACGTGGCACGCTCGTGAGACAGGCAGCCATGGACTGACAGACCGACAACAAAGGACGACCGTTTCCGAAAAGGAACAAGGGGCCTGCGAGAGGACGAAGAATCCCGGCCCATTGGAGCGGGTGCCAGTGGAACCCCGGTGTCCCGCCCCCGTACCCGCTAGTCGTGAGCGAAAGGGAAACAGGCCCCGCTGGAAATCCCCCGGAAAGTCAAAAAGCCCCAGACGGTCTGCCTCGGTGAAGCTTTATTAGAAGGGGGGGCGGGGGAGCAAACGTGGTTAGCCTGTTTATGCTCATGGATTGTTTCAAGGACAGCCTGGGGACGTTGTCATCACGCGCGCTGCTAGCATCATCACCCAGGGGCCGCGACAAGTATCCAAAAGATGGTATTTCCCATTGTCCAGGGCGTGAAGCGTCTTGCGCAAAGACGCATGACAAGTATGTACAGGAACGGTAGAATGCCCCCGCCAGAGAGGGTCAAGCGCACCATGCGCCGTTGGAAAAGTAGAAACGCGAGAACCGACAGATAGACCAGCCCAGTCTGTTTCCACCCTCGCCCCCAAACAAGTGGTATCCGAGTGACCCCATATCCACATTCCGTCCGGCGCCGGTGATTGGGTCGACATGAAAAGACGAGCAAAGGAAATCATGACTTCGTACTAGATTTGCAAAGAGCGGGCTGCACACACGCCGGTCCGTCGAAGCATGATTGGCTGGCAGGCATGCTTCGAGGCGGAGGAGCGTGCGAGCAAGCCCTCGACTTGGGGGTTGGGATCCCAAGGCCCTTTGGGTGACGGGGATCAAGGGCGTTAGTTGAAGGACCACTTGACGGGGAGGCGGCCGCCGTCGAGGCTGCCGTAGAGCTCCATGAAGACCTTCTTGCTGACGTCAATGTTGTTGGCGGAGCAGCCCATGCACTTGTCGCGGACCGTGGCCGTCGTCGTCTTGCCATTGGCGTGGATGGTAATCTTCTGGCCACACATGGGGTTTCCGTTAGACTGGGTGCCCATCTTGTCCTTGGAGATGGCGACAATGTTCTCCGAGTTGTCCTTGCCCGAGTCGTCCTGGCCGCAAGAGCCCATGCCGACATCGTAGTAGGTGATCTGACCCGAGAACGATTGGGCACCGCTGTCGCCGGCTGAGGCAGCCTCGGCAGCCTGCTCAGGAACGGGGTAAGACGAGGGCGGCGGGGGAGGAGGAGGCACGTAAGCCGGGGTCGACGGCGCGGGCTCAGGCTCAGGCGCAGGGGCCGGGGGAGGAGGCGGGGGTGGCGACGGAGCAGGGGCCTTGGACGAGGAGCTGGGCTTGGGCGCAGGCGGAGGCGGTGGCGGAGGAACGTAGGGAGCAGCCGAAGTAGGCGCCGGAGGGGGCGGCGGCGGCGGTGGGGGAGGAGGAACAGCAGCGGACGAGGAGGCAGGCTCGGGCTCGGGAGCGGACGGAGGGGGTTCGTAGAACTGGCCCTTGGGCTCGGCAGCAGGCGTGGGCTCGGCGTAGGCGCCGGGGGTGATCCAGCGGGTGGTGGTGGCGTCGATCATCTTTGTGACATAGGCCGTCTCGGTGACCCAGTCGGTCACGGTGACCATGGCACGGGCATGGTGCTGGTTGTCGCGACGACCGAGGCGGAAGGGGTGAGCGAAGGCGGCGGCGGCAAAGAGGGCCGAGGCAACAGCGGCGGTCTTCATGGCGGCGGCGGTGGTGGGTTGAGTGGGTGGTGGAAAGGACAGTGGTGGTGTGATGCTGCTTCCTTGGACTCTGCGAGGATGGATGACCCGACAAGCAAGACTTTGCTCTGCAAAGTGGAACGAGTGTCGTTGGCGAGAACGAGAGAGAGAGAGACCTGCTCGTGACGGGGATTCTGAAGGAACGAAACCACGGCGGGATATGCAAGTATAAATAGTCAAGGGAGTGTATGAGCAGCTGGCGAGAGAGAGAGCCAAGGAGAGAGGCAGGCAACGGGGGGGGGGGGGGGGAAAGGAAGGTAAGGAGTTGGAAGAAGAAGAGAAGAGAAGAGGAGAGAGAGAGTGAGTGAGTGAGGAGAGGAAAAGAGAGGCGTCAGCAAAAGGCCACGGCCCAAGTCGGTTGTTCCGGGGGGGGGGGAGGGCAAGTCGCTCGAGGTAGGAGGTACAGGGCTTCAGGGGGGTGCGGGTCGCTGGCCAGGCACCTTGCAGGACGCTGCAGACAGGCCAGGTCGGGCCGCGAATACGACTGTATGTACAGTACGGAGGACGTGTTGCTGGTGACCTGCTTGCCTGGCAGGCTGGGAGGTGAGGTGAGTGGACACGCACTGTGCTGTACATGTTCGTCTCACTGCTCGCTCCTCTTACACCGACGGCGGCATGGATCCGAGCGTTTAGGGCGGCAGACCGGGAGAGCATCTGATTCTTTTTGATATAAACGCACCATCAGACGACTCTCTCTCGGCGTTCTTCAGGGGCATTTCAGGGGCATGACAGAAAAAGAGAGAGAGAGTGTGTGTGTGCGTGTGTATCGATGGAATTGCCCAACGAGGCATCGCGGGCCCTTTCCACGTTGGAGCCAACAGTGAGTGCATCAATAGACCACACGCCCTTTCTCCGTGATTGGCTTGCATGGGCAAAGAAAAGAGGGAGAAAAGGCCCAACAAGCAAGACAGCAAAAATGAATAAAACAAAACACTGTGATAAATAAGACGAAACGAAAAAAAGAAAAATAAGGGGGCCGCCAAAAGTCTGATGCCACCACCCACAGCCATTAGAAATACGTAGCGACTCCATAAAGGAGAAACATCAACCCTGCAAGGTAACGATCCACCGGGCCGGGGAGCACGTGGATCCACGTCGCCGGGAAGTTCGCGCGCTCTTTTGTCCCACTTAGAGTGTGAGATTAGGTTTGGCCTGATGGGAGGGTCAAGAAGAAGGAAAACATGGTGCCTCTGGGAGAAGCTGAAGACGGCGTTGGCCTGGCGGCTGTCGCCTAATGTCGCCTAATGTGCACGCACTTACTTCCATGTTTGGAGCCTGCAGCAGCTGGACCGTGCTGGACTGTGCCGGACTGTGCTGGACTGTGGGTGCTGGTAGTTGCTGCAGGTACTGTACCTACCTACCTTACTTAGTACCTACCTAGGTAAGGTAGTACGTACGTACTACTGCACCTAGGAGGCCCTGTGGGCTGGGCCAGCTCAATGCCGTTCAACGCCGGTGACGACAACGCCCATTGGACCAGCAAGGGCCGGCGAGGTCGGCCCTCGATGTTTTTTTCTTGTTCAGTCTCCTTGCCCCTTTCGGCCCGGTGCGTGGCCCCGGCGGCTGCGCTGGCACTCCTCGAGAGCGTCGGTCGTTGGCCGGACCACGAGCTTGTACTGTACTGTGCTGTAATTACTGCAGCAGGCAGGCCGCTGTACATGGATGGTACAGTACTTATAGAGGTACAGTACTTACAGAGGTGGTGGTGGTGGTGGTTGTCGGACTCGACTCCTTGTTCAGGCACGCAGCCAATGGCAGAGGCTGCGTGCCTGAGCAGCCGAGCATGATGGATCATGGATGGACGGGTGGGAGGGCCGCCGCCTTCCTTTCCTTTCTTCCCCCATTTTAATCTCCGTCGAGTTTCCCGACCCATCTCCGCCGCCGTCTCCCAGCTAACCTAACCCTACGAAAGTACTTTGGAATCGCCCAACCTGCCAACATGGCAAGGAGGAGAAGTAGAAAAGAAAAGGCACCTTTGCAAACCCACCACCACCTTCTTACGGATACTGTAGTTACTCCGTATCCGTACCTGGCTTGGGCAGGTACTAACGAGCAGCAAGGCGTGTGAGGTGAGTGTGTTTGTTTGTTTGTGCGCCCCCACTTATATCACCAACAAGTCAAATCTCTTCTTTTACCCGCCGAACCGCAGCGGGACCATCGGAAAGGAAGAAGAGGGGGGGCGATCGTTGGAAATCCCTTGGCCCCCCCTTTTTTTTCCGACCCTTTTTTCTTTCTCGCCGAAGCCAACTGCTTCTTTTTCCCAGGTTGGCTGTTGGCTGCTGCGCCGCGCCGTCTAATGGCAAAGGGGAGGCGTTTCGCCCTTCAGGGGCAAGGGGGATGAAACAAGCTGGGGCCCCGAGGACGGGCCACCTTCTATTCACGTCCAGCTCTGAGTTAATCAACTTATTCTTAGGCTATTCTCAGGCAATTCTCTTCATGTCCCCGACACGTGAGCAGTGCGCGTCGTCGCCATGCGGGACAGCCGTGCCCACAACCCCGAGCCCTTTTCCACCCATCAACGCGCGTCCTGAAGCATGCACTGTACTCGCCTCGTATCCCTACCTCGCACCGCTCAAGGCAAAGCCTCGTCTTTCTCCCTCTGTGCGCTGCAGGTACAGCAACGCCCATGCTGCAGGACGGGCATCGGGCATCCTACCAAAGGCCGTCAATGGTGCTCGGGCACATGCAACGCTTGCATCACGGCTGAGGTGAGACGGCATGCCGAGCCAAGCCCTCGCTCCTCCGCCTCCGGCACTTCTCATCCCGGACCGCCAGTCCCCCTTCTCCGTCGCGCCGTGCCCGTCTTCCAAGGGGCAGACCCGGTGAGGCCATCCGCCACGCCACCTCGCCATGCCCACCGCCCATTGCAACATCCCCCACAAACGGCGGCATGCCCTCTTTGCACCTCTCCCATCTCCCGCTCGCCCGTGCCCTACCCAAGGTGGCTCCTCGTTTGCATCGCGGCATGCGTCCACGCAAACACCTGCTCCCGCCTGTCCATCCATCCGCTGCCCGCCACGGCATACGCCATCTCCCTCTTCCGCCCCTTTGGTGCAACCCACGGAGCCGATGCATATCCCCCAGCCCCATCAGACCTCTCCGCGCAACCGCCTTCTTCTCGGTGCAGCCCTCGAGCCAACCAGCCAAGTAAATCCTCCTTCCAAACAGGACGGCGGCATGCCCAAAGCGCATAGGGTACACAGCGAACCGTGTCCGGCATCAGCCAGCATCCAATGCTTCAACCGATCCCTGCAAAGCGGGCTGCCCGCCTCTGCCACCGCCACTTCCGCCGCTCTGGCCTGTGTAACCCCCTAGCCCCCCGTTGTCTTGGTCTTGCTCCTCAGGCTGAAGAGGAATAGCTGTTGGCGCGCAAACACCGGCCGGTCTTGGTCCGGGATTTCTTCAACGATAAACGCCTTCCTGGCCATCTTGATGAACTGCAGGTCGGCACGCCTGCGCTTCTTGAAGCAGAAGTAGACGACGGCCCCGTCGTTGAGCGCCAAGAGATGCTTGAGCGTCTGCATGAGCAGTGGAAAGGCCGGCTCGAAGTAGACGCACTCGGCCGCCAGAATCACGTTGGGCCGCCGTTGCACCACCACCGCTGGCAGCGGCTCGCCCCTGTGCCAAGGCTCCGTCAGACGACGGCACCACGTACAGTACGATGGGCGTATCCAAGCTCGATGGCCGGACTGCAAGGGCGAGAAAAAGGAGACGACTTACCAGTTGAGCACCAGGGCCGTGGCCCTCGACCCGACGTCGTTGAGCTGAATGTTGTGCTGCATCAGCCCCAGCATCTCGTCCTGGTCCGTCAGCAGCAGCGAGCCCTTGGCCGTGTTGCTGCACCCCAGCGCCACGGCAAGCCCAACCAAGCCACCGCCAGCGCCGAGCTCCAGTCTGCAGGGGGGGTTCCAAGTCAGCAAAACGCCTCCTTCCTGCCTTGTCCTCGCCATTGTTGTTGTTTTCCTTTCTCCTCGGACTCTTTGTCTTGCCCTGTTGGTTGAGCCCAGGCGGCAATGGATCGCCCAACCCAAGCAGGGCGGAGGAGGCGGGAGGGGAGGGGGAGAAGCAACGAGAGGAAGAATAGTACAGTGGAGAAGACGCACATTGTCGCGTCCTGAATCTCACGTCGACGATAACGCAGCATGTGCTTGGCCAGCACCAGGCCGGCGGGCCACGTCTGCCCGCCGCAGCCCGTCCGCACATCCTCGTGGTACTTGAGCGGGCGGTCGAGCTGGCCGTCAAAATCGATGGTGGCACTTCCGGCCTGCTTGAGGCTCGGCAGCGGCGCCAGGTCCTCGCTGACGGCGACGGGGTCGAGCAGAGGCGACGGCGAGCGACACATTGGGCGGTGGAGATGGTTTTGAGGGTAAGCAGCTTGGCTGGGGGGCCATGGATCTTGTATTCAAGTGTTATGTACTCTTACTTCCAGGGCTGCTTGTTGATCCAGAGAGACGGACGGTGGCTTCGACGATTGGAAGCGTATGTGGTTTATCAGATCTTGGTGAGAGGAAAAAACGAAGCTGGCTTTTTTCTTGGGCTGGGGGCTAGGGAAGCAGGTATCCCGGTACCGTCTGTCCAGCGGGCACGTGGGGCCAACGCGAGGTACTCTCTGCGGGAAAGCGACATCCTCGGACGGGCTTGCTGTCCGTAGATGGACGAGCAACGACGACGATGCCGACGTCTCATCCTTGGCTGCCTCTTGCCTCTGCCTCTTGCCTCAGCGCCTCGAAAGAAGGAATTCGTCGGATTCTGCCCGCGACTCTCGAACCTACAGACTCGCGTGCTGTGTCCTCCCTCCCTTCTCCCCACTTGTCCGTCTTGTCCCACTCCAGCCTCTCTGACTCGACTCGACGGGCATCCCCTCGACGGGCATCCCCTCGCCGGGAAGCATGCTCTCTTGCTGTCTACTCGAGAAGCATTGTTAGGACGGAGCGAATAGCGTCGCTCTCGAGCTCGAGCATACCGCAAGCATGCCTCTGGGGGGTCGCCGAGGACCCCTAGCCGCTGGTCGATAGTGTGCACCCTCATTCTTTTTTTTATCATCTTCTCGCTCTCTCTCCATGACCGAGTATTGAGCTAGTCGTATGAGCATACGGATACTGCACGTGTGTACCGCCACGCAACAACGCCTTTATTGAAGTTTGCGCGCCATTCTACTAATCCGCGTTCCAGGGCCTCGCAGGGACGCTCCACCCACGGCGGGCTCGCTGCGTCTCCAACAATGCCATTCACTGACTGAATGCTCTCGTCGTCTAAATTGTGCGGCGACTTGACGGGCTCGAGCAGACAGTTGTTGGTTGGCGGATGGATGCGTCCATCGACTCACTCGTCACTCGTCGCCCATCACCATCGCTCATCGCTCATCGCTCATCACTCGCTCGGCTCACTCTGCTTCCCATCCATCACCAGCCTCGGACGAGAGAAAGAGACGCCAAGGATAGTTCTCTCTCAACCTGCGTCGACGACGGCCGCCGCAATGCCGAGTGAAAAATTGCATTTGCCATGCAGCAGATACCCACAAGCCCACGAGGCTGGACAACGCGCTGCCACTCAAGGGAGGCGAAGCTAAAATATGTTCCTTGCTCTATAGTCTGCGCTATAGCGCGAACCTCTCCTCGACTGAGTGACGCAGCGAGTGCGTGCGTGCTCCTCTACGCGCTCGCGTCTCCTCCATGTCTTTCTTTTCCACTCCGGCGCGTCTGACTCTTGGTTCGGGTCTGCCTTTTCCCCATCGCGCCCGCCGCAGCGGTCCCGGGACGCCGACCGGGGCGCCGACGGCCTGTCTCATTCCCCATTGTCAGCGGCGGGCTGGAATGCAGCGGCCAACCCCTCTGCTCGCCTCTTGTCTGTCGACTTGGAACGTGTGCTCTCTCTAGCTGCCACCGAGAGCTTCCCGTCCCACACAATGAGTGACCCCGCGACTCGACGCCCCCGAGGAATGAAGGGGGCTGCATCACCACGCACGCCAGCCATGGATTGCCGTTTGACGTCTGCTCGTCCTCTCTTTGCCCACGTCCCCCCTTCTCGTCGTCTTCCCACCTCTCCGTCCGCTCCCCTCACGATACTCTCTGGATGGCAACCTGACCTGACCTCCTGGCGCCCTCACGAATAGCGCCTCCTTGCGAGCCGTTGGGCCATCATGACTTTGCTTCCCGCCAGTCTCCTCATCCTCCTCTGCGCGCAATTGGCAAGCAGCCAGCCCACCATCTCCTTCCCCTTCAACTCTCAGTTACCGCCCGCCGCCCGCATCGACAAGTTCTTCTCCTACTCGCTTGCGCCCTCTACCTTTACCTCGAGCTCAAAGAACATCTCATACTCGCTCGGCGAGCATCCCGACTGGCTGTCCATCGAGAGTCATGAACGCCGCTTGTATGGCACGCCAAAGGACGCAGACGTCCCGTCGGGCGACGTGGTTGGACAGCCCATCGACATCATCGCCAAGGACGACACGGGCGAGACGACGATGAAGGCCACCCTCGTCGTGGCGCGAAAACCACCCCCCGAGATCCAGATTCCCATGGCCAAGCAGATTGACAGCTTTGGCAAGTTCTCGGCACCCTCGTCCATCCTCTCGTACCCGTCGGCCGACTTCAAGTTCTCGTTTGATCCAAAGACATTTGGCGACCAGGACCTCAACTACTACGCCACCTCGGGTGATGGCAGCCCGCTGCCGGCCTGGGTCCATTTCGACGCCCCTTCCATGACCTTCTCGGGCAAGACGCCCCCCTTCAAGTCTCTGGTCCAGCCTCCGCAGTCCTTTGACCTGAACCTCGTGGCCTCGGACATTGTCGGCTTCGCCGCCTCGTCTCTCTCCTTTTCCGTCGTCGTCGGCAGTCACAAGCTGACGACGGACCATCCCATCATCTTGCTAAACGCCAGCCGGGGCTCCGAACTCAAGTACAGCGGCCTGGAGAATGGGATCCAGCTCGACGGCAAACCCGTCGCGCCCGGCGACATGAAAGTCACGACCGATCGCTTGCCCGACTGGCTTTCTTACGACCCCGATACGCTCAGGCTCAAGGGGACTCCGGGCAAGGAAGACCACTCGACAAACCTGACCATTAGGTTCCACGACCCATTTGCCGACACCCTGGACGTGCTCGTCGAGATCCATGTCGCGTCCAGTCTTTTCGAGTCCACGCCCGACGACATGGAGCTGCGGCCGGGCAGCTACTTCGAGTTCGACCTGGCCAAGCATTTCCGAAATCCAGACGATCTCAGGGTTGACGTGACGACGAGCCCGCACGAGGACTGGCTAAAGGTCGACGGCCTCAAGATGTCGGGCAATGTGCCCAAGTCGGCCAAGGGTGACTTTAAGATATCCATCGTCGCGCGTTCAGGTACCTCCGGCATCAAGGAAACAGAGGCCTTCAGAATCAGCTTCCTCGCCCTCGACGGCACGACTGCTGTTCCCAAGAAACCCACGTCTCCAACACCGACGGGCACGTCCGAATCACACGCGGCAACCGTGGACTCCAGCGACGCCCAAATCGGCCATCTCAGCACGGGGGAGATTCTGCTGGCCACGATTATTCCCATCATATTCATCACCATCCTCCTCATGCTACTCATCTGCTACGTGCGCCGCAGACGCGCCCGCAGGACATATCTATCCAGCAAGTACCGCGCGAAAATGGCAAACCCCATGGCGGCGAGTCTCCACGCCAACACTCCGGGGTCGTCGATGCGAGAGATGGAAAGAGTAGGAGGCGCTGCGTTTGTTGGAACGCACTCGTCGAGACCAGTCCCGTTGGCTCACCTCGAGGCTATTTCCCAGTCGTCGAGACGGCGTTCCTCGGATACCTTGCACCGTCAGTCGGATGGAGAAGCGCCGCGGTCACTGCTGAGCGACGACGCGACAACGGCGACAATGGGGAGCATGGACGACAGCTCAGACTCTAGCGACGATGACCGAGAATCGTGGGTGACGGTGGAGGGCGACGAGCCCCAGGGGCTGGCGGAGAGGAGCCACAACCTGGCGCGGAGGAGCCACAGGTCAGACACGACGTTTCCCGAGTCGACGCACCAGCTTCTGCCGACGCCCGACATCTTTGCCGAGGCAAGAAATGGCCACTTTAGATCCGGCCTGGACGTGACGATTCCGACGATAGAGGATCTGCCCGGCGCACAAGCATCTCCGGGCACCATTTACAAGCCGTCCCACCACTACCCGCACGGCCTGGGCGCCCACTCCAACATGACGACCAGCTCCGTGGCCCTGCCGTCGGTACTGGAGCGCAACTACAGAATGCATGCACGCAACGACGCGTCCATGTCCAACTGGGAGACGATAGCGGAGAGCGACGCGGGAGAGAGCGTGTCCGAGGTGCGGAGGCCGGACAAGGCGCTGCTCAGCCACAAGGCGGACGACTCGAGAAACTGGTACTACATGGAGTCGTCGACGGGGAGCAAGAGCCTGGGCACAGACATATCATTTGACTCGACGGAGAACTGGAGGGTGATTGGCGGCCCGCGGCGGAGCGGCGGGCCGCACCAGTCGTACAAGGACCTTGTCGACGACGCGCCCTTTCACCCGTCACGACCGGGAACGGCGCGGGACGGGGCGCGGCCGGGCGAGCGGGCGAGTCCCGAGCCTCTGTCTCCACGCAGGTGGCGGGACGACGTCAACGCGACGACGGCGCGGCACGGCCCTTCGGCGAGCACGGCCACGGTGCAGAGCGGCCCGGGGACGGACGTGACCATGTCGGGGGGTAGGGGAGACGCCGGGCAGATGCTGTCGGAGGGGAGCGGGAGCTTCAAGGTGTTCCTGTGAGGAGGCAAAAAGTGATTTTGTGCGATAGTGTATCCGTATTGTATGGGGCATTGGTGTTGGTGTTTTGGGGCGAAGGCGGGAGAGGATGCTTTTTACGAATGATACCAGGGCGTATAACGATGTGATAGCTGTAACAATAGCGGTACATGGATTGCATGACACGGGGAGAATCGAGGATGAAAAGAAGCCGCAGGCCTGGACCGTTGCATGAAGGCAGCCGTACGGAGTAGATGGAAAAGCCGGTGTACCTATTCCGTTCGGGTCCCTGCGGCCTGGTTTTCGGACCGATAGCCGCCGGGTCGGGGACGGTGGGCGGGCCCCCTGACTTCCCCGCCGCTGATTCCGGCTTCCAGCAAAAGGTCTCACATGGCGGGGCTTTTTTTTTCTATTCATAGATATGTCTTCGCGTGCCTGATCTGCGAGGGCTTTTTGGTTTTTGGATAATTGCATGCTTGACGACGGGCAGGTTCAGCAGGCGGATATCATGGCCCGTGGCGAAGTCAGGCTGCACTCGGATAAGCACTAGGCCCAGGGCAGGAGACGCGCAAGAGGCGAGTACAGATTACAGCGGCGCAGATGGGGCGAAATGTACATGTCGGATAGGGCTGCATGTGCCAGAGCTGTACGGAGTACAGGCCATCTGGGGGGAGGTCCTCGCGACCTTGGCAAGCGCAGGTACACCGGGTACCTGAGGAAGGTACTAGGTAAGGTAGGTGCTGTAGGTACTGCTAGCAGCCGGGCGCATCAGCAACGCTCCGAAAGCGGCGGCAAAAGACGAGCAAACCGAAGAGAAAACTCTGTGGCCGAGTCGTTCGACCAGGGTGCAGCTGTAGCTTGGGCGGTTGTGCAAACAGTGTGTTGATTTGAGTGCTGATTTGTGTGCTGATTTGTATGCATCATCATGGCCCATTGCCCGTACGTACCAGCAGTTCCAGAGAGAGGCCGTCATGGTCCCACGGCAAGGGGGGGAAAACTCGACAGAGCACGCGACCTCCAGCCACGGCAGAGATTTCCCTCTCGGATGGCGTGGGAAGGAGGCTCCGCAAGCCACATGTGTGGTGTGTGTGTGTTTGTGTGTGTGTGTTTGTGTGTGTGTGTGTGTGTGTGTGTGTGTGTGTGTTTTGGTGCGACCGACCTGGACTTGACGGGCATCTGCAGGCGGCTCCCCCCACACTCTCTCCTTCTCCCTCTCAGATCATTATTGATTGCCTCGCCGGGTTTCCTAGACCTTGTAGCTTATGTACCCATCTGCCCTAGACACGTAGATGGGCAGAGACAGTACTCAGATCACAGGCACCTCATGAAAGGAGGAAAAGACATGGCGAGATGCTCCGGATCTGCAGTGTACCTGGTACATCTGGGGTAGCGGCTGACATAACAGGGCCAGCCGGTCATGTGCTCTGCCGGGATGGCAGCTGCAATCTGTCCCTGAATCGAAAGAGCCCCAGCCACACACCACGCCCCTGTCTGTGGCTTGTGGATTTATGCACAGTAGGTACTAGTAGGTACTCCGTACGGCGCGTCTGTGCTGTGCCTGTGCCCTAGGTGTGCAGGTACTTGGGAAGTAGGTATGAGGTAGGTACTCTGGTTGGTGTTTGAGCTGTTGCTTGCTTGCATACCTGTTCCGGTCGTGTCCGCGCCTTGCTTCAATGCTTTCGTCCCATGTCCATCCATCTCTCACTCTCGACTTTGCAAACCCGACCGTCTCTCCCCCCGTGTCCGTACAGATGCATGTACCGGACAGGCTCGGGATTGCATAGGATGGGGTAGATCAACGTGTTCTAGGTGCGTGCCAAGTCAAGGCACTCCGGGCACCTTTGGTAGGCGTCTTCTCCAAGGTAGCTACAGGCAGCTACCCAAGGCAGTCGCCGCGAACACGTCAGGCACTGGTATCCAGGGTACCTGGGGCCCAAGTACCGGCCTCCGGGGAGAGTACGTGAGCCGAAGCCCAGCCTTTAGGTCCATGGTCCCGGAACCAAGCCCAGCTCGACGTATCCACCCTCACGGCAGTGACCTCGTTCTCGGACGCGGCCAGGTACCAGTACCCCGCTTCCCATTTTTTCCCGCGCAGCAAAGGCCCTCGTCAAAGGTCCTCGTCATCACTCGCCTGCTGGTACTGAAAAGGTACATGACCTTGGCTTGCCTGCTAAAACCTCCATTTTGCTTGCATCGTTCAACCACTTCCGTCACTCAACACCATCATCACCACCATCACCACCACCGACGCAGCACCACTACCAGCAGCGAGCGCACCGCTGCACGCACTCTCTCGCGCGCCCCGATCCTCTCCTCCACGCCTCGCAACCAGGGTCTTTCTGAGTCCCCGGTCCTGCGCTTCCTCCCTCTCTTCTCTCCTCTCGCGGAGCCTCGGCAACCGACGCATTGCCCTCGCAGCCCGACCCTGGCCGCCACCACGGCCTCGTCTCTGCTCTCGCCGCTCTCGCCGCTCTCGCCTCTGCCTCTGGCCCGCGCCTTCGGCTTCTTCCTGCGTCGACAAGTCCTCGCCTTCCTCACCCTCCTCAATCCCCTCCCGGCATCCGCGCGGTGGCTGCGCTCAGCTGCTGCCGAACGTCTTGCCGCCATGGGCCAAACTCTCTCGGAGCCCGTCGTCGAAAAGGTGCGTTCCCAGTCTTCGAGTCCGCCCTACAATTCTAAGATGCCCACCTCTTCTTCCTGCTGTCGGCCTGGACCAATCCATACCTCGGCCCGCTGTGTTTTCCCTCTCCGCCCTCTCTCTCTCCCATCCCCCCCCTTCAGAATTTTCTGTCACTCGTGCTCTCTCACGTCTCCGCTCCCTCTCCAAACACTTTCCAAACCACCCGCCTCTCTTTTTGTCCTCTCTTCTTCCCAGGCCATGTCGCCATTGTCTCCAATCTCACGCCTTTGTTGGGTGTCGCTCGTCTGTGAAGCCCGCTGACTCTTCTCTTTCCTTCGCTGCCGCTGCAGACTTCCGACAAGGGCGAGGATGACAGGCTTGTCTACGGTTTGTCCGCCATGCAGGGCTGGCGTATCAGCATGGAGGACGCCCACACAGCTGTGCTCGACCTCGGCAATCCCTCCGCCGGCGACTCCAAGGCGATCCCTGCCAAGCTGGCATTTTTCGGCGTTTTCGACGGCCACGGAGGAGAAAAGGTCGCGCTTTTTGCGGGCGAGAATATACATAGCATCATCATGAAGCAGGATAGCTTCAAGGCTGGCGACTACGCTCAGGGGCTCAGGGACGGCTTCCTCGCGACAGACAGAGCCATCCTCAACGGTACGCCGTGTGCCTCCTCTACCTTGATCCTCTGCATGCTGCGCTCGCCCTCGCGCTCGGCCTGGCCGTCGGCGCTCTGTCAAGGCTAACCTTGAATGTCCGCAAAGACCCCAAGTACGAGGACGAGGTTTCGGGTTGCACCGCCTGTGTCAGTTTGATTGCCGACAACAAGCTCTACGTTGTAAGTCATGACATCTCTAGTCTTGGGCAATGTCGAGATTTCTCGCCCATCTCTACTCAGTGCCGCCCGCTAACCCAACATGCCAGGCCAACGCGGGTGACTCGAGAGGTGTGCTGGGCATCAAGGGACGCGCGAAGCCGCTCTCGCAGGATCACAAACCTCAACTCGAAAGTTTGTCCGATCCGATCCGAACTCTCAGCTCCCCACCCTCGAAACCAAGCACTGACTCGTGTCCCTTCCGCGCCATCTACAGCTGAGAGAAACCGCATCACGGCGGCCGGTGGGTTTGTCGACTTCGGTCGAGTCAATGGCAACCTGGCCCTGTCACGCGCCATCGGCGACTTCGAGTTCAAAAAGAGCGCCGAACTGTCCCCCGAAAATCAAATCGTCACTGCCTTCCCTGACGTGGCGGTCCATGACCTTACGGATGAAGACGAGTTCCTGGTTTTGGCCTGCGACGGTAAGCGAAGTCGCGAATGCCATTGTTGAAGAGGCGGGAAGAAAAGCATGGAGAGCTGACGGCCCTTGTTCATACAGGCATCTGGGACTGCCAGTCCTCTCAAGCCGTCGTTGAGTTTGTTCGACGAGGCATCGCCGCCAAGCAGGACCTCGACAAGATCTGCGAGAACATGATGGACAACTGCCTTGCATCAAACTCTGAGACGGGTGGCGTCGGCTGCGACAACATGACCATGGTCATCGTGGGCCTCCTCAACGGAAAGACAAAGGACGAGTGGTACGAGGAGATCGCGAGGAGAGTCGCCAACGGAGACGGCCCCTGCGCCCCCCCGGAATACGGTACGGCCCCGACCTAGCTCCGCTGAAGGGCGCCTTGCCCGCCCAGTCGAGCCTGTACCCCGTAACTGGCGCAGACCCCTTGAGCTGACCATGTGTTTTCACCTCTCTTACCCAGCCGAGTTTCGTGGTCCCGGGGTTCATCACAACTACGAGGATAGCGACAGTGGTTATGATATGGATGCGGAGACCAAGGGCAGGAACTTCGGCGTTGGTGGGTACCGAGGCCGGATCATTTTTCTCGGCGATGGCACCGAGGTGCTTACGGATTCAGATGAAACCGAAATGTTCGACAATGCCGACGAGGACAAAGACCTCGAGAGCCAAGTGTCCAAGACCTCCTCGACCGACAAGGACGGCTCTTCGGCCCCCAAGTCCCAAACGACCGCCGAGGCCGCCAGTGGCACCGAATCGAAAGCGGAGGCGAATGCCGCCCAGCCCAAAGCGGGCGAGGGGCCACAGTCAGCGTCCTCGACGACCGCGCACGACGGGGTTAAGCACGACCAGTCGAAATCCTCCAAAGAGAACGAGGATTAGGTGATCCTTGCGCCTCTCAAGTAACTCGGACTGAATGAAGTGCTCCCTCATGAGCAAATGAATGGGGCCAGACTTGTTCCCCCACTCTAATCCCCTCCCCCTTTGTTCCCCGTGTTCTCCTTACTTTTTTATTTATTTGACAGTACTACGCTCGATGCGGTCGAGGGGAAGGAAGGAGAGAAACGGGTCGTGAAGCCGATGGGAAGGAAACGGCGGCTAGACATGATGTGCTCCTTATTGTGTGTCAGGTCGCGCGGTGTACCGGCGGTCGATACTGGATTCCAAGGGAGAAGAGAGACACGAATGCCTCGCCTATCCACCAGCCAGCCAGCCAATCAATCGCCCTGTGCGTCCATGACTTTTGCACCCCTCTGTCTGCTGGACCTGGTGTATGTTGCACACGCGCCCGGAGCAGTCGGTGCTGGATCGCTTCCCGCCCGGCTCGCCGTGGGAACGTATGTGCGTGTGCGTGTGCGTGGAGAGGAACTGTGAATCGTTGCACAAGGGGACTTGGGGCGTGGCGAGATGGGATGGTTGGACATGGCGTGGGGGGGCCTGGATAGACGGGGCGATGGACTTGCATGGGAGCTGGGAAAGGGGCGAGGGGGAAAGAATCACTTTCTGTGTTGCCATTGCCCCCTCGGGGGACTGCGTGGCGAATGTGGCATTGAGTACTCCGCAGTATACAAGGAAAGGCACATTGATGAACTCGTCTTTCATCCCTGGCCTCCCGGATCCCGGTTGTTGCGCTGTCCGCTGTCCGCCTTTTGGGCTCCCCTTTCTACCGAGCTTATTGTACATACAAGGTGCTTGTCCCGTTTTTCTTTTCCCCCAGCTCTTTAACTCCAATTGCGAATTCCATGGAAGACAGCCGCATCTACATGTGTGGACGGAAGCGCCGCTCGGCGAGGCGTGCCCGGGCATCGTCTTTGCCTGCCCAGGCAGCGCCGTCGCCTTCAGCCGGGGGCGCCTCGTGCTCGCCAGCCTCGGCCGGGTCCTCGCGAGGCTCAGCAGGCCCGTTCTCGCCAGTCTCAGCCGCGTCCTCAGCAGACGCGGCCGCGGCCCCGGGCGCGCCGCCGGCCCGGTCGGACTCGGGGTCGGCAGGCCGTATCATCGACCAGCGTTTGAAGCGTGAGTCGAGGTGAACCAGCATGACGGCGCGGCGCCTGCGCAGGTCGTACATCCGGATGGTGTAGTCGTCCGGGTGCTTGATGGTGGCGGGATGGAGCGCCTCGTTGTACAGTTGGCGGTGCACCGGCCCGTCGAGGGTGCGGATGGCGGTGCCGAGGGCGCCGCAGAGCGACTGCACGGGTGTGTAGTCCTCGCACTCGCTGAGGATGGCCCACTCGACGCCGGCCGTCGGGCTGGTCGTGGGCGCCAGCTTGCTGGCCTCGAGGGCGCGGGCCATCTTGTTGGAGAAGACGCGCGGCTGGACGTAGTTCCAGAACCAGACCTGCGACTTGCCCATCAGCACCTCGTCGGCAATCTGCCGCGCCGTCGTCCGCAGCTGCCGCGCCAGCACGGCGTAGAACAAGATGATGCCAAAGGAGGTCGGGGAGCGCGAGTTGCGCGCGAGCAGCAGCAGCACCTGGTACGTGTAGTGGTCGGGCTCGCAGCCGCGGTCCCGCATCCGCGCGATGGCCCAGAGGGCCGTCGTCCAGTCCCGGCTCTCGGCGCAGTACTCGAGGATGATGTTGTATGTGTCGAGGCCGAGCTCGAGAGACTCCGGCAACTTCTCGTCCATCATGGTGCGGAACTCGCCGATGGTGGCGTGGCCTTTCTTCCAGAACCGGAAGAACTCCCTCAGGGTGCCGTTCAAGGCGCCGGGCGTGAGCCAGTCCTCGCCGTAGCGTGAGGCCTGGTTCGCCATAAAGGGCTCCAGCATCGTGCCGGCCTTGAAAGCCAGGTACGCGTCGTGGCCGGCCATGACGTCGGCGATGCCGCGCCGCGTGGCCGGGTCATGGAAGAAGCCGAGCTCGTACATGGCCGCAATGATCTGCCTTCTCTTGTCGTCCTTCTGGACCAGGCGGAGGTAGAGCAGCCACGTGCGCGCGTTTGGCTGGAAGAAGCGAGACACCATCTTGCGCAGAGTCTTGAAGAAGAGGGCGACGTCGTTGTTGGAGAGATATCCCTGGAGCATGATGTTGTAGACTTCGGTGTCCATGGGCACGCCCCACTCCTCGGCCATGGCGAAGAGACGCTCGGCCGAGGCGCGATAGCCGGCGCGGTGGGACATGAAGGCCAGAGCCATCTTGAGGATCCAGGGGGTGATGCAGTCTCTCGCGGAAGGGTCTTCAAAGGCGTCGAGGATGAGCCTGATTCTCACGCCTTCGGTGTCGACGAGCCTCCCGCCTTTGCGAGGCTCCCCGTAGTAGGCCAGGGCCATGTGAGGGCGCAGGCGCCCGCAGGCGAGCGTGGTGACGTATCTTTGGAATGTTTCCTTTGTCCAGTACATGGGTTTCGGGGTGTTCTCGTAGCGCCTGGTGATCCAGTATCTCGTTTGCTCCCGGTGCACCCACATGTTGTCGAGCTTGTCGGCCGGCACGACGAAGCCGCCGTTGGGGGCGTCCTCGATGACTGGCCACAGGCGCTTCGTCTCGTAGTCATGAGCCGCGACGTCGCCCAGCTTGAAGATTTGGATGTCCTTGCAGGCGGCAATGAGCTCGTCGGCGGCCCTGGCAAGCACCGAGGCGCGGCCGCGGAGGAAAAAGGACGACGGGCCCTGGCGGTCGACGGCCATGCGCAGCCTGGCGACGAGGCCGGTGGCGGCATCGATGAACTCGACTTTTCTGTTCTCGACGGCCAGGTCGCGCGACTCGGGCATGACGATGCGCAGGGCGGCCATGCTGGGGGCGTCGCCGACCTTGGGCGTGGTGCGCTTGAGGGTTTCGAAGACGTCGGCCCAGTCGGGGACGCGGCACGTCTCATCGCGCGAGGTCATCAAGTCGAAGCCGACATGGACCCTCGCCAGCTTGAGCGCCTGCGCCATGCTCTTCTTGGTGGCATGGGGCAGAGGGTAGTCGCGGGCCGGGGGCACAAAGGGCGAGCTGAGCCTGTGCTTGACGTCTTCGCGGATGGCGCGAGACTCGTCCCGAAAGGCGTGCCGAAGCATCTCGTTCCGGACGTGGTTCGAGTGCACAAAGTCGCCGCGCAACCGCGGGCGCGGCTCGTCGTCGGTGTAGGGGAAGGGAAAGGCGTGCGTCGTCGGCGGGTGCCCGGGCGAGGACGATGGCGTCGAGAGCGGGCGCGGCGAGGCTCGCAGGCGCGACGCTTTGCCTCCCCAGGCGGCGGGGACGCATCGGGACCGGGTCCTCCATGCTAAATGGAACATTGGTCATGAGGTGCGCATAGTTGCGTCTGGTCTGTGTCGTGGATGGATGGCTGGCGGGAGGCGAGTTATCGGCGTTGCGATTTTCTGCGGGTCTAGACAATCACTTCATCCAATCCACGCCGTAAATTTGTAGGCACGCTCCTCTGGGCCGGCGTCACGTGCCACGGCTTGTAAGCCCGGGCGACCCTCTCCTCAGCCACTTCTTCTCCTGCACCATCTTCACCTCTGGTTCAAGCAGGAGAGAAAACTGCTGGCTAGGACTTGGATGTTGATCCAAGTGCTGGCTGACTGCTCTAGCCAAGTCCGGGCGAAGATGCAATAACTCCATGATTTTAGCCGGTCCCATTCGACCGTCTCTGGGCTTTGATTCATTGGAGGAGAGATCAAATCATCGAACTAAAAGGAGCGCAAACACGACGAAACAGAGAGTCAAGAACGGGGGCCAATGATTCAATTCTTGGTCTCTAAAGAACCAGTTTAAAGCTTGAGAATAGATGGCCCTTTTCATATACTGGCATCCTCTGTTTCCTGACGGCTTACCTCGGATATGTCTCGGAGGTCTGCTTCCACGGCGCGTGGCATGTGCGTTGAACTTGATCCCCTCCTGCCTTGAGAGCGTCTAGAGCCCCCTATTCCTTCTGTGGCCCCGAGTTTTCTTTGGGAGGCTCTGGGGTTTCCTTTGGCGTCTCTTGGGTTTCCTTTGGAGGCTCCGGATTTTCCTTTGGCGGCTCTGGGTTCTCCTTTGGTGGCTCTTGGGCTTCTTTTGGAGGCTCTTCATTTTCCTTTGGAGGCTCTAGGATTCCCTCTGCAAGTTCTGGGGTTTTCTCCAGCGCCGCTTTGATTTCCTTTACCTCGTCGTCACCAGCGTCTTCCTTCGGCGTCTCTTCGAATTCCTTCATCTCCTCTACACTTAGCTCTTTCTCCGGAGGGGCCGTGTCCTCTGTGTCATCTGGCAAACCGTCGGCGAGGAGCCTACCAGCCGACGACGGTAGTACTTGTCGGGAGAGTCGACAATCCGACGGGCTAGCAAAGAATTCCCTCGTGATTTCGTAAAATCTCCTGTCGCAATATACCCGCGTGCCTACACAGGCCTCTGATATCCGCTTTCGGTCTCCCTTTCTGCCACAGAGCTTGAACCTCCGGCGAAGACCAAGCGCCGGTTTCCTAAATGGCCGTCGGCCTTGATTCGGGACCGGGACACCTCCAATGGGGACCGGGACACCTCCAATGGGGACCGTGGGGACAATTGGAGCTGGGATCGGGACCGGGATGCCTCCACCGGGGATGGCAGGGTTCCCTGGAGCGACGCCCGGAGCCGGGTCACGGGAGGCTCGGCACGCCTCAGGGCTGGGAAAGGTCTCTGCCGTACCGTCGAAGAGCCTTCTGTTGCAAAAGTCCAAGGTGCCCACGCACTCTTCCGATCGAGCTTTAATGTCTCCGGGAACGGTGCCGCAAAGCTGTGCTCTCTGGGCCTGAGCTGCGGGCTGTCTAAAGGGCTTCCTCAACACTGCTTGTCGTGCTTCAAGGGGAGCTGCAGGAGCAAGCCCTGCGAAAACGGCAAGCATGAGAAAGTGCTTCATGGCTGAAGTATTGAATATAAGGGAGGCAATGTCTGGTAATGTCTTAGAAATAACTCTGACTTGGATGTTGAGTCTGACTTGAATGTTGAAAGCAATGCAACACTTACAAGGGAGAGCAGTCCGAGATATTTATATTAATCGCGGCTTTCAGGAAAATGGTAGAATTTGAGGCATCAAACCTTTGGCTATACTTAGCTCCTCGTAGCCAATTTTCGTTCATTTGCTTATCTGCTTTACTTTTTACTAGAAATAGCAGTAGGTGCCCTATATTCTAAAGCAGCTAAGAATGGAAACTCAAAGTTTCAACTGCTGTGCCTTGCTCTGCCTAGAGGGTGTTTCCGGGGCAAGAGGATGTCGCCAGCATCCTTTGTATCATCACCGTTAGCTGGCTCAAGTCGCAGGCTTCAATACTATCGGGAGGTCCGCCATCCAGAGCCAGGGACAAAAAGCGGCTGCTAGCCGCAGTGAGCATCATACTCAGCGCCCGAGAAACAAGGTGAGGGGTTATTTTATTCTTAGAACAACCATATATAGATTGCCTAGAGACTAAACAGCAACAGTTTTGCGGCTCTAGCATGCTTTGCGGGGCCTTTTTACTAAAGTTAGACTTAAATATCCCAAGTCCTCCCGCTTCAACTGCCACTTTAGGGGAACTCATGCCTTGTCTATTTTAGAAGCAAACAGTATAAGCAGCAAACAGGAGGGTTCACGCCTTAATTTAGCTGCATACGCGACTCAAACCATCCGCAAGACCTAAAGGCTTTAAGCTCTTCTTCAATTCGCTGACTGCCGCAGTCCGGGCCTAACAAGACACGCAGACTAACAGTACATTATGTAGGTGGGAGAGCACAGGAGTAAGATTCTAACGAATTAAATCGTCGCGTAATAATAGGGATGCTAATTTACTAGCAAACTCTATTATCCGAAATTTCGTGCCGATTTGGGTTAGTTCTAAAAGCTACATTATGCAGTCTTGTTGCGTTTGTTACTAATTCTAGCCGCTAAAGGTTTTACTAATTCTACGCGCTGCACCTTTGCTACGTTAAAAGGTTCAAGGGAACATGCTTCTTAATAGAGCTTGAATAAGTACAAGGGGGGATGAATAGAAAACTCATCTTGCGAGGGTACCTTCACGACACCCCCTGATATAAGTTAAATACAAAATAACTGCAACAACGCCGATTTTCATTAGGCCTTTAACAGGACTAATAATAAAGTAGGAATAATTTATCTTTAAGGTTACAGAAATTATTATCGAGTCTTGTATCGTACAAGTAATCCTTATGTCTTTATCGTTCTTCTACTGTTTACTTATATAACTCCTAGGACTTTCTAGTGTCAACATGGAAAGCAGTCTTGCAGTAAATTACTCACTTCAGAAGAGGCTTAGCAAAGAATTACAAATGTTGTACAGCTTACCGCCTCGTCCTCTGGTAGTTTCTGTTATATATTCCCGCCCAAACGAGAAGGTTGTTGTGCTTGGACGTTTTACGGCCATATTTTCGTAACATGGTTTATTGTTTTACCTCACGCTCTACTGTCGTTATCTCTGCTGTCATATATTCGGCTTGATTCCTTCCGGCTGCGTTGTCTAGATTAGGTACATGACACCAACCTAGCCTGCTCTTCAGGCAAGTCGCTTGCCATACGCAAGGGATCATGAAAGAGTGATTACTGTGTCGTCAACCTTTTCTCAGCTTCCATCCCAGACGCTTACTTTCCACCCATGCTCCATCTTGCAACTTATGCCAACACAGGCCGCTTAGGAAACTGTTGTTGCCCTCCCCTGTCGCCCGCAGCTACGACACATACAGGCACAAGGCCACAACGCCTGCAGCCAGAGCGACCGTCAGAAGAGTCGAGTCCGAGGCCCTGACGGCCGAGGCGCCGGAGCGGCCCGGCGTGATGGCGGTCGCGGATCTCGCCGTGGTAGAAGAGGTGCCATTGGTCCTGACCGTGGTGGACACGCTCGACGGCCTGGCCGTCGAGACACCCGTTGTGAGCATCGACGACGTTATAATCGCCGTAGTTGCCGGCCTGGAGGTTCCGGTGGCGCTGGGAGCGACTAACGGCGGGCTCGAGGTGGTTGGGGCTGGGATGGGGGCTGGGACGGGAGCTGGGACGGGAGCTGGGATGGGAGCCGGCACGCCGGGGATCCCTCTGCATTCCTCGTCATCGTCGTCTTCATCCCAGCGCCCGTTCTCGCCATCTGGTTCCTGACGCTTGAAGGGCCAACATGGGCCCAGGCCCGCATTACCTCCATCACCCGCGCTGCCCGCGCTGCCCGCGTCGCCGCCCGACGGTCCTTTCGGCGCCGCCACCGGAACCGCTGGGACCGCTGGGGCCGCGCCCGGAGCCGCCGCCTGGGAGACGACGATGCTGAGAAGCATGGCCCATATGGCTAGGGCGTGGTAGAGCTTAGGACCCATCATGATCAAATGCAAGTGTCGAGATGTTTTGGTTGATAAGGTATCAAGGTAAATGGGATCAGTGAAGCCTGCTTCGATTTATGCCGACACCGACCAAGTACGAGTTATTGACGACAAGAAGTGAAAAACAGACGTGTCTGGATGAACCTTGCCCTGAAGATAGACAAAGGTCCCTGGTTTGCTCTTTGGTCTCGGTTCTGCTGTCGACTCTCGAATCTGGGAAGGTATACGGCACTGAGGTCATGTAATATAGCCAGCTAGCATCTATTAATTGTCGTTGATCTGTCTATCTTTGTCCTTGGAGGGTTTATGGGCTTAGTCCCCACATCGAAACAGCCAGCAGGTACACTGCGACTCATACAACACCTCCTCCTCCCTCTCTACGTTTGGTTCCCCCTTGGAATACCCTTGTTGAAGGGACTAGCTCTCAATTTAGTTCCTTGGGACTCTCGTAGGGCGCTTCAGGCGATCATACAGCCAAAAAAAGAGACTGACGCACCTAGAGATAATATGTAGATCAAAAAATAGAATCGTACGCAACTTCGAGACGATTGTCTGCCTCCCGTAAGGTGGTTCATCTACGTCTGATCGACGCCTCGAGGCGCCTCCGCTAGAAAATCCCCCATGATCCATGAAAGTTGTTCTAAGAGGTTAGGCCCTTCCCCACTTGTTCCCGTTGTTTCGTTTGGCCTCTTTTTTTAAACTAGCTTTTTGCATTTATTTTTATCTTTAACGCTTTTCTTTTCTTGCGCCTTCTTTACGCTCTCTGCCTCCTATCGTTTCTTCCTTTCCTCTCCCGGCGCCCCCTTGACTTCTCAACAGAGGTCGGCTGGACTCTGCCCCTGGATGACGAGTCAGGCTTGGTCTTGAGGCAATGCGTGACGGAGTTATAGAGCCAGCATTACTTTGTCTATTTATTCTAAACATACTGCAAGAGGAGAAGCAAGTAAGCTGTCGTTACGTCGCAAGTTATCCCTTGACAAGCATGCCAGGCCTCACAACTCATCTTGGTGAGATGCGCCGGAAAGCCTGCTTAGTAGCTGCTTATTGACAGCGTCTTTTGTCTAAATCTCTATTTCATCTTCTCCGGCCACGTCTGTCTTTCAGCTTCCCATGCCGGAGTCATATGTTTTGCCCCCATTTATCTGTTGGCTGTGATTGCTCCTAGTCGTCTTTCTCACTACTGCCGGATTGTCTGCATATATTCCACCGGTCTCAGCCAGAGCAGCTGCCGTTAAATCAGGACTTGCCATAGTAAAGAGAAATCGGCAAATTAGTATTTCTGGATCCGTTATAACACTATTATATTTTGCAGCCAGTCAGATTTAGCATGAGAGTAAAAGTTAACATACTTTTGTTTAGTAGCTTTAGCTATTTCTTTAGGACTTGGGGTATTCTATATTTCTCAGTTAAGACCAAAGAGATCTAAGCCGTTAATACTGAGTGCCTTAGCAAGGCCGTTTCGATGCGAAATTAGCATAGGGGTCGTCCTGCAGCTAGCTAACTCAGACTGGAGTTTTTAACTTCGGGTCCGCTAGTGCTAAATCCTCCCTTGATGCCTTATCCCCTGCCCTAGTCCCCAACGCTCTGCATCAGCTTTATAAATAGTATGCAGAACTCACCCAAACTTAGAGGCTTCAGTTGGTCCCTTTATCCAGACTGCTGCGGAGTAGCAGAAGTGGGTTTGATCCCCGGCGGGGCTTTACTCCAAACAGTCTTTCAGTCCTAGGCATTGTTAGCTTTCCCAATTTAGATTGTTCTTGGCGGTCTTGGCGCGTTGCGCCCATCCGGTAGCTGTCATTAGGCTGATAGTTGCGAGTTCAGCGGGCTGGTGGTAAACCCCTTAATCGGAACTGTGCATATTGTAAACATCTTTGCCGGTGTCTGAGCATGATCCGTAAGCATCTCGAAATAGAAAAGACGGAATATGTTTCCCTACTATATAATCCTCAACCCGCATAAAGGCCAACCTATAGGAGCAAGCAACAAAAAGTATCATTATATTCTGTCCAGATTGCCAACCGGACGTGCTTGATTGCTTCTTTGTCGATTTAATTTATCATGCGTCTTGTTATATTCACCAGCAGCCTCGCCCTCTTGGCTAGACCGACCGGCGTTGGCGCGCTTCCTGGGGACCAAGAGGTCGTGCAAATACCAATCGACGAGCCGGCTAGTATGGCAGAGCCACCGGTGGAGCTTGTCGGCGTTCTTATGCAGCTCCAAGACCAGGAGGAAGATATGGAGGCTGTAAATAACTTGGTGGCGGACCAAACGCCCATCAACGTTCAGATGGTCTTCCATGTTGTTACAAAAACCAAAGGCGGCCAGAACCGCATTACGGCAAGTTTCAAGCAAGCTAGGCAGCCCACCTTCGGATTGCATCCAACTAATCCTCTAGCCAGGACAATGTCCTACTACAACAGCTTGACGCACTGAACCGGGCCTATGCACCTGCCCTGATCTCCTTCACTCTTATAAACATAGTTCGGGCCGTCAATGCTGAATGGGGTGCCAGCAGAGATACAGACACTATGCAGCGAACCCTTCATCAGGGAGATCGGAAGACGCTCAATCTTTTTTTTCTCGAAGAGCTGAAGGAAAAGGATGGGAAACCGTTTCTCGGCGTGGCTCGTCTGCCTACCGGTCTACTGGCTGAAAACGGGCTGGAACAAGACGGCTGTCTCGTCCACGCCGACACCCTTCCCGGCGGCGGCTTCCAGAATAAGAACTCAGGCAAGACTGCCATCCACGAAGCCGGACATTGGTTTGGCCTCTTGCACCCGTTTGACAACGGCTGCAGCGGCGTTGGCGACGGCGTGGCCGATACGCCGGCCGAGAGGCAGCCCTCTTTCGATTGTAGGCCCCGACACTCTTGTCCTGACCAGCCGGGCCAAGATGCCGTTGACAACTTCATGGACTATGGCCTAGAGTAGGCCAGCCCGCCCATCCCCATCTGCGATTTACTGATTATAAGTTGCGGTAAGCTGACGTCGACGTGGCAGCCAATGCCGCTCGGTATTCACCTCGGGCCAAATCGACCGCGCCCGTCAGCTGTGGAAGATGTTTCGTGACCCCTAGCAGGTGGAAGCTGTTAACTTCCCGATGCCGCCCCCAACGGCGCCGACTGCTGTCCGATGCAAATTGAAGACGACGCGCTGGCCAGACTTGCAAGGCAAGCGCATTCCCGAGCTCAAGGCCAAGCCTACGCCTGCAAACTCGCTAAATCAGCCGAAGTTCCTGGGGCCTAGCAGCCGACGCAACGTACGGCGGCCTATAGGTAGGTTAGAATTAAAAAGCATTTTTGGGAAAAAGAAATTGGTCTATATATACACTTAGGCTTGTAGCTATATAGTACTTTATTATATTAATAGTCGATATATATAAAACCGGATAAATACATAAGCGTACAGTTGTCGCGAAGCGTAGCCTGATTTCGCAGTTCTCAGAGATATCCCTTGGCAAGAGGGGCTCTAGGAAGCTAAAACAGCCGGTATGAGAAGGAGCTAAAAGGAGGTGCAGAAAGGAGGGTGGGGGAAAGAGGGGAAGCAAAAGTGGCGATAGCTTCCCATAGGGGCAGCGAAAGATTAGACGGGTTTGCTAGCAACGTGTCACGGGCTGTGCCCGGCTGGTGGACCCGGTTGTACCGGGTCCGGTGGGTCGTGCTCCGGTGGCAACACCGGCCCCGCTCCGCGGACCCAGAAGCTGCGAGAACATTCCGAGAAGGGTAATATAAGCTCGCACTCGAGGCTACGCCTCGAGTTCAGCTTCTTTTCCTCCTTAGCTCTAGATAGACAACACCTAGGCACCTGCTTGTTGAATAAACTCCGGGCCAGCCTTTCACATATCTAGAGCTCCTTCTAAATACCGCAAGCTGCAGACTGCTCGTCAGGATGGACCAGCAGAGTGAGAGCCCAAGTCTCCAGCAGCAATGGATTGACCAACGCATTCAAGAAGCGGTCAATGCGACTCTCAGCCCTCTACAGGACCAACTTTCCTTGCTGATGGAGCAACTCGGGCGAGCGCAGCCACAGAGCGCCGACTTGCAATCGCCGCCAGTGGCACGAGGATTGGGCGAGAGCACGCCTGGCTTGGGCACGCCCCTCCCCAAAACCTGCGGTACTGGAATGCGGAAACCGTTGCCCAACCCACCCAAGTATGACGGCTCACGGAAGAGCTACTCCGCCTGGGCCAGGCAGATGCGAGACAAGCTGGACCTTGATGCACACTACTACAGTGGAAATCGCGAACTTTGGTACCTCATCAACTCATGTTTGGACGAGCGACCACAGCAAGTGGTCGCTACCTTTACGCCGCGGAGGCCCTGGGGTAGCTACGACCCCAAGAGTTCATGCGATACCTCGACCGAACCTACCAGGACAGCAACATCCAATCCCGCGCTGCTGCCACGCTGAGAACTATGCGGCAGCGCGAAGACCAACCTCTCGCGTCCTTCCTTCCCCGATTCGAACAGGCATTAGCTGAAGCCGGGGGAGCAGACTGGCCGGACAGTGCAAAGATCGTATTTCTAGAGAACGCAATAAATGCACGCCTCCAAGAGAGTTTGGTCACAGCCGTCCTACCCGACGACTACCAGGGATGGCTTGCGAGTTCAGGAAATTGCGGGCAGATTGGAGAGACTGAAACCCGGTAGGCAGCCGACGTCGACTGAGCGGACGCCTCAACAGCTACCAAGGCAACGACCCAAGGAGGAACCGGAGGACCCCGACGGAGATGTTAAGATGACGGACATCAACCGTATTGGCCACGAGTCGAAGGGTCGTCGACATGTCGATAAGAAGCCGAAGGATGAGCGCCGCTGCTATCGCTGTGGTCGGACGGATCATCTTATCGTGGACTGCCCAGCCCAGGTGGTCTTTCCTGGCGAAGGGAAGCAACAGCGACCTAAAGCTGCGCGCATGAAGAAGCCCGATGCCGCAGATGATTCGGAATCAACCGCAGCATCCAGTGAGGACGAGTCGGCGGAAAAGACTAGCCCCGGGCGAAAGCGGGCGCCGGGGCCTGCAAAGGCAGACATCCGGGACTGGGAAGCGTTCAAGCCACGAATGAATAGTCGGACTGTATTAGTCAACGCGCGGGTAAACCGAGGCTATCGAATACGCGCCCTTGTCGACTGTGGATGTGACTGCTATGCCGTGATCGACGAAGCCCTTGTTCGGAAGCTGCGGATACCCTTCGTCGACTCGAAACCACGAGAAATTGGGGATTCTCAGAGTCAGCGAAGAGTGTCATATCCCCAGGGTCGTGGCTGTTGTGGTCGAGACAGCTGGATTTGACGAACGTGTCTTTGCATACGTGATCCCAAGCCTGGGCCAGGACATGTTCCTCGGCCGGCCTTGGATGGAGAGAAATCACGTCGTGTACGATGCTGCCAAGCAGCGAATGTACCATGGGAGGGCAGGTGTGACGATACGCCTCATTGGGCAGGAAGAGCCCGCCAAGATACGCGCGATTCGAAGCGCAAGACTCGTGTCGGCAGCCGTATTCACGGCGGAATGTCGACGCGCAAAGAGACGCAAGAAGTGCAACGCGATCTCGATTCATGCAATCAGTTTGTCGGATATAGAGGGCGCTTCAGCCGAAGCCGCCAGTCGATCCGAGCGAGAAGGTCCCGGCAGAAGTGCTGAAAGAATTCCGCGACCTATTCTCACCAGGAGAGGCAATGAAGCTGCCGCCACATCGACCGGGTGTGGATCATGAAGTCAACCTGCAGCCTGACAAGAACGGCAACGAGCCACCCCTTCCGTGGGGCCCACTCTACAACATGTCACGAGAAGAGCTGTTGGTCTTGCGAAAGACCCTGAAAGACCTGCTGGACAGAGGATTCATCCGAGCGAGTAGCTCAGCGGCTGCCGCGCCGGTGCTGTTCGTGCGGAAGCCGAATGGAGGGCTGCGATTTTGTTGCGACTACCGAGCGCTGAATGCAATCACCAAGCGCGACCGATACCCACTGCCCTCATCGCGGAGACCCTGCAGAATCTGGCCAAGGCTAAGTGGTTCACCAAGTTGGACGTGGTGGCCGCTTTCCATAAGATCCGCATGGCTCCGGGACATGAGGGAAAGACTGCATTTCGCACGAGGTTTGGGCTCTACGAGTGGCTCGTGTGCCCTTTCGGCCTGAGCGGCGCCCGGCATCATTCCAACGATACATGAACAGTGTATTGCGCGAATGGCTGGACGACTTTGTCACAGCGTACCTGGATGATGTACTGATCTACTCGAGCGGTTCGAAGGCGGATCATGAGGCTAAGGTGCGACGAGTTCTCCAAGCACTCGCCGACGCTGGGCTGCACCTAGACCCAGCGAAGTGCGAGTTTTCGGTACAAGAGGTCAAATACCTTGGGTTCATCGTCAACGCAGGAAAGGAATCGCCTGCGACCCCGAAAAGCAGCGCGCCATCCGCGAATGGGAGGCCCCGACCACGGTGAAGGGTGTCAGAAGCTTTCTGGGCTTCGCCAACTATTACCGGATCTTCATCCCCGACTATGCCAAGATCACGCAGTCTCTGGATGCCCTGCTTAAGAAAGGAACTGCCTTTCATTGGGGACGAGCGGAGAACGAGGCGTTTCAGGAGCTGAAGCGACGATTTTGCGAGTCACCGGTGCTCAAGCAGTGGGACCCGAGCCTCCCGACCTTTTTGGAGACGGATTGCTCAGGCTACGCATTGGGAGGCGTCCTGTCGCAGGAAGGCCCAGATGGACGTCGACACGCATGCGCCTTCTTCTCGAAGCGACTTTCGCCAGCGGAGTACAACTATCCCATTCACGACAAGGAGATGCTTGCCATCATGAGATGTCTCGACAACTGGAACGCCGAACTTAGGAGCTGCGGCCCATTTACAATCCTTACCGATCACCGCAACCTGGAGTATTTCATGACACGCCAGAAGCTCACGGAACGGCAGAGCCGTTGGGCAGCCGAATTGTCCCAGTTCGACTTCAAGCTCGAGTATCGACCGGGAAGCGAGGCTGTCGTGCCTGATGCGTTGTCCCGCCGTGAACAAGACAAGCCACAGGGCATTGACGACGAGCGGGAACAAGGAAGAATGATACAGTTGATACCGGATAGTGCCATTCCATCATCGACAAGAGCATGTATCAACGCGATGAGTTCTGACTGTTCAGAGGCATCCACCCTGCCGAAGATGAAGGTCTTCGAGGTAGCGGACCTGCAGCAACTCTGGGACGAAACGGTGGCGAAGGACTCGATATTCCGGGCAGCCTATAAGGCAGTCCGCGATCGCGAGCGTGCCTTCCCGCCCTCGCTGGGCCTGAAGATCCAGATTTCAGAATGTGCGATCGACGCAGGCAAAAGGCTGACATTCAGAGACCGTATTTGGGTGCCGGGTGGATCCGGAGAGGAGGGTAACCAGGAGGAAGCTGAGAAAGACCAGTTGAGAACCCGCATTGTGCAGCAGTCGCATGACTCTGTTGCGACCGGTCATCCCGGCAGGAAGGTACGCTGGCTATTGTGGCTCGGCGATTCTACTGGCCTGGGCAGTCCCAGCTGGTTCGCCGGTACGTAGCCAATTGCGACACCTGCGGCAGAGCACACATCTGGCGCCAGTCGAAAAGGGGATTTCTCAAGCCTCTGCCGATTCCAGATCGACCCCGAAGCCATTTGTCCATGGACTTCATCACAGATCTGCCGCCTACTGGACCGAGCAAGGCAAGGTACCTGTGGGTGATTGTGGACAGACTGACAAAGGCTGTGACCCTCGAGGTGATGGACAACATGGAAGCTGAGCAGTGTGCAAACCGTTTTCTCAGTGTCATTACCGATTTCACGGAATGCCACGGTCCATCGTCAGCGACCGCGGGAGCAACTGGCTAAGTAGGTTCTGGAAGAGGTTCTGCCGTCTTGCAGGTGTCACGCAGAAATTGAGCACGGCCTATCATCCTCAGACGGACGGAGGGCCAGAGAGAATGAACCAGGAGATCGAGGCCTACCTGAGAGCCTACGTGTCGTACGTGCAGGACGACTGGGAGAACTGCTCCTGCCGCGCAGCTGGCACTCAACAATCGTGAATCCGCAGCGACCAAGATCAGCCCCTTTTCGCTGAGCATGGTTACCACGTCGATCCCATCAGCGTCGAGGAATCGGAAGAGCCACCGAGGCATAGAGAGGAAAGCAGAGCTGATAGCCTACTCAGTCGCCTGCAGGAGGTCAATGAGTACATGCAAGCAGTGATGGCCTCCTCACAGCAACAACAAGAAGAGGCTGCCAACGCAAAGCGACAGCCTGCGGAGCGATTTGAAGTTGGTGACAAGGTGTGGCTCTCGATGGCAAACTACAGATCGCCACGACCGTGCAAGAAGCTCGACTGGCTGCATCACAAGTACACAGTCACGAAGGTAATTAGTTCGCACGTTGTTGAGCTCGATGTTCGTGGCTCAATTTACCCGCGATTTCATGTTGACCTTTGCGGCGGGCGCATCAAGATCCGGCTCCTGGCCAAAGGTAGATGACGCACAGCCACCACCGGTACAAGATGAGTCCGGCACGAATCTGTGGGATGTCGACGAGATTCTCTGCGCGAGATGGAAGAAGCGGGGACGAGGGGAATTCAGGCAAGCACTAGTGCGATGGACGGGCTACGCAGAGCCGACTTGGGAGCCAGTTGAGTGGTTGCAAGGAACAATTGCGATGAAGGCATTCGAGGACAAGTACGGGCCAATCAAGACCAATGATGGCCCTAGGGAGAGGTACGAGACGCTGGCAGGAACGCAAGAACCACTTGTTGAATAAACTCCGGGCCAGCCTTTCACACAACGGCTAGAAAAGAGGGGGAAAAGAGGCGAAAAAGCCGGTCTTCGATCGGACATCGAAGACTCGTCCGAAGAGGATTTCCTTTATTAACTAGGATGCCAAAGGGATGTAAAGAGGGGCGTTAGATAGAGGAAAGGAAGAGGAAGAGAATAATACCATAATTAACTTCCTGCCACTATTATTGCCCTCTAAAGATTTAAATAACTTTGCCTTGCCCGTCTAACCCCTTACCGTTATATATTTTTGTTCGACACTTCGATACCGGCGTTTTCGAGGATTACTCGGACTCTAAGGCCTGTAATGCGTCTCGCCGTTGGGAAAATCGCCATGAAGGAGGTGTAGGTTGAGACACGGGCAGACCTAGAGAGGACGATGCATTTCTCTGGTTTGTCCTTGAGCCGGAGGGCACCGTCCAGAAATGCTCGAAGCCGGCCTTGCTTTTCCTCGTTCAATCAGTACGCCGGCAAGCTCTCAGCCGGCTGATCCCAGAACAGGGCAGCGTTCTCGTCATAGGCCTCAAAATTGGAGGCTACCATCCTGGGCATCTGGAGCCGGTCTTGCGTGATGCCCTCGATTCTTTTTCGATTTGCCCGGGAGCTGTTCGATGTCGCTGCAACGGTATTGTAAATGGGGCGCCCGTGCGGCGACGCCGTGAAGACGCCTTGGAGCGGCAGAAAGATCTGCTCGAGAAAAGTCGAGTGCATCGTGGTTGTTTGCGAGGGATTCAAAGGTTCATGTTGCTGGTAACCCTTCAGGAAAGTGACGACGTCGGCAACTGTGAGAGAACTATTGCTTTTTGGATCCATCGCCTTGATAGAGCAGCGATTTGCGTTGGATGAAGTTCTGATTGAAACCCATGGTGTCTGGCAGTCTGCGGGAACAAGCTGTAGATAAAACTCCGCAAAAAATGCAATGCAACTAGGCTTTTTGCAGACAACAGATGGAAGACAATCGTGACCGTCTTGGAGTTTGTTCTTGGAATAGTCTGATGCAGGCTCTATATGCATACAGTCCAGGGGGCATTGCTAAAGCTAGACCAGTTTCTGCAGGCAGGGTAAAGTGTCAAGAGGCGCGACATACACAGCCCATCCATCATGACCAAAGGATCTGCTATCTTGGGATATTGCTCTACACGTTGTTACCAAGCGACAGCTATGCTGATTTTTCTTCACTGAAGTTGGCTTTCAATACCATTTGATAAGCTTTATAGTACTTACTAAACTATTACGCCTATAACTACTTTATTTACCGCGGTACCTTAATCTTAAGCGCCTATATTCGGTAAGGACACAATATACTAGGGTTAAGGTAGTATACATAGTTTATAATTCTATTCTACTTAGAGGCGCAACGCAAGGGTGCGTTAAAAGGCAAAAAACTTATATGCATTATAGTTGACTAAAAAGATATATTGAACTAAGAACTAAAAGGTTTATACTTTCCTGCTAGTAATTAATAAAGAGATATACTCTAATTAAGCACTATTTTTAAGCAAGCATCTATATTAGTTTATATATCTTTCTACCTATAATCTGACAGCTATATATAAAATGTGCACCCTATTAAAGAAGAGCTTACTTAAGACAACCGACTTATTTAACTTGAAACGTTATAACTTTAAAAATGCCTCTTAATATATAGACTTATATATTGCCGCCGGCTTAAACTTATAGGCTTAATTGCTACCTTACTTACAAATGTAACAACTAGGGCTGACCGCTAGTTAGGTGCGTATATAAATTTAGGGTAGCGGCGCTTTGCCAAGATCTATACTACTTCGACCTACTATTTGCTATAAAATTAGCTTAATTTATTATGGATTAAGCACCCCCGAACAGGACGCAGCAGTTCCAGGCTAAACGAGGCATTTAACGACTTTGATCGCGGCCACGTTTCGAAAAATCTAAGTGGGCGTTAGTTATAGAACCCTGTCGACGATTCGCCTAGGCCGGCCCCGGCTTGCCCTCCCAGTCGGTATCACTTAGTTATCCACGGCGCACCAAGGGCTATCGCCAGACTCCGCAACAGCATGGCGCCTTTCGCTCCGTCTCTTCCGACAGCTTGTCTATATCGGAAATAATTCAACAGCCTGAGACGCAGCCGATATTGGAAGAGCAGCTCGTTGCAGAATTTAAGGGCATCAACGCCAGCTTAATCGCATTAGCTAAGAGCTTCCTATCCCGCTGGAGCATTCCTATATAGTGTCAAGCAAAATCCAAGTTTAGCACCGTTTAGGTGAATTTTCAATTTTAATACTACCTAGCCCTATTTGAATTAACCATGCGCACTTCGCTCTTCCTAGTACGGCGGTTCATAATCCGCGCACTGATCCTGGTATGGTTGAGGGAAAGGCTCCTCCAGCTGGCGCTCCGAAGCTATTTCCACAATACTGGGCTACTTGGGCCCGGCTTGCTAATATCTGCTGAAAATATGAAGGATCATTCTGACATCCTTGGTAGCAGCTTGCTCCGAAGTAATTCGATTAGATATTATTCCGGTACTACAGTTAGAGACTCGGACTTACGAAACTAAGCGCTGAGACTCGGAGCAGCTGCACTGCGGATTGCCGCCGCAGACGGCGAGCTATAATGCCAACAGTTAGCCATTTTATCACCCTGAGAAAGAGGGAATCGCACATGTTCTTGTGTTTCTTGTACGCAACTTTGGACTTGTGAGCTACCGGAGCAGAACAGCGCGGATGCATGAGCGACAGCAAAGAGCAGGGATATATGAAACCTCATCGCTAGTCGTTAAGCATAAACGATACGAAATAGAGTGTGTAAAAGTTAGTAAAGCGAGAACAATAAGCGCTAGTATAAACCTGGTTTAAAATATGTGTTAAGACATAGCATGGGAAAGATCCGGGAATAAGATATTACAGCTAGGCACTAATAGAACGGAATCGATTGGCGCAGGCGGCTATTAGCTTAAAAACAAAACGCTAGGGAATATAGGTCTATAAGGGATCGATATGCTAGGACAGGAACGGTAAACCTTTTAGTATGGTAAAAGTCTATTCTATGAAGGTAACAAAGGAGAGCTAGCTGTCTACATTTCGCAGAGCCGTCATATACCGTTTGAGAACTGGGCACGGGAAGGGTCATTCGAGATAGCAGTGGTGACTGGCTACGTATATTGAGCTTACTGTTTCTTTGCATTCCTAACTGACACAGGAGTGTTAGGCAATTCAGCCATGCCCCTCCCAGCAGTCTTAGAAATTCGCCTTTGGATGGAATTTGCCACCGCTTTACATTCCAGCGTGAAATCCAGGATCTGCTCAGGGAGCCGTCCTGGCGCTTCAACGGTCATTTACGAAGTCAAAAAGGGGTGGATCGCCGTCAGCTATAGTTGTCGATAGAGGAGGAATGATTCGGACGATCGCACAGCCTTTCGCGTGTCAAGGGAGCGCCTGCGACAACCACAGGCCAATAAATATTTTCCCAAATAATTGATCTTCTGACACACGTTCCTGGTTGATAAAATTCCGTGTTTCTCGGCTATAGTTGGCCGGCGGTCGAAAAATTCGGCGGTCGCAGGCGATACACGAGGTGTTGCCCTTTGCCTATGCACAACATCTTGGCTCTGTGTGCTGTCCCCTTCACTCTCCTATGTTAGACAGTATTAATTTTGAATAGTATCTGCATTCCAATTTCCACTGTTTACCATTTTCTCCTAGGGATTCGACCGTAAGCATTCCATGGAGCTGTCTTATTACAATTTGCAGACCTAATCACCTGGTTGAAATACCAATGTTGGAAATTCCGGCCTAAATGTTTATTTCAAAGAGTATAGAAATGATTCTCAACCACAGCTATTTGGTTGATCCGAGAAAGACAGAAGAAAGAAATATCAACAAGCTCTTTTACAAACCACGACTTACAAATACACATCCATCAATCTTCTTACACTCACACCTACACACACCCACATCTCTCCAGGTATCAACTCGAACAACTCTACTCAAAATGAAGTACACCTTTGTTACCGTGGCCGCCCTCCTTGCCAGTGCTCTCGCTGCCCCTGCTATCATGGTTGATGAGCGACAGATGAAGGCCATCGAGATCCTTCACGACAACAAGAACGCCCTCGGCCTCAGCCAAGATGAACTGAACACCTTTGACAAGTTCATGGACTCGCTACACAAGCGCGATACTGTTGCTGATGCCCCTGGTGGATTGGGTGGCCTCACCGATAGCCTTGGCAGTTTGACTGGCGGTGGCAAGAAGGGGGGGAAGAAGGGTGGTCTCCTGGGCGGGGTTCTTATCCCCGGTCTTCTTTAAATGCATGATAGCACCCGGGAGAACTGTTTCTTATAGTAGCGCAACCAAATCAAATAATTGGCGACTTGCAGCTTGGCACTCTAGTGGTTGTGATCCCTTGCTCTTGAGAAGACATCGCGCTCACAGCGATATGCACCGCAACTCGAGCGCCGCCCGCAATAGCGTCTCACCATAAACTTTATAGTCCATACACGCAAAAGCCGAAGCACAATGTAACAGGCTGAGCTCGTGGGGGTCTCGGCTCCGCCCTCGACCAACCGGCCTGTGTGGCAGTCATCTCCTCAGGGACCCGGTTCCCAATTAGGTCTCCCTCCCTCACCTTCGACACGAGCACGATGCCGCCAAGCGTCCGGCAACGCGAAAGTTGCACGTACAAGCTGTACGGGTCTCACTGCGAGGGGCGGCGCGGCCGCCGATGCTTGTCGTCCTAGTGCCGCGCAGCTCCAGCGCCCTTGAACGTCCGGCCCTGCACCTTGTAGTCTGTACACGCAAAAGCCGACGTGCACGGCAAGCCTCTTCGGCTGAAGTCGTTTTACTGCCACGGTCTTTCCGTTGGTATGGGACATTGACGCTTATCGGCGTTAATAGGATCGTGCCTAGTGGCATTCCGACGAAGTAGAACTCTTGGGTTTGTTTCCGACTCTAATATTACCCCCGCCGTCGGCCCGAAGTGGATCGTTACTATCGGCCGAGATGCGATGCTCTGGGTATAACTTGTCGACAATGACCTCTAACACCGTGTAGCTAGCACCGTTTACCAGCTTTAACTCCCAATGGGTTTTAAGGTTAACGACTGGCATCCCCGGCACGAATATGAAGACGGCCGGCACTGGTATCACGCAGTCGTCGCCCTAGTTTAGGATTATAATCGCTTCTTCCTCCGTCGGCTGGCCTTACTTCTACTTATGCTCGAAGACAAAGATACGCATCGTTAACCGCTGCTAGATCTAGAACGTCAGACTTGCCTCTATATTAAGGTTCTACCGGTTCTTATTTAGCGGCGTCATAACGGTAATGCCCGTTTCCTACGGTATCCTCCTGCCCTCATTAATAGCACTTCAAGTTAAGGAGGGCCAAGTCCGCGTGATCCTATACGTCTCGTTGGATCCGCTTTGGAAGCCTCCGTAACTCCATCTCGCCGGCGGCGCGCATCTGCTCGTCTAGCATAACGACCGATATAAACTTCTTCTATAGCGCGTACGCCCCATCTTTCTGGTGGCGTTGCTCGGCCCTAAACGAGCTGCCCTCGTCCTATAACACGGTCGCGCTAGGCAGAAGTATTGACCTTTCTTATGCCAGTCGAAATTAATATAAGTCCCCGCATAGAAGAATAATAGGGAGCCCTCTAAAATCCTTAAAGAACCTGTAGACCGAGTGGATCGTAATGCCGTTAATCCGCGCTGCGGCGGTCATGGAGGCCGGAGACGACGGTTGAGACGCCTGTGACAGGGTTCCAGGTGTAACGGCCCGTCGGCTCCGATAAGGCCATCAGCGTCCACATTGACGGGGAGCAGCTCGAAGAGCATGTCACCATAAAGGAGCTCGGCATTAAGGATGTAGGCACGATTGATATTTACATTAGGTGATACTCTGGCGTGTTGGGGGGGAGGCTAAGATACCGTCGAGGAAGCGCGGAGGTTCAACCCCAACAAGGGGTCCAGGTCTCTGTTCCGCGTGCGAGTTTTAATAAAACGATACCCGGAGTCGCGTGGATTTTCAAGGGCAAGATCGAGCAAAGGAACAAGAGCTGAATCAGGGAGACGGCCACGGTGCGTTGATTTGCCCAACGACATGTTCTCTCGAGCGACGCTTTATACGTGATACTGCTGCGGACCGTATATGCAGACGTGTCCCGCGCTTGTTGACATTTTGTAAAGATGGCTACTCGATATCAAGCAGATGTCCTTGCTCTGTTTATCTCGCGGCTGACATAATTTTTACTTTTGTTTTGCCTGAATCGAGCAAGTACGATAAGTAACAAAGGCTCACCTGCGGTCGCGCGATGGGTAGGAACACTGGAGCCAGCCGCGCATTTTCCTGAGGCACTCGTGTTCTCATGCGAGGCGATCACATGGAGATGACGGATATGACGGATGCGCGGGCGACGCTACAAAACCATGCACCAACTCGATATAAGCCCCTCATGAAATGTTCAAGACTCTTTGTGTCTATCATTCGGCTCTAAATGCATCGTCTAAGCGTTTCTAGTCGTCACTCACTCGACCGGACGGATGGGTATATCATGCCCAGCACCGTCTCCCGTCTTCTTTTCGCCTCTACCCGAAATGCGCAGCAGAAATAAAACCATCTCGGCTTTTTTGAACCTCTCCGAACGCCTCGCCAACTGTAAATGCTTCAGGGCTTGTTGCCTCCTCGGAACGCCAAAACGGAGGGAAAAGAAGAAAGCAAAGGAAAAGTCAGCTTGAAAGGGGGCCCCTGAAATCGTGCGGCAGTTATGTGTGCCGGTGGTACGCGCAGACGGTGCGTCAAACGCCTCACATGACCTGCGCCCGTTGCCGCGCCTTTTCCTCGGCAAAAACCTTGCGGCTCATCTCGAGGACACGCTCAAAGCCCTCCCTGCCGTTGAGGGCGTTTTCCTTGAAGCGAGTGACGAGGGTGTCTTCGATGCTGTTCTTGATGCGCTGCCAACCGCCGCACAGAGCCGTGACGCGGGCGCTCTGAAGAAACTGCGTCTGGCCGTCGCCAAAGGGCTTGTAGACGACCTCTTCTTGCACGTTGACGAGGTTGCTCCACGTCAGGTTCTGGCTGACCATGGTGACGGTCTTGCTGGCCGGGTCGACGTAGCTGGCCTCGTAGACGTGGCTGACGTCCATGGAGTTGCCCATGATGGTCTTGAGCCATTCGGGCGCCGTCTGCTTGCAGGTGATGAGGCGCTCCGTCCGCAGGATGCCGGTCGCAGGATCGACGGCGCGCGACAGGGTATCGACGGCGATGACGTGTTCCGACTTGTTGTTCCAGGGGCCGTACTTGCGCCAGTTGGCCGTCGAGACCTCGTCCCACGAGTAGTCGAAGGTGACGCTGTTGGAAAAGACCTTCATGGCTGCGGGCGAGAGGTCGTAGTCGTGGGCGATGGGTTGTGAATTGAGGACCTCGAGGAAGGCTTTCTTCGCGTCTATCGCGTCAACGCCCTCGAGGGCGTGGTCATCTAATGAATGAGCGGCGGTTCGCGTCGAGGATAGCTTGCCGCCTGATGAAGGGCAAGCGAAGAGCCAGTCGAGGCAGGCGGGAGTCGCGGTGGTTTTGAGTTTTGTGCCGATTGGAGAAAAAGGGATGGAAAATGCATGTGAGCAACAGCGGCCTTTGTCGGAGGAGAGTGTTTTTTCGGAGTGGCGACGACCGGGCCGACCATCCCGCTTCGGGAAATCACTAACCCCGAAAAGGCCCAGTGGTCCAGACTGCACGAGAACGCGCCGGGACTGGAGGATAAGCCGAGCCTTTGATTGGCCGAGTCGTGCTTGCAAGACTCACTCAAGAGGCCTAAGGCGCTAGTAGGTACCTTGTACCCTCTCCGGGCCGGCTCCGTACCGACGGTGTGCGTACTGGCTACCAAGTGTGTACTCCGCCAGACAACACGGAGCCTGAATGCCCTCGCTTCGCATCGGCCCAGGCCCCTCTCTTAAGTCCGAAGAATTAACAATACAACTTGTGCCGCGCACAAAAGTCCATCATCAACACAGCCTGCATCTTCGCAAGGTCATCGGAAGCACTCCCCATAGACTTCGAGGGCCTCCCTCACCTTCCCCCGTGGCTCCAGGCTGGCTTTGTTGCCTGCATAAGCCTGCAGCGATTATGCACCCGATCGGCGTCGTTCGCAGCACCTCGCAATCTCAGAACAGCGGTCGAGAGACAAGATCAGGCTTTTGGACTGTGCGGTTGGCCACGGCAAGGAATGCCGGTGTCTCGGGCCCGCGTGTCATGCCAAGACACCCTTAATTGAGTGGCTCTGACAAAGGACGAAGCCGCCAGAGATGACGATGATTTTTCTTCTCTTTTTGGTAGGCATGCGTTATCCCCCGGCCCTAAATACACAAATACTAGGTTTCCTCGGTAGTCATCCTCCAAACCCTTCCTCGTCAATCTGCTACCACCTAGTAGTCGTCGCCGCGGCTAATGACCTCCTTTACGGTCGGTCGAATGAGGATCGTCTGGGTCTTGTTAGCACTTGAACACGCAACAACTCAAGCGTTGAGACTTACATGCTCAAATTGAGCAGTGTACGAGCCCTTCTTGTCACACAAGGGCGGGTACGCCTCGACAATGCCGTTCTGAACAAGGTTGTTCAACTGCATGCGCGAGTCAGCACTCAGTCATGTCATGCAGCGGCAGGCAAAACGGCCACTCACGCCCAGCAGGTACTTTTCCTGGCCGAGACGGTCCAGGTACCGGCGGCAAAAGGGCAGGGTGCCAAAGTTCTTGTTGATGACGCTGAGCAGCGACTTGGCCGAGCTCAGGCGCAGGTCCACGTGTTGCACGTCGCTGTTCTTGGCGTAGTGGGAGACCTCCATGTCGTCCCTGACGTAGCCGTTGCCCGTGCTGCCAAACGTCTCAATGGCAAACACGTCGCCCTCCTCCATCTTGGTCTGGTCGTTGCTCTTGACAATCGGCACTGCCTTGGTGCCGTGGATGCTGTACGGCAGGATCGTGTGGCCCGTCAGGTTGCGGATGCTCTTGACCGGGTACGTCGCGCCGTCAATCTCCACCTCGAAGCTCTCCATGGTCTCCTGGATGACGCCGCCAATCTCGCCCACGCGCGCGTCGATGCCGGCCTCACGGATGCCGGCGTTGGTGGCCTCCTTGACAGCCTGCAGGAGGTTGTCGTACTTGTGCTCAAAGGCGACGGTAAAGGCCGAGTCGACGATGCGCCCGTTGACGTGGACGCCAAAGTCGACCTTCATGACGTCGTCTTGCTGCAGCACCATCTTGTTGCCCGCGTTGGGCGTGTAGTGGGCGGCGCAGTGGTTGAGGCTGAGGCCGCAGGGGAAGCCCATGCCGGCCTTCAGCGCGTCGCCCTCGGCCAGGCCGTCGTGGCCAGTCAGCGCCCGCACGCCGTCCTCGATGGTCTCAGCAATCTCCGTCAGCGTCTGCCCGGGCTTGACCACCTTTTTCGTGTACTGCCGGACCTGGCGGTGGATCTCGGCCGCCTCGCGGTAGTCGGTGAGGAAGTCGCTGTTCATGTTGTCCAGGTGGCGCTTCTCCTCGTTGGTCGTCCGGTATCGGTTCTCGTCCTTGTACTCGACCTCCTCGCCCTTGGGATAGCTGCCGTTGGGGAACAGCTGGCTGACCTTTACGCGGGGCGGCTCCGTCTGGGCTGTGGGGTTCTTCTTCTTCTTGCGCGGCTTTCTCTTCTTCTTCTTCTTGGCCGCACCGCCGGCGGCAGCACTGTCGGCGGCGGCGTTGTCGTCTGCATCGTCATCGTCGGATTCCTCGCCGAGGCCGTCCTCGTCGCCGTTGGGCGCGGGCTTTGCGCCTTTGCCGTTGGCCTTGGCGCTTTCGGTCACTGTACGTCGTCGGGCACGGCGATGGGGTCAGCCACGGTCGAGTCTGTGCCATGGTCAACGGCGGCTGCCTACCTTGGAGCCCTTTGAGAGCGTCGGTGGGAACCTGAGCTGCCATGCTGGGCTGCTTGTGGTGGTGGTGCGTGGCAGAAAGTGGCCGGGGAGACGACAGCTGGAAAAGGCAAAAAAAGGACCATCGCCCGACGCTCGATAAGACAATTACCCCGCTATCCCAGGGCGAAACAGCCCCGTAGCCCGCTCCTGGCCAGGCACCGAATGCCGCGGTCTAGCGAGGCAGTCTGAAGCTGCCGTGGCGTGCCTTTACACCATGTCCTGGATACAAAGCCCCCCTTTCGTTGACCGTGGTTTTGTCCTTTTATTAAGATTCACCCTGCTCGGGTGCGAAGGATGTTAAATTGGGGTGCCTTGTCGCGACATTCACGTCTTCTTGGTGGGGCCGCGATTGCCGGCTGGTTGGCGGGGTCCGGCTCGGCTTAACTCTAGAGGCCAACCTGACAACACAACGTCCCTCTTCGTCAACAATGCTGCCATAGAGGCACCAGCAGACGCCTCAGATAACAATATGGAAGACCAGGTTCACCGACTGGTGGACAAGGCATGGGCCAAGTATCAGTCCACGCCCCCAAACCAGCGCCTACGTATGTGGTCCCGGGATGCGGAGTTGTTGAAGGCGAGCTTCCGACACAGAGCCTGCCGCGGGTCTACGAGTCTCGACACGAGAGACGACAATATAATAGAATACTAACAAGTCTCCACTGCAGTTATTGGCATCGCCGGCATCCCGGGCTCAGGTACGCTCAACCGCCGGCACCTACCCTCGACCCAACTTCTTACCAGACTGCTCCCCAGGCAAGACGACGCTCTCCCAGATGGTCTCGCGAGAGCTCAATAACCGCGCCGTTCAAGCCTCACACGCATCTTCCGATCCTCCGCCGGCCACGTTCCTCCCCATGGACGGCTTCCACCTCACCCGTGCCGCCCTCGACGCCATGCCCGACCCAGCCAACGCCCACGCCCGCCGCGGCGCCGCCTTTACCTTTGACGCGCCCAAATTTCTGCGCTTGGTGCAAGCCCTGCGTGCCGCCTCTCCTCCCGGCTCGGCGCCCATCCTCGCGCCCTCGTTTGACCACGCCATCAAGGACCCCAAGGAGGAGGATGTCGCCGTTCTGCCGACGCACCGCATCGTCGTCCTTGAGGGCAACTACCTGGCTCTCGACGAGGATGTGTGGCGCGACGCTGCGGCCCTTTTGGATGAGCTGTGGTTTGTTGAGGTAGACTTTGACGTTGCCCGTAGGCGTCTGCGTGAGAGGCATGTCAGGGCCGGCATCGCCAAGAATATCGAAGAGGGCGATCGGCGGGCGAGGGAGAATGACCTGGTCAACGGCGGGGAAATCGTGTCGCGCCGCCTCAAAGTCCACGAGGTCATCCAGAGCAGGGAGGACGGCAGCTGGGTGCATGAATGATGCTGGGATGAGCGATACGACAGCGTAGACCCCATAAGCGGCCATGTCACACCCGGCGAAGGAGTACGAACTGCAACGGACGGCGAGACGAGTATGGCGTCTCCCATCCCATGCCGTGTCCATGGCGCAATATTGGAAAGTTACAGATGATTCGTGACACAGCGTATAAACATCGTACTCGTATTGTGCAACAGGCCTAACGAGAACGCTCAACGGAGCTTCGTACGAGCTTACAGCCAAGACACAAACCAAGTGCAAGCCCGCTTGCCATGAAATGCCAAACGCCCCACAGCCGCTTCAGCCAGCCCACGCCCACGGCTAGCTCAGGCTGTTTGCCTCGTTGAGCTGGTTCATCTGGGTGGCCAGACTGCCCCCGGAGCCCTGCGCACCTGCCCCGCCTCGGCCCAGCGCTTCTTGTCTTTGTCGCTGATGGATGATGCGGGGATCTGGCTCTGCAGCCCCAGGATCTCCATGACCTCTGGTATCTCGGCGTGGTCGCGCGTCGATTTCATGCGGTGGCACCACGTAACCCGCTTCGGCTCAATGGGCCCGTTGTTCTCGTCGCCTCGTCCGCCGTAGCTGGGGCCCATTGGGTTGGGGATCTCGTCCAAGGGCGTCACGACGGGCGTCACGACATCGACCGGCTCAAAGAGAAACTCGCCCCCGACCTGCCGGTGGTCGCCCGACTTGAGGGCCATGCCGCTGGGGACGGATCGCAGGGCCTGGCCGATGCTCTCGACAACGCCCCGTATCATGGGCCTCCTCATGTACTCGGGCTTGGGGCCCAGGGCCAGCGTCTTGACCATGCCGAGCTCGTTGAACAGGGACGCAGTCGGGTCGGTGTAGACGGGAAAGGGGCACTTTGTCGTCTCGACGTACATGTCTATCAGGGACGGGTTGCCACAGCCGATGACCACTACAAAGGTGCTGATGGGCAGCCGCAGCAGGGCTTCGGGAGTGACTGATGCGGACAGCGACCGCAGGTACTCCTGGCAGTTCTGGTGGCAGATGGCCGTTAGCAATCTATACCAGGTATGTGCACGATGGACAAAAAGACGCATACCCCACAGAAGAAGTGTCGCACAAAGAGGACCAGCACTCGGCGCGCGGCATTGCGACCGCTGTAGAGGCTCTGGAAGGTGTGCGTCCGGCCATCCCGGTCGAGGACGACGTAGTTGTCAATCTTGCTGATGGTTTCGGGGGACGGCAGCTCGTTGGTCGTGGACAGCTCGCCCTCAAAGTCGGCGGGCTTGGACTGGTCCACGGCGGTCGATGGCGCATGCGAGTTTCCGGCCGACGACCCCGGCTTCTTCTCATCGCTCTCTCGACGCGGCGCCGCGGCAGAGGCGTCGTTTGGCCTGTCGGTCTCAGGTGACGTCAACTTTGCCGCGCCGTTTTCCCGTGGGTCCGCCATGGCGATGCGCTGCGCAGGTGCGGTATCGGAAGAGACCTAGGCGCGTGAACTATGCTCGCGTAGGAATATTGAGGGGTGGTTATCGAGGCCCCTGCTGGCCGACGCAGAGTCAGGCCCAGATACTTGCGCCGAGGGGAGACGGGCACAAAGGAGGCCGCCGGTTTGAGGGAATCACCGAAACTGTTGGCCCGAGCTTGTCCTTGCGTCGGCGAAACAAAGCAACGTTCAGCGCGGCCGGCTTTTTGGTGAGCTTCTGAGATGGCAATGCAAGAAAAGTTGTGAAATCGGTGCTACTCTCTGCGCCGTGCGTCCCCGTCCCGACCAGGTGACTGTTATCCCCCTTGCAGCGTGCACCCCCTAGCCGGGCCTCATCCAATGAGTGTCGACTTGCCTCGCAGTACTCCGGAGACAAAGCGTGGCATTCGGCCGTTCCGGACCGTTTGAAACCACGGGCGGCGCTAACGGTCGAGGGTCCAGCTCCCACAGACACTCCAGCAGCCGCTCTGCCTAGCGCGCGCTTGTTCCAGGCCAAATTGAGCCTTGACTGGTAACGTCAATCTGAGGCTTCTCCAGGGTCGAGAAGCAGTGGAGTCATGGTAGATGAAAGTTCGGGCTGTCTTGCTCCGTATGACTAAGCTCCCAACTTCCATCCTGTTGAGGCTGTTGCATCTCCATCCTCCTCGATCCTTCACGGAGCTGGCGACCACTCCCAAGACACCTTTCGCCATGGACGACGAGGCCGGCGGCATCCTCAATATTGAAATATCCGATACCGACGACGGCTGCAAAAAAGCAGACCGCACTGGCCAAACAGAAGCCGAATTCCAAGCCGTAAAGCAGGCTTACCGCGTCAAGGTTGAAAACGGCGAGGTATGTGCAAGCCTCCAAAGACCGGCCAGCAATGTGCTTACGCGCCTGTCCCTTGTCCCCGTTCACAGCTTCACAAAACCATCAACCTGTCTCTCGACCCAGCTGCCAACAAGCAGCGCGTCCAAGAGGTCCTTCACGCCGTTGAGGAGCTTTACTTCTTCAGGCGATACCGAGATGCCCTCAACTTCATCAAGACGCTGCAGAGCGACGGCAGTTATCGGGCTATCGACGGCGATGCTCGTAAGCAGATCCTGATCTACGAGGGTAAATGCCAGCACAAATTGAATTCCCCATCATGACCGTCAACATTCATTTCAGCTCTTCATCTCGTCCTTTGCAAACGTGCTCTTCGTCCACTTGCAGAAAACATGCCTCTTTGCCTCACCACAAATCAGCATGAAATGATCCTGCGCTCTCCCCCGGCAGCTGATCTTTCGCACAAAGAATGGGTTGCCGATCTAAAGTCCGCCCCCAGCAAACCACGATCAATTCCATGCCGTAGATCACGAAGAATGACGTCCCACACCCCCCATTCTGCAAAGGCCAACGTCCCGCAATGCTCAACCTTGGGCCTGGTTCACTGAGCCCAGCGGGAAGATGCGAGGCCTGGGCGCGGGGCTCTCCGTGAAGTACTAGGCATCGTTGCAAAGCTCGCGGCGGCAGGCAGTGCAACCCTTGGTGTCGGTGTCGAGTCTGCGTCATCTTGATGGTCAACTCTCCGCAAATCTCGCAATGAATATTTCCTATCCAGCTTACCAATCTCCATAGGCTCTGCCGAGGAGACGGGCTCTTTGAGACCCCCCGCACAAAGAGCTTCCCAGCCCAACTGCGCAGGGGCGAAAGCCGAGGAAGCCGCGCCCGTCGACTGCGGCGTGCGAGTGTCAGTGGCCTCTGCCGGAGACTTGGTGCTGCTAGAAGTGCCAAATAGCCAGTCTCGGCACTCGGAGAAGTTTGGGAGCTTGGTCGGCGCCGTCGTTTTCGCTACCGATGAGTTTTCGTTGGAGAGTGATCCTGCGCTGCCAAGACGCTTGGTGCGTGGCGTCGTGTTTTTGTTGAAGCTTTTCATCTCATCCAAGGTGTATCGAAGCGGGGTCGGGCTCTTGCCAATCTCAAGTTCTCTGAGAGAAGCCAGAGACGGGCTTCGCAACTGGGCCTGGTCGCCTTTGTCATTTCGTTGGAGCTTCAGCTTGTGTTCCATGCCCTCCAGCATTTGAATGAGATTGAGGTAGTCGCCGCCTAGTCCTTCGGCCTCTTTCTCACCCAGCTCGCGGCCCGCAAACCCCGGGATCAAGCGACGGATGAGACAGTTGAGACGCTCTTCCACGTTTCCTGTGGCCCGTCCGACGACGTGCGTTGTCGACTTTGCGCTACTCGGCTTTTGCACATTGGGGGCGGGGACAGTGGAGGGAGCTGCCAGGCTGGGAGCGATCGAGGTGACGATCAATTGTTCAATCTCGGCCTTGGCCGGCTTCTCTGGGATAGTTGGGGCTTTTGGGGCGGCCTGTTGAGCCACTACCGGGCTCGAGATGCCAGCCATGGCGTTCCTGGCGTTCTGCCTGACGACTGCTAGGCGGAGGCACTCTAGGTATGTCTTGAGGGACTGAGTGGACTTCTCAGCCCCAAGCCTCAGGCGATATTCGATGCTCGCATCATTGGTCATCACGATGCACCATCCATCCTGGATCGTTGGTTCTTTGAGGGTTACGACATTGTGCACCCGCCGGTCATTGCCAGGGAAGACAAGAACCAGGTAGGCGTTGTTGGTACGCATGTCAACTTTCATCTCAAAGTCGACCATTGTGTTACTTGCGCCCTGGAGCCCTTGCACCTGGCAGTCCCCTTTGCAGATTATGTGTTCGAGTGGCGCAGGAGGATCTGGGGCTGCAACTGGCACGGCCTTTAGTAGGGAAGCCACAGGGTTGGTCTTCGGCTTGTTCTCGTCGTTGGGCTTGGCCTGTCGGGAGGAACCGTTACCCGCACTTGGCAGAATCAGACTGCCAAATCGGCCTACAGGAGCTTTGGTGTTGGGGGCTCTCTTTGTGGCCCAGGGCCTCGCGTCGTCAATTGCGAGGCCTTGCATCTGCTCGGACTCCTCGTCGTGGATGGGGACTGTTGTGGTTATCAGCCGACGAAAGGATCACAGACGTAAATGAAAGGAAGACAAACCACTCCACTTTGACCGGAGGGTCTCCTTAAACACGGCGGGAATGTGCTTGGCCTCGTTGTTGCGAGTCGGGGCAAACGTCGGCCCACGCAGCTCCTTGTTGCTTAGCGGCAACTCGTCGAGTCGAGCACGACCAAGGTCGGCCTGGGAGAGATGCAAAGTCAGTCGAGGAGGCACGAGGCGATTGGTGAGGAGCGCTGGGCGGCTCTGGGGCGTGAAGGCCTGAGGGAATCGAGGAGGGAAACGCACCGTGCATGCCCTCTCGAGAGCTTCGAGGTCCATGCCACTTTGCATATTGAGAAGAAATGGCGAGGTTACACACTGGTCGAAGAGGAGTCAGGCTCAGCCCTCGAGTCTGCTGATATGTATTTGGCTTTGGGGGAGGGAATTTGTGTGTTGTGTCGCGGAAACGCGTGTTCAAGAAAGTGCAGGAGCGGCGCGGGTTGATTTCGTCCCGGGCCACGGAACAGCCTGAGGCATCTCTTTGCCTTGGATTCCTGATTTCAAAGGCATCAACTTTTCCCCAAGGCAGCCTGGGCGCGCAATTTCAAACGACCCCCCTGGCGGTGCCTCTGCGCAAACGTGCTTCTCATAACCATCGCGGACGATGCGCACTTGATGATCGACGAGGACTGTCGCACAAAGCTCCAAGGAAACCTGTGCAGAGAGGGAGACGGTTCGTCTTCGCGCACGCCAGTCTATTCCTCTCAGAGTACCTCCTCGGGTAAGTTCTGCACGTCTCGTCTTGGGAGTTTCGCTTCTAATGATCGCCATATCTCCACGACCGACCACCTCTCGAGGGCCGGTTCAGTTGATCTCCTCACGTAAGTCTTCCTCGTCTTTGGATACTGGCTTTTGACACTTATCAGATCTCAACACCGACCGCTTCCGATGGTCAGTTCCTTTTCGCGCGTGTTTATTCACCGCATTCACCATGTCTGCTTCACACGACCAAAGCGCCCCTCGCTCTGGTGCCAAAGTCCGCCGTCCGCACTCCGCCTCGATGCCGAGCTTAAGGGGCGGAGAATAATCCAAGCCCAGCCGTTGTCGGTCGGACATGCTTGACAACTACACGTCTGGTACATGTACGCATGACCGGCCGAGGAGAGAAATGAAATTGCAATCCAACGAGTTTCTGAATATGTGGTTCAAGATTAACCACAAGTTGAGTTTCGAGCCGCCGACGTCAACTCCAACGTCAACTCCAGTCGCCCAGTCGCCACAGAGCCATGCCTGCCACCAATCAAAATGCACCTGCGGCGGCCGCAAGCTCGTACAAGCCCGCGTACTTACCCCTCAGTGATGATGCTGACGGAAGTTATAGGAACCATGTGTTACGATTACGGACTCCGCGTCTTGCGGATGACGAAATGTGTCATACCACGGCTTGGCCCCTGCTCGTTCGGCCAGATGAATAAACGAGCGCATGCATGCTGCATGGGCGGACAGATGGGTTCCACTCTCTCCTCGATTCGAAAGGTATAAATCCGCATTTCCGCTTTCAGTTTTCAGATTTGACAACAGCCAGTTACAATTTGTACCTCGGAAAGCCTCGTCCAAGCTCTCACCTTGCTGCCATTCCCCACCATGTCTCCGAAAAAGCTCGTTACAGTCTACGGTGCCACGGGCGTTCAAGGGGGAAGTGTTGTCGATTCGCTGCTGCAGAACAAGTCGCATGACTTTTCACTGCGCGCCATCACCCGAAATCCAGACTCTGAAAAGGCCAAGAAACTCGCCGCTCGAGGCGTAGAGGTGGTCAAGGCAGATGGATTCCACAAAGACGAGGTTTTGGAGGCTTTCAAGGGCAGCTGGGCCGTCTTTGTGAATACCAACACTTCTGACCCTGTACGTCTCTGCACCAATGGCAGCCTCTCCTCCGCTCTTGGCTGACGGGCTGCGGTTTTACAGGCCCTGCACCGTCCAGGGGGGATAACTGAAAGCGGTCTGGGAAAGCTCGTTGTCGATGCGGCTTTTGAAGCTGGCGTGCAGTACTTTGTCTATAGCGGGCTGGCATCGGCGACCCTGACCACCCACGGCGCTGTGTCCTCTGAAGGCTTCGACGGTAAGCTGCCCGATTCATTGCCGCCTCTAGCTGCAGCACTCGCTCATTCATGACAGAGAAGTACGCTGTGGGAGAGTATGCGAAGATCAGGGGATTCAAGAGCGTCGTCATTGTCAGTGCTGGCTGGTACATGGAAAACAACTTGGTGCGGGAATTCGCGGCCGAGATGGGAGGATTCCCGTTCGACGTCGATGACGAAGGCTATCTCACCTTTCGAGCTCCCCGCTGGGGCGGCACCGACGAGGTTCCCTTTATTTCAATGGAGGACGACTACGGCGATCTTGTACACGGCGTTTTGCTCGCCCCAGAACTTTACAATGGGCGCTTTATCCATGGCATCAGCGACAAAGCCAAGTGCGAGAAGATGGTCTCCGAGTTTCAAAAGAGTCAGTCTCCTACAACTTCGATTCACAGGCACCTTTCTAATCTGCCACAGTCACCGGGAAAAAAGCGCGCTATGTCCCGATTGATTGGAAGTCTATCGACACCAGGGGAGATCCTGATCTGGAAACAGTCAAGGCCATGTTTGGCTTTCTCCAACATTCTGGAGGAAGGTATTTTGGAGAAGTCGACGACATTGGGCCGGCAAGGGAGCTCAAGGCTCGCGCAACGGCAGCGAAAGGATTTCCGGAGGAGCTCATGACGCTCGAGCGATGGATGCACAAACATTATTCTCCTTGAATCGCAACAAGCGAGGATCAGACGAGCTGGGTTGGCATCAAAATATCCATTTTCTTTGTCAACCATCCTCTCCGCAGGGGGCGTCGTGGGCCATCTTGGGCATCAATGGCCCCCAAGCACCAAAGGACCTTCAGACGAGAGTTCATTGACGAGAACGAGTGTTATTCCTTTCGACATACGTATTGGCCTATGCCCTCGATTTGCTCGGTTGGGCTTCAACGCTTAGACTGCGAGTAGAAGCTATCACTGACAACTTTTCCTTGTCGTTACATGCAAAAATGAGAGCTAGTTCTCGCCTTAGAGCCAGAAGTATAAGAAATATGGCGACATGGCACCAAGACCCATCGGCTGTCGAGATTTTAAGACTTGGTGCTTGGGGTGATGCGTTGTCTATGCCGCTATGGCCGCCACCCATCATCGTCGACGTCGCCGCCGCCGCCGTCGTGCTAGTTGCCGCCCTTGGGTTGCTTTTCCTTCTTGTCTTCATCATCATCGTCGTCGTCGTCGTCGTCATCGTCGTCGCCGCCGCCACCGCCACAGACAGATTTACACTTCGCGCAGATGCCAGAAAACGACTTTTTGTGGCAGCAGAGAAGACTGCAGGCAGCAGCTCGCCTGGTAAGGAGCCGCTCACGAACAGCGGTGGTGGCGCCTTGATGATCGTCGACGGCAAGGCATGAATCCATGCTCGGGGCGGCAAGGCCCTTGGTGGCAAGAGCCAGGATGAAGGCAAAGGCTTCGATTTTCATCTTGGGGAAAAGTCAACACCTTCGGATTGAGGTTTAAAGGAAGAGTCAGCTTTGCAATGCTATCGCGGGCAGATGAGTGATGGAGCAGTCGTGTCAAAGTCGGTAGGTCTTGTGGACTCTTATACTCGGAGATCCTCTCACCTTTGCATCCAGTTCTCAAGGCCGGAATCCGCCACATACTTGGTGACGACAAAGCACAAGACATCGTGTTATCCTGTTCCGTATATGTGCCGTTTGCGATTTATATTTCGTATACGCTGTAGGTGCCGCCACAATTCCTTGTTGTGGTTTGATGAGAACTTGGCGCTTTTCGTTACAGGCTTGGTATGATAACCGTGTAACATGGGCCAGGCCATCCATTCTCAGACACTTGCGCGGCCCGGACTTGGGTTAGGCAGCCGACCGACGCCTCATCAGTTGTGCTGGAGAGAGCCGCGAGGGTGTTTATTGTCGCGTTTGGACCCTTTTTGGGTGCCGCAGACGCTTACTGGGAGGGAAGCAGTCATGTCGGCTGCCCGTGACATGATTTGTTCCTCCGAGGCGACAACGGCTTCACCCGCGCCTCTTTGAAGTGGCCATGACTGCCTGGTGGAAAGAAGAGTCAAGAGAGAAGAGCAGCTGCGTCGGTATTGATTATATTTAAAAGGGAGGTTGTACAACTCTGGCAAGTCCACACTCTACACTCTACTGGAACCTGAGACGACATCCACCGCGTTGTTGCACAAGGGCCAAGGCCAGAGGGAGACTGTGGCGCAAAGTCTCCGCGGTATGCGATGGGGGAGTTGATTACTGTAAGAAAGTGTCGCAGCGCATCGTCTGCAGTCATCGCGCCACGATTGATTGATGCGGTTTGTTACGCGGCACGTGCCCCGTCGAATATGGAGCGTGTGTGCCGCAGCCCGGCTGGAGCCGGAGGATCTGATGTTTGATGTTGCGGTGACTTTGTGCCGGACAAACTGCATGGGAGAAGAGCGGGCACTGTGTCTATTTTTAACAAACTTTCCTCATCGCCAACCTAAGGCTCTTCAGCACGGAGAGTCTTCCTCGGCAGGGAGTCTTGTTCGGCGGCGGAGAGGCCGTCTCGGTCCACCTCAGCTGTAGGTGCGCCCCTGTAGGCCCGCATGCCCAGGCACTATGCTCGCCGGGCCCTCGTATCCTGCTCTGCCCGGGTGTCCTGAGCGTCCACACATGTCCACCAACCTGCGTCTCCGCGAGCGAGCGGCGCGTGGCCGTTGAGCGCCCGTTGTCTAAGGGACTGTGCGGCGCAAGACAGCTCGCGCTGTGAACTCCGTGCCAGGTACGGCGTAGATGTACAGTGCGGATAGTCAGTCGGCTGATGCAACCTCGCGGGTGCAGCTCAAGACACTTGCCTGCAGCCGAGATGCTACTAGTCGGCTATCGAGTGCCGTCTCGCTCACAGGCTTGTCTACTGTGCGCTCCCGCTTCCCCTCCCCGTCAGGGCAATCGCCCCATCCCCTCCGTCGTCTCCTTCCGCCCCCTCTCTTTCCTCGCAGCCGTTTCCATCGCCCGACTGTTGTTGCCCTGGCTTGAAACCCCGGCTGTTAGGCTCACCGGTATCGGTACGACTGAAACCTGTTGAGCGCCATATCGTTGAGCTTTGGGGGCCCGATAACCTTATCGACCCTTCCGCCGGTAACGCACAGTCGCCCCACCGCTAGCGCTCCCGCTCCCGCGCCCGGAACCGGCACTGTACAGGAGAGCTCCCGCAAGCCAACAATTGCATCCATTAGCGACTGCTTTTCTTTTATCAAGTCAACGTCCCCATCCCTCGACCTCCGCCTCTCCTCATCCATCGCCTCTCACTCGCCCACCCACGCCATGTCCCGCATCACCGCCCCGGCCTCCAAGCTCTCGCGAGCAATCGGCTCTTCTGCCGCGGCATCGCTGCGCGACTCGTCCGCCCGCGCCACCGGCGCCATCCTCATGCCCAAGTACGCCGAGCTCCTGAGGAGTAGCGACCATCACGATGTAGGTTCCGCCACGCAAGCCCCTCTCGGATCCTGTCTAACGGCGAATAGTCCTCTCGCGGTCTCACCACCGCTCATCGGCCCACGCCCCAGCCATCGCTCGCCAACCGCCCCAAGCCCCTCATGCAGACCTTCCACTCTACCGCTCCCTCAGCCTCCGCCGCCGCCGCCTCCACCAACCTCGACGCCGCCATCTTCCCCTCCATGGCGGACCTGTTTGCCTCGTCAGATGCGGGCTCCAACGCCGGCCCCCGCATGCCCCTCTTGCCGGACAACTACTCGGCCGCCCACGGCCCCACGAGCGGCGACGGCCCCGTCCACCTTCCCTCCATCATCGCCGCCGACCCGGACAATGTCCTCCCTGCCACGCCTCTCTCAGACGTCGAGGGCATCGGGCTCGACGGCGTCGACCTCAAGTTTGCCCACGAGAGTCAGCACAGCCACCAACTGCACAGCCACGAGGGCAACAGCGGCGGCATGATCCGCGATCTGTGGAAGGGCATGGTCGAGGATGTTCTCGGGCCTGCGAAGAAGTAGCGTCAGAGTCGTCCATGCCGGTCCATGTCGCCCAGCATGAGCCATGTTCGTTCGTCATCATGTTTGGTATTTCCTGTCTGTTTTGCATTGTTCTGATCAGGAGAGAAAATTCGGGGAGCCATGTAGCGATAAATCGGACTAGCGCGTGGGAACGGTTACGGGACACCGGCGGAACAGCACCGTATACCGCCCATGTTGGGGAGTTGTATTTTAATTGCAAACTATCTAAGCCATCTATCCGTTCTGCCCTTGCTAGAATGCAAGGACAGTGCAAGAATCAAAGCAGCCAACAGAGATTCGACAAAACTCAGCCGTTGCAGACCTGATGGTGAATCGGCGCGTGTTATTGTGTTCCGAGCCTGCGTGTATGCCTACCTTAGTACACATAGGCTCTGGTGTCACGTCATCTGCGGTATCGTCCTCGTGCGCAAGTATACCTGTCGCTGCGCGTTCGCTGTTCATCCCCGAAAGCCTACAAACATGTCATATCTCTCCTGTCCTCCGCGCGCCCATCATCGCTTCTTCATCGACGGCCTCGGCTTGCACTCATCATTGTTAACCGGATGCAACATGACCTTGATGGGATAGCTCGACGTATTGTGCTGGTAGCCCTTGTTCCAGTCATAACTAATGGCGTAGGCAAAGATGCTCCCAGTCTTGTTAAACGTCGTCGCCGTGATACTTCCGCCAACGTTGGGATATCCCTTGAGGCGATGCTTGGCGTCCTTGTCCCAGAAGTGGAACGTGCCGTCCGATCCGGCGGTGCTGAAGGTGCCGTGTACGGGATGGAAGGAGATGTCGTTGACGGCGTGCACGTTGACCACATTGTTCACGGCAGCGTCGCGGTGACACTTGAAGGAGAAGTTGGAGCTGTATATGTCAGCCACGGGCCTTGTTCCCCAAAAGCCGATTGCTCGACAAAGGATCCGAGATATACCTTGAGTCCTTGTCTTCGACGTATTGAATGGCGCATCGCCCCTCGATACTACCGATGGCAAAGCCCGCCGAGTCGGTGAAGCAGCTCACCACCCTTGTCTGCCACTTCAACGGGCTCTGCAGCGTCTTATAGAACTTTGTGGGATTCTTGAGATCGATGACATTGATGTAGCGGTCCGCGGTGCCGACAACACACAGGTTGTCCCGCACGTCCATGTTGTAGACCCTCTCCTGGCACTGAACCGTCGCGGCCGGGCCTTGTTGCCGGAGGTCCCAGTACTTGACCGTCTTGTCCCAGGAGCCCGAGACGACCATGGGTCCGCTGCCGCTGTCGAAGAAGCGGCATGTCCGCACGGGCAGATCGTGCGTGCCGACGACAATGTCCTGCTGGGAGCTAAGGTCGCAGACCTTGACATTCTTGTCGGCGCCGGCCGAGGCGATCTTGGTGCCGTCCTGCGTGTCGACGAGTCAGCGTCGCCCAAGACGGGATGCCCGTCGCGGCTCACCTTTGAAAAGTCGCAGTCGAGAATGGGCTGGCTGTGTTCGTAGACGTGGCGCCCTTGGCTCTGGCCGTTCTGGGCGATCTCATAGACGCGAATCTTGTTGTCCCAGCTGGCGACGGCGAGAAAGTCGGGCGTGTTGGCGGCGGGCGAAAAGGACAGGGCCGAGATGCTGTCGGTGGGAGGGTCGCTGAGCGCAACGTCCTGCTTAAGGTCGCCGAGGGTGCTCGTTGACGGGGTGGCCGAGGCGCCTCCAAAGAGGCCCGACATGATGGCCGGTGGATGGCCGAAGCTATTCTGGAGAGGAGGTGAAGAGATGCTTGCGGCTCAGGCGCGTGCAGCAGGTCCCCGTCTGCCGGCCGAGTCGAGCCAAAGATTCGCTCGCCCAAAGTCTGCTCGGCGCACGCGACTGTGGTGCTCGACTTGTCGTGCTGTGCTTAAGTTGGCCTGCGAATCCACTGTCGGCGTGGACTTCTTGGAGCACAGCGGCAGCCGCTCAGCCTTTTTCAGAGCCTGGCGGTGATTGGCCCGCACAGAGTGGACCCGCAAGGCGGAAGACCCCTGTAATCGCATGTGCACCACCAGCTAGCGCAATAATCGAGGCCCAATAAAATGCTGAGCTCTGAAATTTTCGTCTCTTTCTTTTCCCTCCTCCTCAACCCCCTCGATCAACAAATCGCCATTCGAAGCTCACACACAGAGACACTTGCACTTGCAGCGTCTCGCACTCTTGTTTGCTTTGGGAGAAAGTCCCCGGACGACTCCGCTCTTCGGACGGAGCATGCGGAAACGCGCCGCCATAAAAGCACTGCGGCTGACCTCTGGTGCCTTGGCCCTCGCGCAGCATCCGCCCTGCCCGCCGCTACATCTGCCTCTCGCGATCCCTCGCCGGACCTGATTGTGCGTCTCCGGCCCCCATGGATGAAGATACGAGTCCGTGCCGGATGGCGTGCGCTCGGGGTCCCCCGGCGGCGGGTGAGCGGTGGCGGATGGCGGGTGGACGCTGCGGTGTTGGCGCGGGCGGTTGCGGGCCCAGTGGATTTCTTGTCGAGATTGATAGGTATGCGATTGCCCGGCGCAAGCTGGGTTACTCGATGGGGCTTATTCTTGAGTCGAGGGGGTTCCAGGATCCGTCGCCGTCCGTGGTGGCGATGCCGCCTTTTAACACTCTTGGGCTTCTCGCGGAGCTTTGCCTTGGGATCTGCCCCGGGACAGGAGACGGACCAAAGTTGTTATGATGATGACCAAATTAGAGTCAAGCACTGAGGCTTTGCCGATGCGGACTTTGTTGTCAAACAACATGTCTCTGAACAACTTTGGACCCGATCCTTGCGTCGGTGTGGCGTCATGGGATTCTCTTGACTCACGTCACATTGCCTTTTGTATTAAATATCGTCACTGTCACGGCATGAGGTTGGACGCAGCCTCTGGCCAAGTGGCTTCCTCTGCCTTGTTCCCATGACGTTGCGCATGTCGTAGTTTGAGGCGGATGGACGCCGATGGTACGTTGTCGACTTTGATCTTCTCAGCCGCGTTGCTCTTGTAACAGCCAACAGCAGCCATCGGACGGGGTGAAGATGGTGCTGAGGTCCCTCACTTGCACCACATCTCGCGGCAAGGCTCGGCGACTTGATGGTCCTTGTGGTGCACGCATTCGATCGAGAAACGGCATGGCATTGGTAACGGCTCGGACGTCTACTATTGTCTCCGATGGCCCGCTTACCTGCTCGGAGCAACGTGAACTCTTCACCTCGTGGCCAACTCGGCCAGTGCCTGCCTGACGATGGCGAGGGCTGCGGCTTTCAGCTCGCCCATGCATCCAGGTTCCTGCAGCACCGCAGCGCTATTATCCCTGTCCTCTCGTCTCCGTTTGATCTGACAACGTACGACACGGTACGACCGTGGCTCGCTTTCGTTCGGCCTGTTGGGCCGTGTGCCTGGCTACTGTCCAACCGTCGCTGCTGCGCATCCCATGGCTCATCCCTACCCCGAGATGCCATCAATATGCGACGCAGAAGCAGAGGCTGAACCAACAATGGACGTTGCTCCCGTGCGGGGGAACCAGGATGAGATGCATCGAGCCGACGCGGAAGCTGGAAGTCGGGACAAGACTCGCGGAGAGTGGCTCGAGTGAGCCTCGAGCTGCGCGCCAGGTCCGTCGTCACAGGGCCGATGCGACGCTGTTCTGGCTCCGGATTCGCCGGGTTGCCAGTCCCCGAGCCCCCGAATCCTTGAGACGCCAACGCCAACCACGCCTCCGTTGTGCATGTGCGTCCCTGCTGTTTGCTGCAGAGCTCTGTCTTGCATGTAAGTACGAGTGTGAGTTGTGTGTGTGTCTGTCCCTGGGATGTTCTGGAACCTGCTCTTCCGTGACGAGAGGTGTTGCTTTGCCTGCTCGACTCAACGGATTCGACGTTGATGGACCCTGGCTGTTACCTGCACGTTAGACGGTTTCTTACGCGCTCCTCTGTGCATCTCTTCTTTTCCCGCTTCTTACTCGCCCATCATCACGGTCGTTTTTTGTTCCTCGATGCATCAGTCTTCGGCGGCTGATCAGAAGGACCCTCGTCACCGAGCACCCATCTTCAGGGAATCTCAGCATCTTCTGCCACCCCCCCTGCTCCGGCTCCTACGAGCTTAACTCTGACATTCCCCTCTTCGCACTCTGCAAGCTCAAGAGGCAGCATGAAACCCACAGCCTGCATCGTCGCCCTCCTCACCCTCGTCGCAGCCGTCGACCTGGCCACCCTCCAGAAGACACTCCCCGCATGCTCCCTCGAGTGTCTCGCCAAGGGCGTCGCAGTCCACGGCTGCGGCCTCACGCAGTTCACCTGCCAGTGCGCCCGGCTGGAGCCTATCATCCGCACCGTGGCCCCGTGCCTGGTCAAGATGGGCTGCAGCCTGGAAAACATGACGGGTAAGCTGCGCCAGAGCATTGCCCGCGGAGGCTGCGCGATCAAGTCCCTCTGACGCTTGTTGTTCGCAAAGAGACGGCCCGGGTCGTCTTGAATCTCTGCCAAGAGGTGGCCCCGGACAGCGTCGGTGCTTCTAAGGCGTCGGCGACCGCCAGGGTGGCCACCTCGGGTGCAACGTCCCCCAGGTTGGAGCTTCATGCGGGTTGCCTGGCCATGGCTGCGGTTGCGGCTGCCGTCCTCATGATGCGATAGCCGCTGTAGATGAGGCGGCTTAGAGTACAAAGTATATGAAAAACAACGGCGTTGGTGCTTCTGGTTACTAAAAAGGAGGGAGAGAGGGCAAGCATACTGTCGTCTCTTGTTTGGCTTGCGCATCTTAGGGGTCTATTTGTCTATACCTGATATAACCGTATAAAGCCCAAATCTAAACAGCACCGTCTCGTCCACTGCACTCATGGACATGCATTCCGGGCTTGCAGCCGCAACACGGCCACCGTTGTGCGCCCCTTCTTACCCAGAGGAATCAGCAGGGCCCGTACTTGCCGAGAGCACCGGTGGCACCCCCGTCGAAGAGACCGTGCATGCCGTCGAGGGCTTGGAACTTGGCGGCCAGCTCCATGCCCTGTCTGCGCTGCCCCTCGACGCGGCGCCAATCCCACTCGCCCTCCTCGGACAGGTCGACGTCGGCGACACTGGCGGCCTCGTCGCCGAGCTGGTTGGTTCCGCTGGTCCAGCCGCCGGGGCGATCCGGAAGCAGTCCCGACTCGGACAAGACAACAGCAGGGTGCACGGTGAGGCGACCGAGCTTGAAGACGTACTTGCTCAAGGCCGTCGCGTAGATCTTGCTCTCCCAGCTAGGCGCGGCGCCGTTGGCCGCCGTCTTCTTGACCTTGCCAGACGGCTGATCCAGCCACTCGGTCGGTCTTGCGGTCCCCTTGGGCACGAAGTGAGTGACAATGTACATCCACTTGCGGTCCCAGCAGAGCAGGCGGCTCCACAGCTCGTAACCCCGGTAGATTCCAATCTCACGCCTGAAGCTGCAGTGCACGGCGCCCAGCATGATGCCCATGGAGCCGCGGACGGGCTTGTCGGTGGCGGGGTCGAGGATGAGCTTCGTCTCCGGGTTGTGCGCCAGCTTGCGGAGGCCCGGGCGGCAGAGGAAGCTGACGAGGTGGCTCCGCGAGACGTCGAGGTCGGTAAAGTAGGTCGAGTTGGACTTGTGCAGATTGTAGTCCATCTCGAGCAGGGGCGCGTGCGTCTCGGAGATGAGGGGCTTGAAGAGGGCCCGGGGCGTGAGCTGTGGCGACTTGCGCAGGACGTTGTGGTAGATGATGGCGTAGAAGACACGGTACTGGCGACGGGAGAAGCTGTCAGCAACAGTCCTTCCTTGTCTGTACAGCGATTGATTCACTCCAGTCCATCGTGGGGGCTTACAGTCCATGCGAACGGAAGGTTCTTCCAGTTCAAGGCGGCAAAGAGCAGCAGCAAAACGCGCGAGGTGCGGCCCGGGCCGGTGAGAAAGGACCGGACGAGAACAGGCCAGTTGACGCGCCACGCGGCGTATCCCGCCGAACCGAGAGCCAGGGGCGTGAAGAGACGCACGGCCAAGGTCACGCCGCCGACCTTGCTCGACGCCGAAGCCATGGGCGGGCCGCGTATTCACTCGTCAGAGGGCCTTGCCGCGGCTTTTCGGCTTTGTCTCGTCCGCCCTTCTCGTCACGACGGCCCGGATCGACAGAAACAGCAGCGCGGCAATGGCGACGGCCCAGAGCGATGCGGCGCGTAGGTGGCAGAGGAGGGGTTGGACGGAGCACTGGCGAAGCATGAAGCCGAGAGGGACGCTTGCGTGCTGCTGCGGCGGCGGGTTGTGCTCACGTCTTCAATTTCACGCAAAATGATGTCGGCATTGTTGCTCCGAAGTCCGTCTCCGTCCGCTGTAGGCGCCGGCTGAAGTAAGCGGAGCGGAGAATTGGAGCGTCTCCGGCCCCGCTCGTCCAGTCCGAAAGCTCCGACTCCGAAATCCGTCCGTACGGCTCACGGTAAACAGCGATGCTGTGCCTGAAGCCGAATGTTCACCAGCTGCGCGAATCGAGCAAGTCCAGCAGGATTACGACGCTCGGCAGACGGCACGCGAGTCCTGCAGGGACGTCGCACTCGGTGCAACAGATGCCGGCAGTGGCCGCTCAAGAGCAGTCTGTCGTCAGTGGCAGGGGTGCTCACTGCTTTGCAAAGCCCAAGTATCGAGTTCAAGGCTAGAAAAATACGCAAGTGGTCGAGGAAGAGAGGTCGATGCGGGCGAGGTGGCCGTGCGAGTGCAGGCGGCGCAGGGAGTCTGCGCTGGGGCCGACGACGACGTGGACGACGGCGGCGAGCCCGGCCAGGTCGACGAGAGAGCTGGCCACGGCGGCGAACTCGGGGTTGCGCTCGAGGGAGATGTAGCGCCGCCCGCCGGCCTTTTGGAGGGCGGCGCCGAAGAGGATGGCCGAGTATCCGACGTAGCCGCCCAGCTCGAGCTGTTGGGGGGGGCCGTCGTCAGCGAACCGCGTCCTTGCAATCGACGGCAAGAATCATCACTCATCACACCATGACCTGGGGCTTCGTCTCGCCAATGAGGCCCGTGACAATGGCGCCCTTGTGCTCCCCGACATTCATCAGGTAGCTTAAACGTTCAGCTCCCGGTCTGCTCCACATGTGTCTCCGTCCATCAGCCTGCTAGCGGTTGCACCGACCTAGGACTTGTAAAAAAGAGGGGTAGGTATACAGACGTGATTTCAAAGGGGATTGCTGTCTAAAAGGAAAGGCAAAGCAAACATCAAGGCAAGTAAGAAAACACTTTCAGTCGCTTGATCTTAGCAGCTCGCCTATCCTGTTATTATTTATCGCCTTACCTATTGTTATTCTACATTGCGATCATGGCAGCTGCCCAAGGTGGTAGCAGTTTTGTTCAATATTTCCTCCATGTCGGCAATACACTCCCCCTGAACGGACCCTGACCTTCACAAAACCACGACAATGGATGGCAGACATGTTGAAGACACCAACGGTTGGCACGGCACTTTTTTGCCATTAAAACAAAAGGATCGAATCGCACGTGAATTCCACGTCGCATCTCATGGATATACTGAAGGAAAAGACGATTTTGTTCTTAAATTAGCAACGCATGCTCCAGAGAAGGAGGACATAAGTCTTCGAGGCGGAAGGAAATCGAATAAGGTTGTTTGGCCCGCTGAGCGTCAGCTCGAAGAATACACAGACAGTCCAGTTGCCTATTCGCACCTGCCCAGCAAGGATTAAAGGCAGAAGGGTATATAGCTCAAACGCGCCAACTTCTACGATCCAGGCTGCAGGTACATATAGGTACAAAAATCAAATGGACATCTATTGACATCCTAAACTGCGCTTGAAATCTGGTTGAGCCCATTTAACCATCCACTCCGACTCCAGGACCTCTTCAGCCGTTGGTCTTTTCTCTGGCTCAAAGGCCAGCATTCGGCGCACAAGATCCAAAATGGCACTTGTTTCTTCTTGGTCGAAGATGCCTGCCTGAAACTTTCGCCGATATTTCTGCACCCCGTCCTCAAAAGCCTCGGCAAGGGGTGGCCAGGGATACGTGCCCTGCTTTGGGTGCCCATTCTCGTCAAAAAAGGTATATTTTGCCTCCCAACCCTCCCACCAAGCTGCCGGCATGGGTCCTAGCACATTGATTTGCTGTGATGTCACTTCGTCGGGGGTCGCAAACTCGCTGCTGAAGATGGCCTTCATACCGATGATCTCCCATATTGCGGTAGCTAAGCTCCAGATATCTGCCGAGTAGGAGAGAAGGGAAGCTGGCTCAAATCGGCTTTCTGGCGGTCGCATTGCGAGCGGCGTGTGACAATCCCGAGCGTGTCGTGCCTCGGACTTTAGGGCGAATAATTCTCCAAAATCACTCAGAAGCACACGCGTGTCGGACAGAGTGAACTCTTCCGCGTCTTTTCCAAGATATAGGGGCACCACGGCCGTGGGCGGGACGTTGGGAGGCAGTGAACTTCCGTCAATCGGTGTGACGGGGACCGTCTCGGGCTCGCCATATTCATCATACAGCTGTTGAACCGACAGCTCGTGAAAAGCTCTTGGGAGCCCGACTAGAACATTTCGAAGATGAATGTCTGAAAGATGAAGCCATCAGGGTTAGCTAGCACAATAAACAGCGAGACGCACCAACCGCATCAAGTCATGACAATGACAAACCTCCATGCACGTAGCCTTGTGAATGTGTATATGCAACTGCCTGCGTGAGGCCAAAGCATAACGCCCGGGCAACTTCAAGTGGAAATAGGCGACTGTAGGATACCTCGCTGAGATTGCATCGGGCGGGCGCCATTGTGTAGCATGGATGGGTTCCGTTTGGGCCGTGCAACTCGAATTCGTCCAAGGGCGTCGGAATTAAAGAGCGTCCTGGGTGAATGGAAGAGGATGGTGAAAGGGGCAGCGACAGAGCTTTGAGTGCCTTGATCTCTTGATGAACTGAGTTGGCAATTCCGACCTTGACAGCGACGTAGCGCTGCAGGTGAGCATCATGGGCAAGCCAGACGGTTGAATAGCCACCGAAACCCAACTTGTCCACAATGCGATAGCGCTTGTGCAGCACGTCGCCAATTGCGATGGGATGGTAGCCCCCAGGCCTGTACTTTTCGATGGCCTCGACGCCATCGATAAAGTTACATCTCAAGGGAGGGTCACTTGCGCCTGGACCCCGCGACATTGCTGTTGAAGAGAATAGGGTCAAGTTGGGTGGCGTCGGCGAATTGAACCAGAGACGCTGATGATGGTCTATATGTTTTGGGCGGAAAAGCAAAACAGATGGCCTGCAGAATCTAGATGGTAGCCGGTGAGTAAGGCGATGCATTGCCGCGTAATAGCAGCACTCGGTTAATTATCATGAAGATGGGCGGTTGTCGAAGGTTTCAAGGTGGTGGTATCAGCGGGACCCGGAGGAAAATGCGCAGCCGGCTCCCCCGCTCCGGCCAATTGCGCGACCCTGCGTGAGCCGGGTGAGCCTTGTTTAGTGAGCCTTGTTTGGTGAGCCGGGCATCTCTAATCTCCGCAGCGTGGAAAATGGCTGTGGAATCCGTGCCCAAGCTACTGATTGACGCAGAAAACTTCGGGAAGCTGTCTTTAGATCGGCTTCAATCAGCATTCTCGAGGCTTCGCAGCCCTAGTAGATCTAGTATTAGACATTCGGCTCTATACGGGTTAGAGATAGTATTAGGCAATTAATAAGAATTATCTAAAGAATAAGAAGCTAGTAGATAAACGCACGGAATTATATAGCTCTTTTAAATATAAATAAAAGGTTTATTATATAATTATATATAAGGGTATTTACCCTTAGTATAGGTCTAGGCATTAATAGTAAGAGCTAGGCTATAAAATATTATTATGTCTTCTCGGCTAACTTTTCGAAACTAAGCCTAAAACACGAAAAAAGCATACGCCTAGAACCGCCACGAATAGCGTATTACGCCCCCCTAAGTGCAGCCTCGTACAGCTACTAGCGGGTGCGCAATATACTACTAAAGATTGCGAATTAGGCGAGGTTCTCCCTTATACGGGTAGAAAACTCTTCCTTACCCTCGCTAACTAAGGGTATATGCCCCCCGCTAATAGGACCTAGCCCGGACCCGACTTAGGACCCTAGCCTAGACCTAAGGAGGGCCCCTTTAACTTTAACCCCTAACCTAAGGGTCGAAATAGGTACCCTAGAGGCTAAGGCCCGCTTAAAAGAAGCTCTAGAAGGCTAACGCCCTTTAAGGACCCTAGAAGAAAGGCCTAGGACCTAAGACTAAGACCTAAAGGATATTAAGATAGAAGATAATACTTAGCCTATACTAAAGACTAGCCTCTTTAGGCCTAGCCTAGCCCTACCTTAGGCTAGCTACTTTTAGCTTAACTAGCCCTTAAAGTAAGTAAAGGGGTAAAAGAGAGCTGCCCTTAATAGCCTTATTAGCTCTATACCTATCCGACCTATATTTTAATACTTATAATAGACCTAGCCCTAGCCCTAGTACCTTTTCCCTAAGGACCGGGCCTAGGGCTTCCTTTAATAGGCCTTCTAGGCCCTTAAGGAAGCTTAAAAAATCGAACCCTTTTATAAGACCTTTATAAAAGGGCTTAAGAAGGTAGCTATAAGGACCCTAGACCGCTAACAGCCCCTATAATAGCCCTTATACTAGCCTAAGGCCGCTTAGTAGCCTAAGGCTACCTAAGGAAACCTTAAAGCGAGCTTATAGGCTAAGGTTACTATAAAGAAAGCGCCTAAGGCCCCGGCTAAGGCCCTAGCTAAGGCTTTAGTAAAAGCCCTAGTAAAAGCCTTAACTAAGGCCCTAGCTAAGAAGAATATAAAAGAGGACTTTTAACTTATTTTAAAGCTAAAGAAAGAATCGCTAACGCTAACTATTAACCTTATTACTCTTTATAACGAGCTTAATAAGGCTATAAGGGAACTAGCTATATTAGCTCTATTAACTTAAAATAAAGGTAATATAGTTATAATAATAAAGGCCCTATATATAGTAAAGAAGCTTCTAAAGTAATAGAAAAAGTAGTCCTTATACCTTAAGGAGCTACCTATTAAATCGGCCGACCTTCCTACTAGCTTAACTAAGCTAGTAGCCTAGGGCGTTCTTAACCTCTTAGAGACCCCTATCCTTAATATCTTCGCCGTAAAAGCTAAAACCTTTAGCGGGATCGATATCCTAGGGCAGCCTAGGTAGCTAGTTTAATAGGGACGAGGGTATATACCTAAAGTACGTATAGTATATAGCTAAGGATTAGTAGAGTAATTAACTATATAATTATCTAATTATTAGTCCTATATATAGCTCTAAGGGTCTTAGGTTATTAATATAAGTCTTAGAGATTTCTTTACTTTATACCTCTTTATCTTTACTAGAGTCGCGTAACTAGCGGTCTTTACTTTAAAAGGGAAAAATAAAAATTCAAATTAACTATAATTAAGGAAGATACCTTATTAAATAATTAAGGTCTTTATAAAGCCTTTAAGTATACTTAGAAGGAAGTTAGATAAGGAGTACTAGGGGTCTTATCCCTTTAATAGGCTAATATCTATAGGGGTGCGATCTTACCCGTTAAACTCCTCCCTAGTAACTTTCCGACTTAAGATATTAATAGAAAGGGCGTAATAATAATAGGTAAGGCTCTCTTTTTAAGTATATAAGTAAGTAAATAAACTATTAATAGAACTTTTTCTCCTTTACTATAATCCCTTCCCTTTACGTTATTTATTCCTCCTTTTACCTATAAGCTACTTATTTAGCTCTTTCCTATCTTTACTTATATACTTCCTTCTTTAGATAATTATCTACTACCCTTTATATACGCTCCTAAGTATTCGCGCTTATTATTCTTAAAAGCGTTAGGGAAATAAAGTAGTTAGCGTCTTTACTAGTCTATAGCTTTAAGTATAGCTAGATTAAATAAGCTATAAAGTCTTATAGACTAATCGTTATCGCGTTACTAGTAGTCCTATATAAATATATAGAATTATAGTCGTTAATATCCTAGTAATAGTTTTAATATATTCCTAGGTTTTTAACTCTTTTAACCTAGGAGGGTTTAAAGCTTAGTATAAACCTTATAGGGACTATAGCTAGAAAGGCTATTACTATACTTTATTTTTAAGGAGTAATAGGGCGCGCTATAGGCGTTACTAGAGTCTTTAGCCTTAAGGTAATTAACTAAGCGCCTAGTAATTTTAGAGTCCTAGGGTAAGTTAGTAGCCGCGCTATCTACCTTTCTTCCCTACTAGCTTCTTATTAAGTTATTAGCGGGGGTATAGTTATAAGTCTTTCGCTCCTTTATATATTTAAAGGAGTTATTAATAGTAGGTAAGGAGTAGGCCTAATTAGCTATATATCTAAGGGGGAAAATAAAGGCGTTATTTCTATATAGATAAAGGGACTAGTAAGGGCACTTAGCTCTCTCCTTTATAAACTCTAAGGTAGGGATCCTATTTTAAGGTTACTTAAGGAAAGGCTACTTAGTTTAGATAAAGAGCTTAATTTAGTTAACGCTTAAGGTAATAAAGGTCTAGGCTTATTCTCGATTCCTATTAGCGCGATTAAATAGTTAGGGGTCTTTTTAAGGAGGAGTTTTATAAAGAAACCGTATATAGCTTAAGCGATTAAGTTAGGTTACTTTATAAAGGTAGCTAGTATAGTTAGCTTTTTTCTCGCTCTCCTTACTATATAAGCTAGTTCTATGTTTTTTTAAAGTAGTAGTTTCTATCCGCCGGGCTTATCTTAAAGGTTAACTACCTTTAGGACTTCCTAAAAGTCTTATTCTTCTTAATCTCTTAAAATAATATAGTTATATTAGTAAATCCGTTTATACCTAAGAATCCTTATAAGAAAGACTCCGCCGAAAGTTATTAAACCTTAATTAAATAGTATCCTTTATAGTCGTTTAACCCTACTATTAAACTACTAGGAAACTCTATTACCTTATAATATTACTTATATATAATTAAGTTCGTTTACCGTAATAGCTTAGATTCTATATATTAGCCTATTAAAGTAGCCTTTTATACTTATTCTCTTATCTAGCTTAAAGAAATACTAGTCTTAGTATAAGATTTTATCTATTTATAGTTCTTATATTACCCTATACCTTTACTTTAAAATTACTTTAACCTTTAGGTATTACTACTTAATTATCTTAAGGTATAGCCTAACTATACTTTTAACTTAGTATTAGATTATTATTAAGGCTAAGTAGCTATATTCCTACCTTTCTTACTAAGTAGTATAAGGGACTAGCGTATAAGTAAAGTTATAAGGAACTTAGAGGATATAAAAAAACTACCGCTATACTTATAAGAATATATAGAGTTTAGTATACCGTCCCTCTTTCTAAGTATTAAAAATAACTAAGTTTCCTTCCTTATAGTTTTAAAAGAACGCTCCTTAGTAAAGTCCCTCTTTATTTAGCTCTATTAAAAAGTTAATAACTTTAGTTATATACCTTTATTTATATATAAAGTAACTAAGGTTAAAGGTAGGAGCGGTAAACTTAATTAAATACTCCTTATTATTTAGGTATTTATAGTACTTTATATATCTATCTTTTATATCTTCGATAGGTTCCCCTTAATAGTTAGTATAAACTAATAGTAAGTAAGGTAAAGGGTATACTATATTCTTAATACCTTTTATTAAGATCTTAATTATTACGCTAAGGCTAAAGCTTATAGCTTATTATTTATTAATAGCTTTATAAAGAAAGTTATATACGTTAACGATATACTCTTCTTAGTAGGCCTTATTCCTAGTAAATCCGTTTATCTTTTTAATACCCTTATATATTATCTAAGTATTTTTAAAGGTAATATCCCGCTATTTAATAGGCCCTATTAATATTAAGTACTAATAATCTTTATAGATATATTAAGGAGGTTACTTTTACTTATAAACGTCGTATTAGTCTTAGTCTATAAACTTTTCCTTGTTATTAATATAAAAGCGCCCTTTACCGCCTTTTACTTTAACTTTACTATAGTAAGTAAGTAAAATAAAGCTCTTACTCCTAAATAATAGTATACTAAAGAAAATAGCGGTATTTTTAAGGAGGTCTATAGCTAGGCCTAGGATACTATTTAAGTTCGCTGCTATATCTTAGGAAAAGGTAGAGTAAGCGAAAGAGAAAAAGAAGTTAAGATTAAATAGTTAAGGTAAGTAGTTTTAA